TTGATGATTTATAGTCGGGTGACAAATAATAAAAACGATAACTGTGAATCGATCTGGAAATGAGTCACTCGAAATGTAGCAGTAGGCAGCCGAAATCAACTCCAATGCCGAACAGCCACTTACTTATTGCTTACCGGCAACCACTTAAGCTCTCTTTCTATAATGATATCACTTCTACTACCCCACGGTTACGAATTACGAACGAGCCACTATTCTGTATTGTGTGAGGTGTATGTACCAAAAAAATGGTATGCTACACACATTTATGGGTAAAAAGACCAGAGTGAAATATTCCAAAGTGCGTTTCCTATCCCGTCTCCCCCATTTTTTCTGAACTGAATTCTGTTTTGCGTGTACATACAGTGAAGCTAAATGCGTTTATGTATCTCGAGCCAAAGAGAGTTCATGAATTTTTCGTAAGAATGGTAGACAGGGATTGAAATATATGCGAAAAGAAGGAAGTGAGTTAAGCGAGTCGGAACTCAAACGAAATCTTCTTAGGTTTGTATCAGATCCGAGTAAAAGATGAGAATGCAAGCAAGGGTGTGAAATATGTAAGTGGAAATAGAAGTTGATCCAAATGTTGAAAAAGTTCACACCACTCACACGAATAGATATCCAGCTGCTGGTCTCATTATACTGTGCAAGAGGAACTAAACAAAACAAAACGCTCTACTTCGTGAGGGAGGTTTGTTATTCCATCCCAAAAAAGTATAGATAAGTTGAAATATACTTTACTCTTCCCATCTCTGATTACCTCATCAAAAAGTTGGGCTTTTCGAAGTCACGTAAATATTCATACCTTGTAAAGTAATAAAATAAAACTTTCACAGCTTGCTATTTAGTCCAGCTCGCCTATTTCGTATAGTTTTACTTATTACTCTCTCCCTGGAGAGAAGAGCAGTTAACATTTCCATTGTCTACCTATGCCAGCAGTTTATACTTTGTGTTGTTGATGTTTTATCCCATTTTTCGTATTGTAGAGAGGGTCGATAAATAAATGGTTTGATAATTTTACTCCCCCTGCCCCTCCACTTTTCCATGCATTATATCCAGTTTGCCCGCCTTATCACTTACTCACATCTCTGATTGATGCATCTTACCCGTAGTAAATTCTCCTCTCCTGGCAGGTTATCGAGTGAGTGGCTAGATTAGATCTTGGATGGATGGATGGGTGAAAATGTATTTACCAGTGAAAGGAGCGAATTTGAATTTATATTTATTTTATGATGGATGGAATAAGTGGAGAAAGTTGGTAAATTTTGACAGTTTGATACACCGCACACACAGCAATAATAATGAAAGTCAACATTGAAAATAATGAATATGGTTTGACATTGCATTATATTCATTCACTCGGCTAGAGTGAGGGCAGGAGGTTGGGCACATTTCGTGCCATGTCAAATTAAGAGTTGAGGTTTACAGTTGACAATGACTTTTAGTTTGAGAGAGAGAGATGATGGAGAATGGATGGATGGATGGATGAAGCGTAATGTTGACTTTAATCCATTTTAGTCACAACACAATTAAGTTAAGTTTTGGTTTGGTGGGGTCGAATGTCAAAGGAAAATTCTGGACGAGAGAACAAGAGAACAGAGCTGTCTCTGCAAACTGTAATAATGTCGCTTTGAATTTACAATATGTACACACAGCATCACATCACGACCACATTGTGTTTACGTTTAAGTTTAGTGATGGTGGGAGTAGAAAAGCATCATTATTAACATACATTTATATCGAGCAATGTTACATAGTTAACAAAGTATTTTAATAGATTAGAATTTATAATGTGACACTGCAGCAGTGTCCTCGTGCATGTCTGTATATTCATTAAGTGAGCATGCGATCATGAGAGTTGCAGTCAAGTTTTGCATTGTAAATTGTGTCTCAACACTTACTTTAGCACTTAAACTGTACAACAAGCTGGGGAGCAGTTTTGTTTGTAGAACGGAGATGAGAAATTTGGGAGTGTTTAGTTTGCATAAACTCCTTTCTGCCTGTCTCTCTGTCTCCGTTGGAATATTCACAAAAGTTGTCGTCTATCTATACTAATGGAGATCTTGACTTGTTTGAATTTGAGCTTTTGTCACCACCATTCCATTTATGGACGTTGAACTCTCCTCCGTAGTCATAATAGTCGTATCGATGCATGCAGATTTAGTTGACGGACGGAAACATAAAGAGGGGGGATCCGCGAAAGAGATATGAGCATGATGACACAATGTCCTCTCTATACTTATAAATTAACACATGAATTGCATCTGTTGACAAAACTAGATCATTAAGAAAGTAAATAAAAACATGGAGTGTCGGGTGGTCGGGTCATTTGAAAGTGAATGGGAGCATAATAAATTACAGGGAAAGTGTGCCGAAGAGAGAGATAGATTTTTGTGAAATGTTTGTTGTGTCCATTAATTTTTATCTTTATCGAGGTTTAGATCAACAACTTATAATTAGAATTGTGACAATATGATGTAAAGCGATGTGTATAGAACCACAGAGTATTTCGAGGGTTATATTTTTGTTTCATAGTTTTTCCCCTCCTGCGGGTTCTAAATTTCTCTTGTATAGTGCACTTCTTTCTTCTTTTGTTGGATGAACTACTGGACTGCTCATTCACCAATTGAGAGTTAATGAGCCAGGGTGACCCTCTCTCTTTGTTGGTCGTCGTTGCATTGCATTCATTTCTTTATTGTGGAGGAACGACCGAATGCCTCGAAACAGTGGACGTCTAGTAGATAATTTATTGAATTAGTCCCAGTTAATAGGTGACGGCATACGTAGACAGACGGTCCCACATTTCTCGGCTAGTGTATGTATGTACTTGTAGTACAGAATTATATGAAAATACATAAGTGCTCGTGAACATATTGTGTTGTGCAGTAGTCAGTAATTTAGTAATTGGGTGGGTGGCGATGTGCAAGAATATAGATTGCGCAATGATTGTATAACTTTAATCAAGTCAATTTTTTCAAGAGTCGAATTAATAAGTTAGTACGTTATGTTAATACAGATAGAGATTTGTGTGTCGATGTCGGTACGAGCGGACGGATATCAGATCAGGAACTAAATAAAATACAACCATGCCATGCCGTTCTCATTCGACCGGGACGCGATGCCTACCAACCAATTCCATCAATTTTTCACGGAAATTGTAATGAAAGGGGTAGTGCTGGCAGGAGGGCATAGGTAGAAGGCTTTCTCCTCTAATAGGTACGTGACTTGGGATCAGATCGCAGAAAAAGTGTATGCATTCAAGACCAAGAGACGAGCGAGTGTCCATAGTGGTAGTCGTCCTCTTTATGCTGCTGCCGTTTCATATCCTCAGAATCTGCTCTTCTGCACGACGAGAGGAAGGAAGGAAAGTGAGAGAGAGGGGGATCAAAAAGAGGAAGCATCGATCTCATCCTTCCTTCATCTCGTGTGCTACCATCCATCCGGCCAGATACAGCCTTTCTGTTCTCTGCAACATGTCTGCATCAACCTATATGCAAGGTGCGTTGGTGCGTGTGTTGTGTTGCCTTTTATAGATTCTGGATCTCTGGTCTTCTTTTCTTTCCGCCAAAATGAGCCCTCTGGTTACGGAATGTGCTTAGTTGTTTCTCAAAATGTACAAAAGAACAGTAAGTCGCATTCATCGCGTCGTGCGGTGCTATATATGGCATTCACTTGAACTATTAGTCTTGGTTTCCGGGTGGTTTTTAGACTTTTTTCAGAGGGAGGGAGAAAAGCTGCTGGGTGGAGAAGAAATCTAATAATGTCATAGTGAGAACATAGTACATACACTCGAATCTCGAGAGATTTCCCATTATTGCTTTCCGTTCACTTGACCCTCGAAGAAAAACGCAACCAAATGTTGTGCACAACTTTCCAATGGAATGGTGCTTATCAATTGCATCTCTCTCGAAGAGGTAGAAACTTATAACGAGCGAATGTGTGAGGTGGAGGGGGGGGACTCTCGTTCACGTCTGTAGTGGGCATTTTAAATTAAATGAGGCTTGAATTTCGAACGATGTGCCAGCAGTGCGTCGTCATTTTGCTAATAGACACACGATCTGAGAGTAACTAAAATAACGGGGAAAAGATTTCACCTTTACTACTTTTCTCTATATTGCACTTGCACTGCAATTAAATAAGATTCATTGTTGGGGTGGGATTACAGCAATAAATACAAAATTATTGGTAAGGGTAGGTAGTAAATTGTGGGGTAATTTCGGTAGTTCGTAATTTGAGGTTGGTGTAAAATTGAAGTCTGTCTTATGGTATAGAAATAGAATAATGCGTAGTAAAAGATGAATGCGGCTGGAATTTAAAGTATCTCATCATCCTGAAGTATCCACTAGCAGATGTTTGCATGTTTGCACATCTCTCCAAATGGGATGAGAATTGCTTTCGCCATTACTTACGAGTGTAAGGTATTGGCTTCAGATTTGTGTGGCTGAAATGAATACAGGGGTTGACGGACAAGCGAGAAAACGAGATACGTCTTTTGTCTTCCTTATGTCCATCAGCGAAATGGTTTCAATTCGTTTTCAATCCGAACTTTGGTCCAAAGCAACAGGACCAGGATTTAAGAGAAATGGGAGATGTGGAACACAAGTATTTCGAACGCTCAACTCTAATGTGGGTGTGTGTGTGTGGAAGACTTATGAACGTGGCCAAATGGTTTTCCTTCTTTTTTTTTTCTCTCCAGAGCAAGTCTAGCATGGAGAACAATTAGCTTTTAAACGAAACAAATGCTCATATCAAGCGTGTAAAAAATAGTTCTTTTTACAGTACACAAAAAAAACTGATGATAATGAACAAATTTGTTCCTCGTTTGCTAGTAATGGTTAAGATTTCTATCCTGTCCGCCCAGCCCACCCACAATCCGTCTTTGTCACGAGCTTTATAATAGAGTGAAAAGTGTGCAATGTGTGGGGGAGAATTTTACGTGCCTTATCTAGATCCTGTCTACTTTTTCAGTTTGACTTATCATCTTATTTTTCTCTTCTTTGCAGCGCAAGCAGGAGGAGATGATCAACTAATAAGTAACCAGAGCAGCTAGCGTCACCTGAACGATTTTGAGATGTGCGACAACCTCTGATACCAGAACCGGAAGTAGAAAAATGACGACGAGTCCATTGAAGACAAAAGTTGTTCAAAATCGGTTGTCCGAAACCTGTGTTGTTAATAGAAAAAATAAAAGGACAGAGTCGAAGAGGAGAATAAGACTTGGAAACATGTCCAGCAGAAGAATAATGTCATCTTTAATATCACTTTCTCTCCTAGTTCTATTACAGATAAACTTTTCACACGCGACAGGTATGTATTTACAGATAATTAATGAATAAGTCAATCTTTTTCTTATTCCTTCTGTTTTTATTTTTTCCCCTTTTCCAGTTCAATCCCCCCCATCCATTACGAAGGAACCTCCCACAGACGAGCTGCTCTTTCAAGTTGCTGTTCGACAAGATGAAAACGATAAGCCGTTTATCATCGAATGTGAGGCAGAAGGTGAACCCGCCCCCCGCTATAGGTGGATGAAAAACGGGAAAGAGTTCAACTGGCAAGCGTACGATGACAGGATCTCACAGCAGCCCGGAAGAGGCACATTGGTCGTGACTGCCCCCAGAACGGAGGATGTCGGCCAATATCAGTGCTTTGCAACGAACGAGGTTAGTAAAAAAAATACAAGCTCACTATCTTGACTGACCAATAATGACTTTGTAATGATTTTAATCCCGAAATCGTAGTGGGGCACGGCTACAAGTAATAATGCTTATTTAAGGTAAGCATTTTTAGCATGGAGTGAATGTCTTTGGAAATATATACATAAGTATAACATATGAATAACTTATTAGGAAAGCGGAATTGAACTTGTTCAAGGAGGAAGAACCTCCCACCATTGTGGCAGAAGAGGGGGCTCCGTTCAAATGTAATTTAACTTTAACTGTAATGTCCAAGAGGGGGCTCCTTTTAAATGCGAAATAAAATTTTATCTTTAAATCTATTTTTCCAGTGACTTGTAATCCTCCAGGTAAATTAAGTTACAACAAATAAGAATGGAAAGTAATGTAAAAAATTTACATTTAATTCTCTACACCGTTTAGATGGCTGGCCGAAGCCTAAGGTTTATTGGATGTTACAGGTAATTTTAACTAACACAAGTTTTTAATAAGGATTAGTATTGAGAATGTTTATCATTTTCAGAACCCACAAGGTGCCCTCGTAAATATCAACACATCCAGGATTACGGTAGACCCGGAAGGCACACTCTGGTTTTCAAATGTGACTCGACAGGACAGAAGCTCCAACTTTTTGTATTCTTGTGCGTAAAAAGCTTTACACGTTTTTTTATTAAAGTGCAATAAATTGAAATTCTAAGTTTCTTTTTTTATAACTCACAGGTGCCGCCTATTCATCATTCAGGTGGGTGTTGATTCATGCAAATTATAATCATGTTCATGCTTGTATGAAATTGGATTTAACCGTTAATTATCTTCTCTTCCTAGAAATGAATACCGACTCGGAAATCGGGTATACTTGGGTGTCTCTGCCACTAGCAGTTCCGCAACAGCTAACAAACACCCTCCCGTTATGCAATACGCCACGAAAAGAAATACTATAGCTTTGAGAGGAAGCTCCACATCACTTTGGTGTATCGTGGGCGGAACGTAAGAAAGATTTATTTTAGTCCCCACCACTCGTAAACTTTGTGTCGTAATAATCGTAAATGTTATATGTTCTTGTTCTGTAGACCGCTGCCAGAGATAAAGTGGGCAAAGAAGGGCGCCTTTCTTCCCAGTGATATAGAATATGACAATTACGGGAAGACGTTAAAAATCAATAATGTTGATTTTGAAGGTAACCGCAGATTATGAGTAAAACAAATTTTTCACCGCATTTATCTACGTCAGAAAATCAGCAACTAACATACTAATTTTTTCTATGATCTCCATCATATTTCCAACCAAATGAATAGATGAAGGAAATTATGATTGCGTAAGGAAATATGTATAAAAACATTCACATGAAACGATGGGACTGGTTTTCTAATTTGTGTTATGTTTCCAGGATGCCTCAAACGGAGTTGGTTCTCCTATTTCCTACTCGGTCCATTTGACGGTTTATGGTTAGGAGACAAAACTTTATGATGTCTTAAAGTTGTAGTATGTTTGTTTATAACAAACTTTCTTTCTTTTTTAGCCGTTCCTTACTTTACTGTTGAACCGGAAATACAAAACGCCGCAGAAGGTAACAATATAATATTTGCAATGTTTTCTTTGTAGAATATTTCAAGAAATAATTCAAAAATAAAATAATAATCATTATTATTATCAGGTGAAACGGTCGAATTCCAGTGTGAAGCGGCAGGAAAACCAGCCCCAGAGATTAAGTGGATTCATAACGGAAAAGATTTAGAAGAAGCAGAACCAAATCCGAGGAGAAAGAAGATTGGCAACAAGATTATTATTGAAAACATCAAAAAGTCTGACACAGGTGATTACATAAAAATAAGTTAATTAAACTAACTTCCGATCATGATTATTATTTTCGTTCAGGAAATTACGGTTGCAACGCCACCAACAGTTTCGGATACGTTTATAAAGACGTTTATGTCAACGTACTCGCTCTTCCCGCAGAAATCACGGACAAACCCAAAGACGTTGTCACGACGGATGGAAAATCAATTACACTAACATGTCGCGTATTTGGAGGTAAATGCAAAGTGATTGTTTTTTAAATTTAGATTGTTATTTCCATTTGCAAATTTTTTTGTTTTTCAGCACCAAAACCGTTAGTGAGATGGTACCGAAATGACCAAGAATTGACCGGGGGACGATTTAAGGTTTTACCCACGGGCGACTTGGCAATTCGCGACGTGACGCTGGTTGATTCAGGAGAATATTTTTGTGATGCGAGAAACAAATTTGGAAATGATAGTGCGAGTGGTACTCTGGTCGTTAAAGGTAGTACAGCAATCAGCAACAATAATTAAGTACAAATTAATGATGTTCAAAAAAAATTAAACGTGTATCCTTATTTTAGAACACACCTGGATCAAAGATAAACCTATTGACTATGAAGTCGCTGCCGGAACCACTGCCACTTTCCGCTGTTCTGCCGATACTGATTACAGCCTTCGCCCCCTCTTGCAAATCCACTGGTTGCGTAACAATGAACAAATTGATTTCGATGCCGAGCAACGCTATGTCAAATTACAAGACAATTCTCTTACCATCGACAAAACCACCGAGCTCGACTCTGGGATATATACTTGTCTTGCTCAAACAGATTACGATAACGACACGGCCTCTGCTACACTTACAGTACAAGACGTTCCCAATCGGCCAGAATTACTGGGAATAAAATGTTACCGACGTGACTCAACGATCGCTTGGAAGCCTTTAGGAGACAACAGATCCCCAATTCTACACTACACCATCCAATATAACACCTCTTTTACTCCAGACACATGGGAAGTAGCGGCCAAAGATGTCCCTGCCACGGAGACAAGTTATACAGTGTCAATGAGTCCATGGGCAAATTACACGTTCCGAGTAATTGCGAGGAACAAGATTGGACCTTCCATCCCATCCTTGCACTCTGACGTTTGCACGACTCCACCTGATGTGCCGTTTAAGAATCCAGAAAATGTGAGGGGTCACGGAACCCAGCCGACCAACCTGGTTATTACTTGGACCCCGATGCAAGAAATTGACCACAACGCGCCCAAATTTAAGTATCAAGTCCAATGGAAACCAGACGATTCGTCCTCTCCGTGGCAGCTCGAGGAGATAAAAGATTGGCGGAGGAGCGAATTAATAATAGAAAATCAGCCCACGTATCGCCCGTACTTGATAAAAGTCAGGGCACTAAACGAAATTGGAGAGTCAAATGTGGCTCCGACGGAGATTAGAGGATTCTCAGGTATAGTAAATTTTAAATATCAAACAAATGAATTAGTGAAGATTTAGAAAGTTAGGTGGGGTTTTCATTATCATTATCAAGTTCATCCTAGGAAGATATTTATGCTTATGCAATACATTTTCATTACGATTTTCAGGCCAAGCCGAACCAACGGATGCTCCTGAGAATTTTACCGTGATTGGGAAAACAGAAGCTCACGCCGCTCTTGTCTCGTGGTAAAAATTCATATATATTTTTATACAATTTTTATAAAATTTGACAATTAACAAACTCAACGTCTCAATTCCAGGTCTCCTGTTCAGCCGACCAGTCTCCGTGGAAAATTTGAAGGTTACAAAGTTCAAACGTGGACCGATACCGACGGGGAAGACGACCGGCGTGAAATTTTGATCAAAAATGATGTTACGAGAGCTGTTGTGGACAAACTTGTCCCGTACTCCAAGAATTATTTGGTCGTGATGGCATACAACACGGATCACAACGGACCTCCAAGTCGAACCATTGAGGTTGTCACACCAGAAGGGGCACCCGGCCCGGTCGAAGCATTCGAAGGATTTCCACTGGGTGCAAGCGCGCTTCTCTTGATTTGGAGAAAGCCTGACCAGCCGAACGGAATTTTGACTGGGTATCAAGTCTATTATCATAAAGTAATTGGAACGGAGGTGGACATTTTACAACAACGAAATCCAATCGATGATCCTGAAGAAACGAGAGCCAAGTTGGCTGGATTGGAGCCTAATACGAAATACCGAGTGCATATTAGGGCTGTAACAAGTGCAGGGGCTGGAGATGAGTAAGATTAAGATATTTTAATGCTTAAGATTTTAATTAAAATAATGGGAGCATGCTAATTTTTTCTTTAATATTCGAATTACAGTACATTCATTGAGGTGAGCACAGAACCACTCGGAAGTCAACTACCCCTTGAGCAACCCAAGTTCATCTGGAGATCGGTTGAAACGGAAAATGGTAAAGCTGCCATACGAGTGAAATGGGTGCCCAACCTACACGGATCTGGACGACCGGGAGCTCATTTCTTTGTTCAGTACAGGTATGCATTTTTAGTGAAATGTCTTGACACTTCAGAAGAAAATTTGTTACTAAATATTTCTGTGATTAGGTTGTATGGAAGAACGACATACGAATCCACAGAGCCAGAACTTTATGAAGACTACATCATCGTCCGTGGTCTCGAGCAGGGGGAGACGTATGTCTTCCGCGTCGTAGCTGTGGACGGTACCCTGACAAGCACGTCTGATGAAGAGGAGATTTATACTTATGCTGGTATGATATATTTTTGTATTTTAAAAGATAACAATTTGTTCCGAAAATGATCAGCTCAATTGAATATCTTCAGATGGTCCAATAGTGCAGCGTGCAACGACGACAAGCACGGGGTGGTTCATTGGCCTGATTGTCGCAATCGCTTTTCTCGTTCTTATCCTTATCCTGTAAGTTATTTCGTGCTAGCAAACACAAAACCTTAATTTGTCCTGTATATTTTTTATTAATTTACAACATCAATTTTTTAAACTAGGGTATGCATCGTGAAGCGTAACCGAGGAGGAAAATATGCCGTTTATGAGAGAGAGATTGCTCATGGTCGGTTAGATTATGACGAGGGGGGATTCCGTGAATATTCTCAGCCGTAAGTAAACAGTAGCTTAATTAAGTAATTAACATATTCAAAAATACCGTTAATTAACTGTCATAATTTTCTGCAGGACTGAAGCTGCCGGACGTTCCTCGATGGGAAGCGAATTCAAACCTCCACATGAATCTGATACAGATTCCATGGCCGAATATGCCGATGAAGGTGATTAATCAGTTGTAATAAATTGATTTTACATACTAACTAATTATTGCATTGTTTAAACAGCCAAGTTCACGGAAGACGGGTCTTTTATCGGCCAATACGGTGTGAAAAAGAAGCCTGACACAAATCTTCCTTCCCCGATGGCAACCTTTGTCTGATCTTATAATAACAATCTCTAACTTACTTTTACTCTGTTTTTATACAAACCGACAACAACAACTTACACTCTTACGTTATCTGCTCTCACAATTTCTAATATATTCAACAACGTGAATCTCATTCTTATCTCTGAATATTTATTCATTCAATTAATTATTCAATTCAAGTGTTCACTTACTAGTTAAATATTTTGTTACTGACAAAGATGAAGAAAAGGGTGTTATCTGTCGTGGAGATGGTGGTGGTGAAGGTGAGGTGATGCTGCCAATCAAATCATATAAGTGTACCTACAATGTAGAAAAAGGAAAGCAACAAATGGAATCTGTTATCTTTGAGTCTCACTCTCTCGGATCATCAGCGATTATTAATGTAAACAGAAATGGACGCAAATTACTTGCATAACAAAATTATTTGCAACATTTTGCAGTTTTAAATTCGTCCATGTCCATGTAAAATAGGATACAAGGTGCAAAAGTAATACGTTTGTGCAAAGTTAAAAAACTTGTTGTTAATTAATTAATACTTACATTCATACATAGACTAACTATTAGGCAGGAATAGATAGAAAAGAGAAACTTGTCCAGTCCAGCTAATATGCTTAGGTAATGGTGAAGCTTATATAATATTTATACTGTCAACGATATCTACCGACTTGAGAAAACTGATGAGAAGAATTTTTGCCTTAACTTTATTTTTTAAAAACCAGCTTTACAACAAAAAATATGTACTGAAACCTTCCACCGGTGTTGGTGAAACTTTATTATTATAAACAGTTAAATTATTTACAAAGTGACTATGTAATTGCTGCTGCTGCCTACTACTCTTAGAAGACATTTGTACGAGTGCCTCGTTTAATCAACAACTATAGTATTTAACTTGTACAATAATAAAATGAAATAAAATAACTCGACGACCGGTTACACTACTACTGCTGCTACTACATTTATACATAGCTTGGCAGGTACATAAATAAGTACGTAATTAAGAGAACTTTTTTTATTTTATGACAAATACATAATATATGTTGGCTCTATTTTGTAAAATTGAAAAATAGGAATGAAATGTGTACCAACCAATGAATGCAAGTCTTATTATTTAATTGTACTTGAAAACAGTGCGATTGATTATGCTGCAGAACAATTGTTTTTTTATAAACCTGTGAAAGTATGAATTAATTAGGATAAAGATGGAAATTTTTTCAGTTTTATTAACAATTATTGCTTTAACACTTATCCAGAATTATTAAATTTACTTATTTCATTGTTATACATATACGCTGGAGATATCGACTTAATGAAAAAATCATAATAAATGGAGCAGAAATCTCCCAAAATTCCATACCTCAAATTTGTAAATACCTAAAGAAATATGTCACGAATGCAACACTAATCTCATCCACACCAGCATTTTTGGTGTTATATAAGTTTAAGAGACTTGTTTTCTTTCAGCCACACAGTTTGGTTTTCATGAATGAAAATACTCGATCCAAAAAATTCACTGACGTCAATCCATTCGTATTTAAGACATTCAAGTAAGAATACAAAGACATGAGCTCTCTCTTTAAGCTGAATGGTGGTGCATCGTAGCATCGTATCGGTAAGTATTTAGAATGAAAAGCCGAAACAAGGGTTGTTGTCTAAATAACAAGGAGAAAAAGTTTATCGGTTTGTTATTGCACATCTTGTCATACATTCATCTCGTGCAGACGTAACATCTTTAACGTCTTTAACCAATCCACACACATCTTGTCAACTAAATTTAGGGAAGGAATTCGATAATGTAAAATTCCACGAAAAAATTGAATGATTAATACCTTTTTGTAAAGAAAGTAGGCACCCATTTCTATTTATTGACCAACTAACTCTTAGATATTGTTCTCTAAGGATAAGCTTTGAATACAAACATACGACTCGTGTGTGTGGCAGTTGGATCATGTCATTTTTTTGGCTGATAAATCGTGAACCTCTTTAATTTCGCACTCAAGAAAAAATATACTTGACTCCTTCCTTTCGAAAGGTTCCGTTCAGTTTTTTATCATCATCTTCATCATCACACATATGCTAACAAGGGACACTCACGACCTGTCGTTTGAGTCCAGGGTACCCACTATGTTTTTTAGAATCTACTAGGACCCCAGATGAAGGATCCATTCATATTTCCGTGTAAAACTCATATTTGGCGCCATGGCGTGGCGCCAAACTTAAAAATTTACATTTTCGACCAACTTCAAACCCTCATAACTTTTGCAGTTTATGTCGGATTTTCAAAATTTTATGCTTAAAATGATCACAAAAGTCGAAATTTTTGACAAAAAATAAAAATAAAAAATTTCTAATTTTTGCAATATTTTTAGGATTTTTTCGACGAACCCCCATTTCGAAGAAAATTACGAAATTTTGCGAAAAGTTAAAAGCGATAATTTTAGAAAAAATTTCATGGAATAAGAAAGTTGAACTCCTTGTCATGATTTTTGCCAAAAATTTTGAAAATCCGTCCACAATTTCAAAAGTTATGGCGGTTTCAAAAATAAAAACATTCAATTTTGGCGAATTTGGCGCCACGCCACGTCGCCAAATATGAGTTTTACACGGAAATATGAATGAATCCTTCATCTGGGGTCCTAGTAGATTCTAAAAAACATGGTGGGTACCCTGGACTCAAACGACAGGTCGTGAGTGTCCCTTGTAAGTAGATTAGTCAAGCAAGCGACTATTGCATGTATATTTGTTGGAATGGGAAAAAATATGAGCTACGTCTCCCAGAATATATGTAAACCATGAAAGTGTTATGTGCATAGTTTGTAAAAGTTAGCATTTTCTCATACAAATTGCACATAAAAATTTGCATTATTCTACCCGTTTTTATCGGAATCAACAGAATGCTACTTCATTTGGACTAAAAAAAATCATAATAATTATTAAAATTATATGAATTTTCCCCCCACAATTATTCTATCGGGTGCCCAAATAATTAAACGCGTCGTACTCTGGTTCATATCTCTCTCTTTTTCCATCCACCGACGTTCAGTGATCCACTGTATGCAAGTGTGGAGTTCGAGAAGAGTGTGTTAGAATGTGCAGATGCATGTAATGTGAGAGATATTTGTCTTTTACAAACGTACGAAAAAAAATCATCCGTCGACGAGAAAGGGGTTCGGGAACGAGGAGGAGGAGAGAAACCAAAAAGTTCAAACAGAATCTCAGCCCCCGATGATGATGATGCCACCACAAATGTAAGTTCTGATACTGCATGGTCTTCCTTGCGGATGGAGGAATCTTTTAGCTTTCAGCCTCAGAAAACGGGTGCCAAGTACACTAATCGAAAATACTAAAAAGTCACATCTTCCACTTGCTCCCAACTTGGTTAACTGACTCATCTCGCAATACACAATGGATATATTCCTTCAAAAGTTGGACAAATTGCATAAGAACACACATGTCTTTAATTACAATTGGGAAATTAAACCCTCGTCGATAATTTAGTAGGAGGAATTTCATTTTGGAACAGGGAGCATGTAAAAATAAGTTGTACAGTAATTTGCGCCGAGTGAAAGTTGGTGATTTGATTGTATAAATATTAATTTCGAATTTTAATAATGCTCCCGTGAATGAGTACTCAAGTCTAATTGAGTTGGTATAAAAGTGGAAATCATGAAACGAAAACGACTAAACGCTGAAAATGGGAAAGTTTCGAATAGTTGCTTCTTTCAAAAATGAGTTTGTGCCACATTTTAACAAATGGATAACATTATTTTCCTCTTCATTAGTCAGAAATGAAGAGAAAGCAGGAAGAAGACATGGGAAACGGCTTTCTCGGGGTGATTGTCACAAGGAGTCGGTACACTAATTAATTTTTAATTAGCAGTATGAAGTTCAAAATGTAAAATAATATACAGAAAATTCTACCAGCTCCCTCGACAAGTGGTGTCTTTCTCCTGTATAAAATCGATAATAAAAATGGTGACTTGAAATAATTTAAGCTGTTTGTTAATTGGTTGTGATCTCGCCTCTCTCACATAAACCTACGTAAATACACATATCCAATCTACTAAATTCTACAACTAGTCAATAATAATGCTGCACATTTTTGGAAATATGGATCCCGAAATATGGATAATCTCACTCACTTCCGCCGTACTGGACACCAAGAGAAAGTGCACGACGATCCCACTCAAACTAAAGAAAGTTTATTCGAACCGAATTTCCTGATTCTTAAGAAAATAGCAAATATAAAATGACAACAATTCCCACTCTGTCGTGGTTGTGGTCGACTATAAGTTTAGTAATAAAAAAATGTTTCTAATAATTAATAATACTGCCGTGTATCATTTCTACCAGTACCGAATGTCAGTCATACTTAATAATTTTACGATAAAGTGCGTACATTAAATATACAATTTGTCACGATGATGTTCACCGGATCGCCGCGGAAGAGGCAGACGCAGAGTGGGAGCGGCGGTGGAGGCGGCGGTGGGTCGCATCGGCCGAGCAGGGCGAGTGCGCATTCCAGTACAAATAATCCAAGCACGTCGTCCGAATCCACGAGGGCGAGATCCTCCAGTGATGTGAGTCCACTTTCTTTTTCTGCTTAGGATTAGTGTCAAATGAATAAAATTGTATGACCGGAAGTCATTTCATTAATATTGTTGTGGGCGGATGATGAATTAAATGAGGAATGGAATTACCGTTAACATATAAATTTATACTTTTAACACCTACATACACCGTCAGACCACGCAGTCAGATCTTCGTCTGAATGGCCTGCCCTGTTATAAATGAGATGTGACATGAATGAAAAGATGATTCGTCGTCGTAAACCCCGTCGTCATTTATCACACACAATCTGTCCCGTTTCATTGCAATAACGAGGCATTGTTCCACTTTCATCTCGTCAGAATTATATTAATCCTTATAGACCTCGACTACATCCGTTACACATATGTATGCATTTAGTTTACGTAGTTTTATTGCTTTACTTTACAACAAGGCAATCCTAATTAGAATCATTGACGTGATGACTTCATGACTCATGAGATGAATGCGATTGTGTGCTGCAATTTAAGAATGCATATACGTTGAAAAAATCTCATAACTAAAAGACAGAGACGACGGTTGCGTCTCCTTGTGTGCCGAGAGATTTTTTGCTAATGAGGGGGGGCGGGGCGAAGAGAGCAGCTGATTTTCATTTAAACAATGCAGGCAGTTGCATGTAAAAAGTTGCTTTGGGTTTTGAGAGTGACCGTTCCCACTCTCCAAACGGGGCATCGCGAACCAGAAAAGGAGAAAAATTTCGACTAAAACTTTTAATTTGCAGCTAATACAAAATGGATTGATTTCGTTTTGGTGGCAATAAATTCCCAAGTTTGTGCTTTACAATTGCCATGTTGCATAAATTCCATAATAAATCTCGGTGAAAAGTATTGAACTGAAACATGGACTCATATCATGTTTCAGTCCAATACTTTTCACCGAGATTTATTATGGAATTTATGCAACATGGCAATTGTAAAGCACAAACTTGGGAATTTATTGCCACCAAAACGAAATCAATCCATTTTGTATTAGCTGCAAATTAGAAGTCTTAGTGACAAAAATCATTTACATTACTGGTAAGTGGCGAGGAGAAAAAGTCAACTCGCTCACTAGGATGCCCAGACTGTTCCCTAACTCAAACTTTAAGGAGGGGAGCTTGCGAGGTTGATAATAACAGATCTTGGTGCCCTTTGGATATGTGGTAGGGACCCATGAGTGTACTAAAACCCTGAAGTAGTTTGACTCCATGGCCACATTTGCGCCCGCCACACCCACTCAAAAATGCCCAAAAAACGCTTTCACTCGAGTTTTCACTCACTCAAATCTACGTCAAAAATCCAATTTTACTCGGATTTTGAAATTTCTTTCACCATTATACTCCCAGATAGTTGCTTTCTTCAATCCAATATCAAACTCAATTTTATTGATGATTATTTCGCAAACATAATTTGTTTTGTTGATGACTACAACAATGCTCATTCAGAATTTTAAATTTTAAAAATACTAAAAATTTCGAAAAAATTGAGTTTGATATTGGATTGAAGAAAGCAACTATCTGGGAGTATAATGGTGAAAGAAATTTCAAAATCCGAGTAAAATTGGATTTTTGGCGTGGATTTGAGTGAGTGAAAACTGGGGTGAAAGCGTTTTTTGGACATTTTTGAGTGGGTGTGGCGGGCGCAAATGTGGCCATGGAGTCAAACTACTTCAGGGTTTTAGTACACTCATGGGTCCCTACCACATATCCAAAGGGCACCAATATCTGTTATTATCAACCTCGCAAGCTCCCCTCCTAAGTAGTAACCCAACGTTGCAAATCTTGACCGAGTCAATAGTCCGATCCTACACGTCTCATGACATATCTCACACTGATAGATACGAGCTGATCCTTTGTAGACGATCTATGAAAAAAAAGTGTCCTTTTCTTTATCGACAAATTCGTACGAAGCTGACATTTTCAACACTTCCCTGTAAAACCACCCACCCAAATTGGAAACGTGATAACGTGACCACTCTCTACTTATATTTCTCCCACTTTTACTTTATTTGTTTACTTTATAGCATATAAACTCTGACCCTTGTTTGTACTAGTTGTGTCTTCATTCGTACTCGTAATGAAATTATGAGACGAAACAACGTTCCGCCATTTATGGAAGTGTTACATACTAATTGAACGGAAATAGTTTGTGTACATTTTCTTGAACTTGCGTTAAATGTCAAGATGGACCATTACTTACACGACTGCATCGAGCCGTACAAGTTGGACGCCAAGATGTGGACTACGCCACAAAATAACCACCACCACCGTGGTCATCCCCATCATCGGGCACCCCCAACGCCAAAATCCCCCCACAAAATAATTAATTACAGTAGTAGTCCTATCAGTAACAATAAATTATTAAACGTGCATTTATTCGTGCAACAAGCTCACGTAGGAATTTTTTAAAATATGATAAAATTATGGGTGAAAATTTGTCTAAAAATTATTTTCAAATTTTTACAGGGTCGTCCCACCCGTGGCGTCAACAGTTCTTCTTCATCTTCCGCATCGACATGCACCACACGGACAAATTCCGCTTCAACCTCGCTCGGAATGCGTCTCCTGTCTGAAGGCGAAGGTAACGTAAAATCGTCGTTTAGACATAAAGTAAATGCATGCATTTTAACGCACATTATGCATCAAAATGATACTCAAACGCCCACTATTTATTTACACTGACATTTTACGCCCTTAATTTAGTCATAAAAATGTAGAAAAATCTCTTTCCAAGAGTTTATAAAAAAGAAGTAACGGTGAAAATATTTATCTTGCAATTTTCCTCCCATTTATGAAACGTTCATAAAATATCTAACTACGAGGTTGCATAATAATAAATAATAATATCCAGAGCTCAGAGAGCTGAGTGAGTAATATTTCGCTTTTTTGCGGTCGTTTGAGAGAATTCGCGTCATGATTTCATCTCCAAAGTTTGTGGAAGTTGTGGAAAAATCTCGTAAAATATGAGTCGGGTTCTTGCAATATTTGTTTATTTATGGTGGAGCAGAAATGAAGGCTTCTTCTGCTTCCTCATCGTTTTAGATAGATAGACTGGCTCCAATTTTTTGGAATTCTTCTCTATCATAATATCCTACTTTTGGTTCTTGTTGTATCCAGTTCTTAGATTTTCAAGTCAAGTGTGCACATGACGATATGGGGAAACATTTTAAGAAAATATCGGTCTTTTGCTTTTTACATGAACAAGTATTTAGAAAAGTAGAAGACGGAAAGACGACGGCGGTCCGTCGTCGGTGATTTTGATGGATGAAAAGTCATAGCTGGCTGTAGGCCAAGAATTTTTTTTATGACAGAGTTTACAGATTTATGGAATATTTCAAGGCTAATCGCAAAACCTAACAACCAATTACTCCACCCATGTAAATAGGAATGTATCGATATATGCAGGAAAGTTCGGTGTGGTGGTAGTGGGATTCTGATGGGAACATCATAATATGCGATATTTCCTCAAGGTTCAATAATACCAGAATCCCAGAAGGTGCAAAAGTTTTGGAAAAAGTAGGAATAAATCACGTTAAAAAGACTTGAATCCATCTAAAGTTTAATAATAAGGGCAACAGTTTAATAAAATGAGAGCAGGTGCATTAAAATAAAATATTAGCGAATAGATTTATGGAAATCTATGATTACATTTGATATAAAATTGTATTACATCTGAGAACGTTACAAATAATACTTCATAATAATACATAAATTATCTGCTTTATTTACCTTTACCTGTTATTTAGTAGCATTTTGACGCCGTTATGATAATATTTGACGGGTGGTGTTATTCATAATGGGTATAAACAGGTAGATATGATATGAGTGATTGAGATTTAATAAGTGAATTTCACATTATAAATTGCACTACATATTTAACATAGAGCATTTGCATTACTTAACATTCGATTCCCTTGGTGTGACGATAATAATGACGAGCATACGAGAAATATGACGCGTTACTATATTATCTCCTCGCACGACACCTTTTTCTTGATGAAAAGTCGCCTCGTTGATGCATAAACGACTCCTCGCCTGGTTCTCATCATTCGGCGGATTCAATTACTTTCTGTCGCTGACTGGGTGGTTTCCTCTCCTCGGTATATCAAATAGATGAATAGGAGGAGGAGGAGACCGACCATTTGGCACTCTGATAAATTGACTTTTTCCTTATTCCACCGGCTCCCAAATTCTTCCCAGAGCCAACAAGTAATAATACACACGTTGGCAAATGTAAATTTATTGATTACCTTAACACCACCCATTCTCACTAACTAACCAACTATGTAACAACTAAGCATTATAAAACATTTTGAGTCGAATCTCGCCCCATTTTCCGTCAAAACTCGGTTTGACTTGTATACCCACCCCACATTCCGGGGACATCATTAAGGAAATTTGTGCATACTACATACATTCTTTTTTGCGTCTCAAATCCCTTCCAGATCTTTACCATGCGATAAGCCAGGCTTATCCGTTCCAGAGTAATATATGGGTAAACTAAATAAGTAACTTAAATCATAATCTGTTAAAAATTCCTCCCGTAGGAAAAAAAATAACTCTCCCTTCACTGCTTTAACTCTTATCTCGGATTTTGCACGCCCCTGATCTTCACAGCGTGCTTAATAATATCGGAATTTAACGAGAGTGAAAGATGGATAGTTAGTTATCGTTACTTGGACGGTTCGTTCTTAAAATGGATTTCGACTACGAACTTTGAAGACAGAGAGACTTGTCGGTGATGTCGGTGATGAAAGACACACGGCTCCAATTAATAACCTCTCACACAAACCACAAACACGTTCCCATTTATTTATAGCTTTCCTTTCTCTCTCCCAAAATCTATAACAATTACTCATGTTTTATTATTGGAACTATATATACACGCGGCCGCCGTGGGTTTAAGTGTGGTGTGGTGGGTTTGTAGTTTTTTGCGTTTTTTTTCTTGGTTCGGCGAGAGAGTGTCAAAATGGGAGACAGAAGAGCAAGCAGGAAGCTAATATTTAGTTATTTGTTAAGGCTATGATGATCATGATGATGACTCAGACATTTTTAGCGGTGTCAAGTATTGTGTAATGTGGTATGTATGGGTGTCATGTCGTGTCATGCGGGGTGACAATTGCATATACGAATTGTCACAAGACAGACAGACCCGAAGAAATATATGCTTATCTATTAGAGTTTTACACCATTCATAAATTTTTTTGCAGGGAGCATTGAAGAAGAAAGCAGCAAGGAATCTGGCGACGCGTACAACATCACGGGACGTCGTGGGGCGATAAAACATCAAAAAGTTCATGAAGTCAAGGGACACCGCTTTGTGGCAAAATTCTTTCGACAGCCCACCTTCTGCGCGTTCTGTCACGACTTCCTCTGGGGCTTTGGAAAGCAGGGGTACCAATGTCAGCGTAAGCTCTTTGTGTTCTTTCTGAAAGCGATATAATGGAGATCTAGCGGATGTTTGAAAGACGAAAAGTTTTAAAAGCATCCGTTGTCGATCGCTTGTGTGACACCGGGTCGGAAAACGGTTTCACTTTAGCCGAAGGAATGCAAGCATGCCAAAATATTTGTGTGTGTGTGTGTACGGGTAATAAAGTGTGGAGGTAAAAAGGTTATATTGCTGGTGCTTATTGGTGTGGATGAGGTGCCAAGATTTGTGAGAAAACGCCACGGTACCAAAGTCGTGTTTATTCTACTTTCAAACTTTTTTCGCTACGGAGCGTTGCCAGTTTTGAAATTGGGATGCGCTCAGATTTTGTTAACTGAAGTTGGTTTTGCTCCTTAATTGCAGTGTGTCAAACTTCTGTGCATAAGAAATGCCACGTGAAATTGTTGGGGAAATGTCCAGGCTCTGGGAAGGAATCGCAGAGCACAATTGTGAGGAAATAAATATATGCATAATGAAGGATGCTATTTAGTTAATGATGACTTTCACTGAACTAATCATAATTTCAGTATCTCAGAGAAAGGTTCAAAATAGACGTTCCTCATCGCTTCAAAGTGAATAATTTTAGGTAACAGATGAGATAGATAATTGTGAATTTTATCAAAAATGTATATAATAATTTTTTGTCTGTATACTTTTTAGGAGTTGCACCTTCTGTGACCACTGTGGCTCCCTTTTGTACGGTTTGTTTAAACAAGGTTTGAAATGCGAAGGTAAGAAATCTATGCAATTTATATAATTATTTCGATTTCTCTCCTCTCAACCAAGGGCAACACTTGCACTAGAAGACCTCACTATCTTAAACAAACTTTTAACAAATGCTAACGCCAAAAACAAAACAGTATTGGCGTTAAATAGTTACACAAATCCTGTAAAATTGAACGCATATTTCAAATTCCTTGGTATTTTATTTCACCGACAAATACCTCAGATTTTCAACTGGTAATTGGCATACATGAAATCATACGATTCATTATGGTTTTAAAGACAACAACATTCCATGATTACTGCGGATCAAGTTCTTGCTTCTCAGTATCACTGGAATACTTTGTTTTCAAAATAGTTTCAAAACCTCAACATTTCCTGCATGGTTTCCAGATGTAGTTTACAAATGTACGATATCTCTCTGCTGCATAACACCAAATTCCATGAGCTGTGAACCAATCCAAATTGTTACCAATTGTACCACCAACTGTATGTGTTAACTGCAAACTAGGTGAAACGAATTACGGCCAAGGTTTCCTCGTCTGTTTCCAGTTCAGCACCCTGTAGACATACACAAATGAGAATAAGAGTTATTCCACTAATTGGTCTCAATAAACGATCAACTGTCAACTATTTCAACTGGTTTAGCTGTTACATAACTTGGCTTCTGTATGTAATTCTGTGGTTGAGTTATTTTGCAACAGAATTTTACCAAAGTTTCCTTTAACTGAAATCAGCAGCAATGTGTTCCTCCTGTCCCAACTTTGTCCAATCCTTTAACCAAGTATGACAACTTGATTAAATATGTCACACTTGAAAATTTGGCACTCACAAGGACTGCATCTTCAATTTCAATTTACTTGCATCTTAATTTACTCTACTTACGATGAGCCCCATTTAATGCAACGCAACGCAATAATATTGACCATGTAGATAGATTTGTACATTTAACGTCATAAATTGTGACACGAAATGAATCCGACTTTTTACTTTGACAAGCTGAAAGTCATAACATTGCAAAAATTCGAATATACATACATACATATAAATTCGCACTATATGCAAAAAAACAAGTAGAGCACGTGGTTCGTTTAGTTCATCAGTTATGTTAAAGAAAACTAAAATTAGAGTAAAGACACTTGACTAAGGTTTATTTTTAGCCGTGTTTCACCCTTTTCCGACACGATAAATATACATATTTAAAGTTAAACTTTCAACAACCCATTGTACCACGATGATGATGATCATCATCACAAGGTGAAGACCAGAATGTTTTTTAACTTGAAACTTTAATGAGACGAAGGTTCCCCTGCAGCTGGAAAATTTCATCAACTGCAAATTAAACACATTTACAAATCGGCGATTTGTTTACGTTCTTGAAGAAAAAAGCCAAAATGTCTGAGCAGCTATTTATTGTATTTAAGCTGAAATTTCCTCCCCGTTTATCCCATAATCTTTCACTACACATGTTAACATGACAGGACGTTTGTGATGCAAATGCTGACCGTGACAAAGTTTTCTTGTATGCATGTGGCTGTGGCGTCTCAAGGTTTCCTCATCGTACCCACGCTATATTAATTTAATTGACTTACACGTGTTGCACAGTTTAATTTAATTACACCACTTTTAATTAGTTACGTGCCCCACATATAATTTTAGTTATCTTTTAATCGATTCAAAGTATCAAAGTAGATATGAAAATTATTGGCATGCGGACGTCGAATGTGTGTAGAGGTCGAAGTCTGGGCCGGGTTAATAAGGCATGACCGCTTTATTACGGCTAGAGAAAGCAGCCGCGTCGTTACACAATTCTTTTGGGGCTCAAATACTTATATCGGTCTCTCTTATGATCATTCTGATAAGCCACACTTCAGGTTGGATACATGATAATTAGCGTATTTTATTTCCCGTCCGGGGACATTTAGATGGCAAGAGACACCCACATAAATACTAAGAAAGGATCCCAGCCAAGTCTTATCGTTTCGCATTTATCATCGAATATTATTCACCTTTGCCCTTTTATTTTATCGCCTCTGTCACGTCAAGTACATAAACACGTGTCGTTTCCTTAAAATTATTACATTGGTAGTTCAACATTAAACCGTCTTCTTGGTTATTAAAGTGCGAATTAAAGTGAGAGAGACAGCTTGGAGCTGCCTCTCTCATGTGGGGACGACACAAAATATATCCCTCTGTTGAGCCTGACATTGAATAAATGCAGGAGCGATTTTCATGTGCACAATTGCCAAAAAGCTATGTGCAATTTATTTCTACGGGGGATAAAATAATGGGATGTTTTCTTGTGAGTCATCGTACAGTCACAGGTTTCCTTTGAACTTCTCGCAGCGGTCACATTATTTTTTAGTCATGCACAAAGTTATCGAATTTCTTCCCATTGTTCGCATACATATTTTTTTGTATTGTTCTCCGCCGTGATAAACTTTACCTTGAGATGATGATGAGGATCAGCTCCCACCAATGTACTTATTTAAATTTGGGTGACTCACTTGTTGAAAAATAACCACTAATTATCATATTCGGAAAAGTCCTTCTCTTTTAAATGCTCGAGATCTCTTGTTAAAACCAGAAATACTAAACGTGGGTTAATTAGTGACGTTTAAATGTTTTGAGGGGAAAAGTGAAGCTTGCCAATAATTCTGGTAGAGCGTTGCTTAATGTCTTTTCTGCAATACAATGACATGTATTTGTGTGTTTAGCAAGTGAAATTGAATTGTGAAGAGAAAATTTAAAAATAGGATGGAAGGAGGAGCGAGAAGGAGCTATTTTCTGTACAGCTAATTTTTTTTAGTCTAAATAAAAATTCGGGAAAATAATTATATTTAATGGCCCAATCATGCTTATTTCGCTACAATTTAACTACTGCAATTAAATGAGTAATGTGTTTATTTCACTATTTCCGCTTGAAATGGGAGAGAAAAAGAAATCTTTGAAATTCGGACGTGAAGCCAAACCGAAAAAAAGGGAAGGAAAAGTTTGAAAAGTCCTTGGTTTGGCTTTTGGTGCATTTAACTTTTAACTTTATTTAACTCCACAAGTAAAGATCTGGTTGAGCAGTGGCAGTGTTTACATTTGCCATGTTAACCAACCGTGGATATGTGGAGATACATACGGATATACGTTTCCTGGTTGGTGTAGTATCGTCGTCGTCGTCGCCGCAGACACCACCGTTGTCGAAACGGATCTCATGCCAAATCCAAAAAGCCAAAAGTTGTAGCTTATTCGCATCCACTGAGTCAGTATTGAAATAGGAAGCGGATAACGTATAGTGATGGTAAAACCCGTAGAAATGGATTCCGGGTTTTTTCTATTACTTAAGTCAAAGTGAGTAGAAAGAATTTTGTTAGTACTTTAAAATTTCGGATTCAGATTTTTAAAATAGTTTACGTTTTTCTTTTCTGACACAAAATAAAATGAGGTGACATTACTTATCCAAGTAGAAAAATGCCGTATCCTACTAAAAATTCTAAGTACAGTGGTACTAACTCTACCAGTGGTGGTAGTAATAGTGGTTACTCGTCGTCACCGTTTGGAGGTGGGGGCAACTTTCTGGGACGGTATGATCCTTACGGATCTGGGAGTAGTCCTTTTCCCACTGGAAGATCCCCTCTCTTCGGCGGTTCCTCCTACAGCAGTGGTTCCGGTTATGGTCTTGGGAGTTATGGGAGCGCCTTCACGAGTGGGGGTGGTGGATCCGCGTACGGTGGGTCGAGCTATGGGGGCTATTCTTCTGTCTCAAAACTTGGCGGTTTGGCCACAATTTCTGAGCATTCCACTCTACCTTCGTCGGCGTCTTCTGCACAACGACGCCTTCCACGAGGCTATGTCCCCTCCTCCCTGTACTCAACCCCGTCAAATTATACCCCTTCTTCTTACACGAAGAAACCTGCCCTCTTCGACACGGAGAATATCGATGTCACGTCGCCACGAAAACCGGCGACGCAACCTCCTCCTTCTTCTTCCAGTACGTCCGAATCCTCTGCAACGCCGGGCGAAATTACCCGCGATAAAACCTTCGGTACTATTAAGCGGGGTCGTACCGTGATCCGAATTCGAACCAAGAATCAAAAAGAGAACCCTTATTTGTCCACCGACGAGAGAAATGAACGTGCCGAAGAACGTAAGAAGGAAAAAGATAGGGACAACTTGGTTCAAAAGTTGAAGGACGAATTGCGAGATGAGTTCCCCGCTGACCTGTTCCAAAAACCGGCCCCTGCCGCCAAGAAAGCGGCTGGGGATAAGTTTAGGGAAAAGTTTATGATTCAGAGTAAGAAGAAAAAGTATTCTGGATACAGAAGACCAACGTTAAGCGATATTCGGAGCGAAAAGGACTTGTTGCAGAAACAACTTGGCGAAAGATTAGCGCTTATCGCGACCGGATCGGAAATTACGGATGAGCTTGAGGACGAGACTGAGCGGTTGAGGGAACGATTAGCTCAACTTGAGAGGCGGATTGATCGAAGGTACTCGAAAGCGTTGAGGAATTCGATGTCCACGGATGAGGATTCCGCCGCGGAGGATACGATTGAGAGGAAAGGGACGCTAAAATTGAAAAAGAGTTCTTCCAAGAATGCGTTAAAATTAATGACAAAACTTGATCCGTCGTCGGATGGTGCTCATAAATCGAATCCAACCACGCCAAGTGATGAGGACAAAAAGAGTCCCATGCTTAAGAGGAAGGCGACGCAGAAATTCTTTTTCCCAGCGGAAGGTGCGTCTTTGGTCCAACCGGAAATTGTGGATTTGGAAGCAATCACACAGCCAGAACCGGAGGATGACTTTGAGAAGAATATCCTCGCCCATAGAACAACTGTGAGGAAGTTGAGCCATCAGAATGTCAAGTACATACAGCCGAGAAAGTCTTCCTTGGATATGGTCGATATTTTAGAAGTGGTCAACAGTTTGAAAAGTGGGGATGGGAGTGAAACTCAGAAACCGGAAGTTGCTCAAGCCAGTGATGAAACCAAGCCAAAGAAAGTTGTGAAGAAGAGGAAAACTCCGGTTGTTACTGCACCCCCAATTTTAGACTTAAAATCAGAATTGGTTGAAAATCCCCCACCACCACAACCACCACCACGAAAGGGTAAAAGTCCTGTGGAGAAAGTTAAGCCAAAAGCAGTGGTTGATGTGCATGTCGACGTGGTAATACCAGTACCGCCAGTAAAGAAAGTGATCGTCCCTCCTCCGCCAATTGTGGAGAAAGCTGTACCACCACCAGCACCGGTAGACAAAGTTGTACCACCAGCAAAAGTAGACAAAGTTGTACCACTAGCACCAGTAAAGAAAGCTGTACCACCACCAGCACCGGTAGACAAAGTTGTACCACCACCACCAGTAAAGAAAGCTGTATCACCAACACCGGTGGAGAAAGCAGTCGTCCTTCCTCCACCGATTGGGGACAAAGCTGTAGCAACACCCGTGGACAAAGCAGAAAAAGCACCAGCGAAGGTGATTCCTGCTCCAGAAAAGAAAGTTGAAGTTCCACCCCCCGCACCTGAAAAGAAGACTGTCATACCGCCACCAACACTAAAGGAGAAAGTGTCAGAGGAGAAAGCTGCTGCAAAAACTCAACCCGTGGTGAAAGCACCTCAAGCCGTTAAGAAACCACCAAATACGACCGGAGTCCCAACATTATCAGAATTGGCGACATCAAAATCCAACGAGATAAAAAACACAGAGGTGCCCAAATCAAAAACAACGAGTCCACCACTTAACGGAATTAGTAAGACGCATAACAATATTTTGCAAAATGCAACAACCCTGCTAAATACAGATGCAGCGCAAGGAATTTTGGCTGAAAAGACGGAATTGAAACAAGTCCCGATAAAACCGAAACCGATCACAGCCGCCGCGCCCACCACAACTCCACTTTTTCTCCAAGATGCAATTACAACTGAAAATCTCACCGACGCGGATACCACGAAAATCCCGACACCTGCCAAAGCAGTTCCACTACTTCTCACTAAAAATAAGCCATTGCTCAACACAGAAACCAGATCCAGCTCTTTGGACAAGGTCACAAAACCCACCAACAAACTACAACAAGTGCTCCAACATTGCTCCAAGTCTTCCTCGTTTGATAATTCTGACAGTAAAACTACCACAGTTGTTGGTGGTGATGAGGCACAAGACGCAATTTCGAACAAGAAGGCTGAACCAGGAAACAAACAGACTGATAACGAAGGTGATAAAATAATGTGCAATTCTCAACCAAAGTCTGAGGAGAAGAAGGAGGAGGAGATGAAAGACATCAAACTGAACGCAGTGCCAATGTCAATCGAAATCGACCCTGACAAAGAAAACATTACAGAGAAATTTGAAACTAAACCCAAACCAGCAACGTTGTTACCACATGTTGACGAGAAGAATGCAAATTCCGAGGTTTCTAGTGATGCAATAAGCATTTCACAAATTACGACACCCGATGATTCGCCAAAATCGCCAAAATCCTTGGATAGCGGTACCCCAAAAACCACTCCACCCGATACTCCCGTAAATATTGCGCCTTGGCGAGTAAAAAACAAAGCAGTTGTTGCACCCCAAAAACCTGCCGATGCACCGAAACTTCCCCAACAAAATGAACCAACTCCTTGGCGAACGAAAAATAAAGCTCCGCAAAAGGCGGCGGTAGCAGCTCTAGCGAAAGCAGGCTTGAAGGATGCAACGCCACCGCTTTCCCCAAAATTGAAAGCTTTACAAAATAAACTTGTTGAAAACAAGGAGACGAAGCAATTTACATTTGATAAACCGTACGCTAAAAGCGAACAGGTTAGCAATTCTTCGTCATCCAAGGAGACCAGCCTTTCGCCCACCTCGGTCACTTCGATGAGCCCGGTGGACAGCCTGTCCCCAAAATCAGTTACAAGCTCGGTAGAGAATCTTTCTCCACGATCTAAAAGCAGACCTGCCTCAAAGTCTCCCACTCCTCCTCCTGCTACGCTTCCCCTCGTAAATCTCAAAGGCAAGACCAGCATCGAACTGAAAAAAGTACCTGAATCACCGATTGAAACGAAGCCAGTAACCTCGCCACTGCAAAGTCCAAACGTTGACGATTATAATGTCATCGTGAAAGAAATCACGGAACAGTTGACGACATCAATGAAAGATGTTAGTCCCTCCGTTGTAGAAACAGCAGTGCCTGAAAAAGTTGAACCTATTCAGCCCAAACCCGAGGTACCAAAACCATCGACATCTAAACAATTTTTAGAATCCATTAAACCTGTTGAGTCAAAACCCGCAATTCAAACTCCGGTAAAGTCAAAATCTGATGAGACTGTCCCCACTACTTCAGCCACACCTCCGCCACCCGTTGATACCACACCCATTTCAACTGCCCCCACAGAAGACAAAGCCGCAGTTCCAAAATCTCCCATCAGAAAATCTCGCCTTCCACAAACCAAGTCCAAATCCGATGAGAAAGTCGTGACTAAAAAGTCGAAATCATTGGAGAAACCAAAGTCCAAAAAACGTCCGAAAAGTGGTGACACATCTGTACCGGAGAGTCCAGTGACCATCTCTGGTGAAGGTGAATCGTCGTGCACCACAAGTGTCACCCCTGAGGACAAAGACAAAAACAATAAAAATGAATCTCCACTCAACTTTGACAAGAAAAGTGTTGTTGGTCCCGTTCCAAAAAAATCTGCTTCTCTTGAAGCAGGCGAAAATCAAGATAAAGAACAAAATGTTGATGGAGAAGACGGAAAAGAAGAGCCAACCACGGTTCGGGAGCGCTTATCTTCCTCAAGTAGCAGCAGTGGTAGTGGAAGTAGTGGATCTACACTGACCGCAAAATCAGGCATGCTTATCTATACTTATTCTTATCTTTTATTATTGCACTTTTTGTTTATTTTCAATCTTTGGCAAAAAATTGAATTTTCATGAGGTCGCGTTCTGGGTGAATGTGACTGCATATTGCACGAAGGTGTCGTGTCGCAAGATCTCGTCGATTTTGTTTACCCTCGTCGCCCAAATAGTATTATGCATTACTGGTTTAGAATAATTGTTCAATTAATGAAGAGATAGAGGTTTGTTAACCCTTTCGCCTTCTTCCTCGTCCCGTGCGCTCCCAATTCGCAAAAAAGTGAGTCTGCTTTATGGTTGGTCTTGGCGTTGGCTCATTTTGCTTTCAAATTCTATACGCCCCATTTCATACTCATATGTATGAGTATTATGAGTCTCGCAAATGGTATCATTGACGTCAATCACTTTCTCGGTATCGGTTCATACTTATTATTCGACATGTTACGCAATGGAATATATGTATATACTTACGAATGTGTGGCAGATATGAAAAATGGCAGATGGAAATTCTTTACAGAATTCCTTCATCACGTCCTCACATTCTGTTTACATCAACACTACGCTAGAAAGTATATAGTAGCAAAAACAGACTCGTATTATGTATTTATTTACAAAGTATTTTAGTGAGCGATAAGTGGAAGTCGAGTAGTTGCACTTGGTTTGAGAGAGAGAGAGAAACAAATTTAATCTCAAATTTCGCTAAATTTTTCGCTATTATTAGTATGCAACGTCAACTGTCACCACAAATGCGAAATGTTTATGCCCAACTTATGCGGGGTGAATCAAAGACTGTTATCCGAGGCTTTGATAGCACTTCAGAAAGGTGACAAAAATAATCCAACTTGACAGATTTTGCACTTTGTATAATGCAGCTCGTAATTTTATTATTTGACTAAAATAATGTGATATTGATGATAATCTAATAATGTGGTTATACGAAATATGACAGGGAGTACCAGCAGTACGGGCAGCTCGTCGGCTTCTGGTTCTGGAAAATCGTCTCGTTCTCGCAGATTGCCCTCACCCCCGGTGGATGACGACTCTGACGAAGAGACGGTCAGCTTGGATAAAATATGTCCGGTGAGAACTTGATAAAATTATGTTTTTCGTAATCGAGGAAAAAATTGATTTCTAAAAATCTTTATAATCCGGTGATTTTTGCGTTTTTTGGGGGATGAATTATGAATTGGTTTATACTTTTCAGGCTAAAAATCGACCAAAATACAGAAAATATGAAGTCGAAGATTTCCAATTTCTCAAGGTTTTGGGGAAAGGCAGTTTCGGCAAGGTACATATTTAGATAACTTTCGAGTGAGGAATTTGAGACGGGAATTTGAGACACATGCAAATATTTTTTTTGCATAATTATTCCATTATTCCTTAAATATAATTCGTAGGTCCTTCTCGCCGAGCTGAAAGACAGTGATTCCTACTTTGCCATAAAATGCCTTAAAAAGGACGTCGTCCTAGAAGATGATGACGTTGAGTGTACCATGATTGAGAGAAAAGTCCTCCTCATGGGATCAAAACATCCATACCTTTGCCATTTATTTTGCACATTTCAAACAGAGGTATGCACATATTTTTTATCCTACAATTAACTACAATTCCTCGTCACTCCTTGACACGTTGACACCATTTTTTCCTAACCAAACCCTATTTTTGTCCGGCATTGATTGAATCGTTCATCCCCATTCTTCAATCAATTCATCAATCTCGACAAAAAATAAACATTCTTTTCCCCAACTGAACTTGATTGAGATACAATTTCAACTGCATCTGGCACAATTTCAAAGTTACATACAGCAATTTATATAACGCGACAATAAAAACGTCTTGATCCTCCACTCCACCGGGCGCCAGACACTTGGTTAATCCAAGAAAACGAAGGACTTGCATGTACTACCGTCTGTATTTCAAACTTTCACTTTTGACTCGACTTACCAAGTTTCTGTTTGAGATAGCAGCATGTGATTATTATTGTCCTTGCCAGCTTCCTATCCTCCCCGCGTTGCACAGTTAATTGTGTTCTTGTTGTTGTCACAACTCCTTTTGAAACTTGTCCAAGTAAATTTACTCTTGGATTCCACTGCAGCGCGGCAGAGAGGAAAAAAGATTAGAGGGAAAAAAAGATGTATGTTGGTGGACATTACATACACGCCGTTTTAAAAATAGCAATCGTCAATGATGACAGGGAGTTTGCCCGTCTTAAAATAAATCTTACATGTCCGTAGTATGTACCGATAGTAGTGCGCAATCAGCGTCAGCCCCCTTGACTTACTGACAATTGTGTAAAACCGTGGGAGAAAATGTGGTACAAAAAATGATGAAAACGAAAATAACATGAATGAAATAAATTATTATCTGCTTGATTTCCAGTCGCACCTATTCTTCGTCATGGAATACCTGAACGGTGGCGATTTAATGTTCCACATTCAACAATCTGGCAAATTTACGGAGGAAAGGGCACGCTTTTATGCTGCAGGTAAAAAAATGATGAATGGACTTGTCTCATTTTTACATAAATAATGTTACATATTTATTATTTTCCGCAGAAATCGTCTCAGGTCTCAAGTTTCTTCACAAGAAGGGAGTCATGTACAGGTACACACACAGCTTCTTTGTTTATTGTGCTAGTTTTCATGCGAAAGTGTAGCTTGCCAAGTCAATTATTATTGTAAAAGTTCGTCTACTTGGGTTCGTGTATGACTGACTGACTACGTGATGGAATTGGTCAGGGTCATCTTTTTCAGTTTCTTTAAACTTTTTTTTCTGTACTTTAGATTTAACAATCAGCTTCGCCGTGTCACATTGGGTGGTTGTTTTTTTAATATGAGCATGAACCGTAATGAAGTCGTTGACAATTGGCAATGTTATTTAAATAAGAGGAATATTTAGAGTGTACCCATTTACACGTATGTATCTGTACATATGCATTTACGTTCATGTACATAAATTCACGGTCTGGTGGACTGTAACGCCTCTGCGAGAGATGATTAATCGTTATTTGAGAAAGTCATGTCTTTGTCCTCGCAGAGATTTAAAACTCGACAATATCCTTCTCGATTACGAGGGACACATCAGAATTGCGGACTTTGGAATGTGCAAACTTCAGATCTATTTGGACAGAACGGCCGACACTTTTTGTGGCACTCCAGACTGTGAGTTAACTACTCATAATTTGCGATTATAATTGATCCATTGAGTGCTAATTTATGTGTATAATCCGCATTTTTTGTTTACAGATATGGCTCCAGAGGTAGTTATCACTTACATGAATATGATATGACGTCCAGGAAAAAGTTTACTTAATTAATTATGTCTTTCTCTTTACTTTGCAGATAATTAAGGGGCTCCGATACAATCAGTGCGTTGACTGGTGGGCCTTCGGGGTTTTGTTGTACGAAATGCTCGTTGGCCAGTCTCCATTTAGTGGGTCAGACGAGGACGAATTGTTTTGGTCCATTTGTAATGAACAAGTCCATTTCCCAAGATTTCTGAGCAAAGAATCAAAATGGATTCTAGAACGGGTATATGACTTTAAAAAAATTCTGTGTAATTAACTAACTAAAATACTTTTTTGTATCCTTTTTCATAGCTTTTGGAGAAGGACAGGTGAGAATTTATTTATTAATATAAAAGTTTAACATCACATATTTTAACAAGTGCTCTTAAATCCAATGAATAACAAGTTTCTCGTAAACCGAAAAATTGTTTTAATGAACACGAAAAATGTTTTGTCATTATTTTGTCATTTTTCAACAATAATATTTTTATGTGGAGAGATAAAATAAGAAACTCCAACAATGTGATTGAGAAAAGATGAAAATGTGGAGTTTGTATGAAGTGGGAAAACAGTGAAAGCGGGGTAGCTTGACATTAATAATGATTTATTTTTATATCGGCTCCATAGCTCTCGTCGTCTGGGAATGGCAAGTTGTGCATATGGAGATGTTAGCAAACAAGTGTTTTTCAATCAGATCGATTGGGACAAGTTGGAAAAGAAAGAGTTGGAGCCTCCATTCCGGCCTAAACTGGTAATTATCTATATAATTGGTCAAAATTTGAGTATGTATTTTTGTAAATTTCTAAAAAAAAATCCACATTCTTTACAGAAACACCCCCTCGACGTACAATATTTTGATACCACTTTCACCAAAGAAATTGCTCGCCTGACCCCGGTTGACAAGGCCATTCTGCAATCCATGGACCAATCTCAGTTTGACGGTTTCAGCTACACGAATCCACACACGACAGATTAATGATTAAGTGCATTTCTAGAAATTTTAAGATTTTTGTACAAATGTTATCGCGTGAAAGTGATGACATGCATACATAATTTGTCAAGTTGTTACATAAACTACCACTGATTTTTTTGAGTGAAAGGGTCACATTTCAGAAACTTATAATGTTACATAATTGTGAATGAACCACACACAAAAATTAATTTTGACCTTTCATTCACCACCCTTCGCCGTTAAATTTATTCGTATCGCGCAGTAATTTTTGTACATAAAGACAATCACTTACTTAAATATCGAGCTATAATTAGTAATTAAAGGTTGTGTAGTGATCTTATCCCGGATGAAGCTGTAAATTTATTGTGAACAAAAGAACCAAGTGACACTTTGTTATGCAATTTCAAAAAAGTATTATTTTTTCAGCCAGTTTTTGAATTTTTTCATAGCATATTAAAAATTGCATTGCTTAATGAGTATTTTGGAGATTTAAATATAATCTCGATAATTATTTGTTAATTTTTAGGATCAAGATATTGTTGATCCTTTGGCACAAAGTAAAGTAAGAACGACATTCAGAAAAGGGAAATCTGCGAATTATTTTCGCAGAGAAGTATTTATTGATACATAAATAAATGACTATTTCTCTAATCGAAAATTCAAAGAAATATTGTTGAACTCTTTAAAAAAATATTATGGTAATTAAATTACATCATTCCAACTGCTTTCGTTGTAGAAAAGTTCCCGATTTTATTGAATTACATGAAAATTTGTTGGTGCTAAATATGTAGATATGCAATTTATTATTATTAAGTACTGACTGTAGCATAACCAGTTAAATGATGTGTCATGATATAAAAAGTGAACACTTTTCAAGCAAAAGTGACATTTTATCGGTATTATTATATTGCTGCTACATATTTAGTTGTAATTAGGCCAAGTCGAATTTTTATTGTATGTAACGCTGCCTGCGAACGCTTGTAACGGGTAAATATATTTATGTATAAAATGTAATGGATCTAAACAATTTAAAATAAATGGAATTGTTTAAACATCAAAATTATTGCGTAATACACACAAGTCATTTCATGATTCTGTTTTTACCACTGGCATTTTCCACTCATTTCATTTCAGTCAAGATGATGTTGTCCACAATTGAGGAAACCTTGAGATTAGTCCTTGTCACAAATGTTGTCCAAGTGAATTCCTCCCATAAAGGGAACCCTTTTACTTTTCTGGGTAAAAATAGTCTCACAAGTCCTTCCGAAAGGTGACTTGGAGACCATTCTCCATGAAGATGAAGGCCAAGCCGTGTTGAAATCCTCACTTATTTTTAGCTACCTGACCACCAACCGGTCAATCTTATATAAAAGGCGGAATCTTCGCCTGATTGCGGCAGTATATTATTTGTCCAGCCGGTAAACGGACATTGTCGTGTTACACAAAGTCAATCTGATCACAAATTTTTAGCATCATGAAGGTGACAGCAATCTTGGTAAGGCAATAAGATAATTGACCAAGTTGAAGACGTATTTACTGCTAAAAAATAACAATCTTGACATATTTGTCTTACAGTTGCTGTCTCTCGGCGTCGTAGCCTTGGCGTTGGAGGATATCCCCCACAAAGAAGTTGCCCCTGAATTCGTTCCAGCCCCAGTAGAAGACGTTCCCCTCGTTCGTGGTGAGACTGACGCCTCCGTTCCCGTCATGGAGGACAGAATGGGGAAGGGATTGAAGGGACTTGGTTCCATGTTGGGCGGTTGGGGGGGTGGTTGGGGAGGCGGATGGGGTGGCGGTTGGGGTGGGGGCAAGAAAGGTATTGAATAATAGTAATTAAATAATGATGAGTAATAATTAATTAAAAATATTTTAAATTTTCAAAAAGGTCACAAGAAGGCCGGCAAGGGTAGCAAAAAGGGTGGTGGTGGGTGGGGCCATCAAGGAGGATGGGTAAGATAATAGAAATTATTTTTTTTAATTATAAAAATTGAAATTCGAAAAAAAATTCATGAAAAAATTAAAATCATATTTTAATTGATTTTACAGGGTCATAGTAGTGGCGGATGGGGTGGTAGCAGTGGTGGGTGGGGCGGATGGGGGATCCCAATCCCAATTGCCATTCCAGTCCATATGCCAAGTAAGTCGTTATATCAGGAAATTATTTTTTACACCATTTTTTGAAAAGTTTACTGATCAAGTTGTAATAATTTTTATGTGCAGGTGGGTGGGGTCAGCAACAACAGAGCTATGGTGGCGGTAGCAGTTACGGACAGCAGAGCAGCTATGGCGGTGGTGGCAGCAGTTACGGTGGGGGTGGCAGCAGCTATGGCGGTAGCAGTGGAGGATATTAAATTGATTGTGCTTAATAAATAATTCTTCATTTTGTGCGCTTACTTAGTAATATCAAAGCTTATTCGAAATTAGTATAGAATCGTTAAATCTGAAAAAATCAATATTTTGTATATTCATCACAAACTTTTACTTATTAGTAAATAATACTGCACAAAGATTGAGCTAATTTGATACATGTACAAATATTCAGTTTGATTTTATTTTTATTTTCTCAACTGCATGGCATAAGCAATAAATATAAAATTAACATCCCGTTCCACTTTGTAAAACAAATTGAATCATTCGTCGCCACTTTATAAAAATTACTAAAACCTGCACGCATTACATTACACACACGCTCATTTGACCCACAAACTAATCTTGCATTATAACCAGAGTGCTACTATTCTGTCGGCAGCATCTCACTCCTCAGGAAGAAAAGACGATATGATACATGCATACGCCGCACATCGTCAATTGCTTTTGCTCCCACGCTCAAACAGGTGAATAAATCAGAAATGAGGCGGATAAAGGACGGAAATGCACTCACACACGTAATTAGAGTGCCATTGAATTAGTACCAGGTTGAAGTAAAAACAAGAAGGTAAATTCATCAGACACCGTTTGATGTAGAACTTTCGATTTTATTTAAAGCAACTAATTTCAGATTGAGAACAATGCTATTTTTACTTTGAGTATAATTTATTTTAAAAATGTGTGAAAACTTCCATCCGGTTTTCTTAATAATGCGACATTGAACTTTATTTATGTGCACATTCTCTAACAAAGCATAAGACCCAGCTTATAGTTTTCCTAACAATTTGCAGTAAAAACTTGTCTTTGTGCCTTTTTCAATGCCGGTATCTTCATTCGTAACCTGTGCTCTACGCAGGGTGCATTACTTAAAGTTTACCAATTTAAATCTTATTATAAGTTCATTGCATTAAGTTCATGAAGAATTCTAAAGTAACAAATTACACGTTGGACCTATTTTAAAAACTAATTCATACAAATTCCGGTTCTTCAATTTATTTAAGCACGGAAAAACTATAGACTTTGTAAATGATTCGTTGGTCCCAATAAAATTTGTGTCTGTCTAATGAAGTGCAACCTGAAGGGGAAATCAGATCAAGTGCTAGGAGCTTGACTTATGTTTGTCTTAACTGCTTAAACTGGTTGTAAGTTGGTATTGTATTTGTGAATTTAGTGCTTAATGTAAAGATTGGACCACTCAAGTTCACTTTTTCTTTTCGTGGGTTAAACCACTGTTAAGCTTAATCGAGAGTGATTTAATTGTGGTTTACTTTTACTTTACTTTTCTGACCTGTAAGCCAGTGGTCACAGATTCATTCCGTTCCTTGCGTGGTTTGAGGTGCAATTGTTGAGCAAGTAACGTACAAAATTGCAAGATGAAATTGTAGAGATACACGAAAAAATAGTTAATTACTCTATAATAAAGTTTAGCTTAGTAAAAATGAGATATTTGTGGAATCTCAATCTGTTTAAGAATGGTGGAGTTATATTGTTTGTGCTCTTAATTTGGGTCAATGTGTCGGCAGCAAGTTTTCCACAAAAAATTACACCTTCATCCCTGGAACAGCCTGGAATGCGGCAACTTTTACAGCTTGTTATTCAGGGTGAGCTATGTACCAAGTGTCATAATTACATATTTTGAGCATAATGGACCCACTGTTAAGCTATGTATGCAAATGCTGAAATTTTTCAGACAAGGAATTGAGTAAACCGGAATCTCTGAAATCAAAATCATCCATTCAAAAAAGCAGAAAAACTGTAGAACATCATTTTACAGAATCAAAGAAATTAAAATCTGAAAATCTGAAATCATCACTTTTTCGAACGGATATTTTACGTCAAGAATTATCCAAAGAATCTCAAGAAAACTGCTTGGCGAAACTTTTATGCGGTCCTGGTCATGTAATCCCACCACCACAAAGGCAAAACGCATCAGTTCTCAGCGATTATGCTCTGCTGGTCAAAGAATTTCTGGATATATTGTGAGATTTTTTTTTTGCTTATTGCATTTTTTACAGATAAATCAATTTAGAGAAAGTTGTACGTGTTGACAGAACTATTTTATATCGATGCAAGCATGTACACATGTAAAACCTGTTTAAACAATCTGATGATGATCCTATTAGCTGATTCTTCTAGCTTATAGCTTAAGACTCGTGTATGTCAACCTACAAAATATTTTTTTTACAATTTTTTACAGTTCTGACGATCCTATTGATGATAAACCAAAACCAAAACCTGAAAAAACAGACAACAAAGCCAACGATGAAGGCGATAGTGAAGAAGACGATGCGAATGACGACGACGATGATGGTGCTCGTTCTGGAGAAAAATTTGTAAATATTACCGGAAGTATAGTTTCCGATTCTGATGATGAATTAATTACAACAACAAGCAGTACTTCTACCGTTACATCGATCACGACTGGTGCCACCATCACAGATTTGCATACGCCGACTAGTTCTACCCTCAAATTAGTCAATGAATATGAAGATGATCCCGACAATATTCAAAAGATCACGCTGGAAGAAGTTATCAGTGATGATGCAAAATCGGCGAGAAAATCGAGGAAAATTAAAACCCCTCATCAATTGGTGTTTGGAAAACCAAAGCTATCGAAATATATCAATAGAAAAATTAGACAAATGAAATTTGTAAGGATTTCCTTGTTCAAAATTATTTTGTTTATTTACATATTTATAATTAACCATTCATAATTAATTATTCAGGCCACACTGCCCACCGAGAAGTTAAGAATAGCCGGAAAAATCGCAACCAAGCTTCGTCAACCAAGACAATGCAGAGAATTCCAATCTGTCGCGTCAGAAATATTGACCACATGTCCCCTCACGGCAGAAGTTGTACGATATTTCAACTCTAATTTGAAAAATGGGTCGCAAATTGCGCTGCTAAAACAAACATACAATTCGAGTCAAGGAGGTCTCGTTGTTCTTAACGATCGTGGCGGTGTTCCTCACCCATACTTTTTAGACAATAGTCCCATCGTTGCTAACACTTATATTAACACTGATCTGAAAAATCCTTCCGTTGGAGAGCGATATCCATTGGAGGATATCCAACATCCAATTTATGAAAATGCATTCCCATCCAAATTCAATTACAACTCTGTGTCACTGACTGAGAAGAAGAAAACTAAGAAAAGCGAAAAATCGAAGGAGGACGATGAGGAGAGTGATGAAGAGAGAGATGACGAGGAGGAGGAAGAAGGGGACGAAGATGATGAACAAAACGATGACAATGAAATAGAAAATGATGACGATGACGAAGAATATGAACGGCACGAGAAAATAAGTCGATACAGGACAAGAGTTAAACCCACAAAGAACACAAAAATAATAACTAAAACCGCACCAACACCCGCACCAAAATCAGATTTGCCCAAGGGAATCATAAAAGTTTATGGGGTAGCTCAGCCAAGTATTGACAATGAATTTTCAAAAATATCCAATCAACTGGGAACCGGAGCTATTCATTTGTTCGATCAGGATGATTTGGACGATTATTTGCCCCATCCTGGACCAGCTACACCCATCCAACAACAAGACGTAGTTTCATCGGATAAGTACACCATTTCTAAAAAACCTAGCAAAAAAGTTGTCGTACTTGATTCGGACGAGGAGGATGAGAATGAGGAGGAAGAGGAAGACGACCTTCCAAGTAAAAGAAGTCCGCCATTTATCAAGAGAGAAAATACTAGACCGCACCCCCAACGCTTAAATCCTGCATACAGACGACCCCATAACTTTGCCACAACGCCGAGTTATGGAGCATTTCCGGCACCACGACCAGAGGAATATTACCACAATGGGAAACCCTTAAGACCAAGGCCAAGACCTCCAACGCCATACAAAATCCCAATGACTTACAGACAGAATTTTCGCCCTAGACCACAATTTCCTCAAAATAATAATTTTCGTTATAATAGATTTGGTTAAGAATAGTATGTTTTAACGAAAGCCATAATAATTTGATGAGTCGTGTTAAACTAAGCCGATTGATTTGAAAATCGAGTGGGGTGATATTCAATATGGTCGGATCAGAGCAGGTTGCGAAATTTGATATTTTGGTACAATTTTTGTTAGCAGTGTGACCTATGTATTTATCAGGAAAAAATGCAGAAATTTAACGTATGAAATATTTACATAAGCTCATTTTTTATAATTTTATACTTTTTGTTATTTATTTATTTATGGATTTTATTATCACGTTTGTGTTCTACAAATATTAGTGAGAAGGCTGTTCAATCATAATAAATGAAAATCCGTTTACCTGTAAAGAGCCGTTTGTAATTCGAGATGTTGATTGATTCACAAATACATGCATGTACTTCACTGATATAATATAAATAAACATCAGGAATGGACAGGTGCTGAAAATTATCGTAATTAAAGCGTAAATAAATCTTTCATGACAGGTATTTAAATTTTTTGGATGGGGGACGAAGGTCATCCTGGATATATAAACAGACCTTCAATTTCACTTTCACTCTCCTTTAGGTTAAAGTTCTTCATTAATCTCCCATTGACCCACTTTTCTCCCCTGAAATATCGACACCCTGGATACTTATTTAATACATTGTCATCACTTGACAATGTACTCACTTTCGTTTTCTCAGCATGATAGTCAACTTACAAAGCATCCTCAATGCAGATGAAAAACAGTCTTAAAAGGGCAATGTCAAGCTATATCATTTCGTATAAAAGATGTACTTCCGGCTCGCGTGACCCACATTCTGAGCTGGAATTTTGTCGCCTACGTGCTTATTTGCATACGCCCACGCCCACAGGTCAGTGATGGTGAAATCTCAGTTTATCTTAATTTACCTCTTTTCGGGAAGATGAGATTTATCCGGGCAATGGTTAGTTCAGTTCATACATAATTTGTAATTACTTAAAATACATGTCCACTTGTGTTTACTTACAACTTACCAATTTTTTTAAATAGAATAAAGTTTTCGAAATTTTACTTTCTGAGTAAGTTAAAGTATCATAATTATAATTGTCTTCAAATTTAGCTTAGTTTAGTCATAACTAAAAGTTTGGAATAATAAATCTTTACTTTTTGGTGTACGTACATAAATATCACAAAATGACGCATTTGCCGACAAGGTATGGAATTTTCCACAAAGTCATGCGTGCACAATGAGCTCATCATTAACCAAACAATATACTCACACTTTCACTTATAGTAAATCCGTGTGAGGGTCATAAGGTCGCCGGCGAGACGTAAGAAGGGTCCTTATTTTATGAATGGGTCCTAAAATTACAACCTGCTCTTCACATTTATGCACGTTTTATCAAGAAATTCTATAAAATGAGGTGCATCTTACGAACGTTATTTCAGTCGAAATACATAAGTCAACCAAATAAACTCACTCGATCTTTCCTCTCAACTATTTTTTGAACCTGCGAAATTCACAACTCGCTAAAAAATGCGTCCGTTAACTTTAGTAAGTTTGCATTTGTAAAAAAGTTTGCCAAGATTTTGAAGTTTTTTTTACACATTTTTTCCTCTAATAGTTGATAACCCTTGTACTCCTTGGTGCCACTCTGACTAATGTGAATGGAGACTATCTCCTCGAACAACCCCAACGGCAATTACAATCACATCCGGTCATCATTACCCAAAGCCCAGGCGCCGAGAGGAGGAATTTTGGAAATGGCCTTTTCGAGATAGATCATCACATCAACAATATGTTGTACATGATGCCGTGGAGCTTTCACCTCGGATACCCACCTCTGCCTCTCATCCCTCCACCAATGCACTACCCGGGCATTATGGGGAACCAAAACCAAGGAGGTGAGAATAGTTGAAATTTTAATTAATAATATACTAGAGATAATTTTGGTGAAAAATATTCAACAGGTTTCTTTGGTGGGGGACAAGGCTACTGAACTTCATCACGTATAATACTTACTTAATATTTTGTACAAAGTCAAAGTCATCATTCTTAATTTTTTTATCAAAAATTTGAATACTGCTGAATAAATGGCAAATGTATATTTTTATATCAATGGCACGGTGAACGATTTGCATACTTTAATAATTGGAGAAAGTCGTCAACTTTCAAGGTGACTTTGTTTTTGTATGTCATCTCTCAGTCACTCAGTGTTTATAGCTCATTCTGCATTCATCGTCATCATGGCATTGTCTAGTTGCATGGTTTTTATTGTGGTGGTAAGTTTCTGAAGTCATTAATTTTATTTCTCAGCACGATATAGCACACAATTGCATAAATATTTTGAATTTTCTTTTTTTTTGTAGAATCTAATCCTATGTCTCACTTTCCCAAACCTGATGGAATCCCGACCAATTGAACAAACTCCAGCGGACAAAAGGTTCTGGAAGAAAGCCCCAATTTTCCCTTATTGGGGGCCCTTCGGCTGGCACAGTTAGTCGAAAGCCTTAAAAAGTCTTATGTCGCAGGGTAGCACATTTGTAACTGTCTTGTTGCAGGTTCGGCACTCGCTTGTCCGTTCATCTATGGTCCTTACTCCCAATATTCTGGGCGTGGGTGTGCCGGGCCTATTCCGCCATTTACGACACCACCCCCTCCACCTCCTCCTCCTCCTCCTCCAGCCCCATCCACCCCTCCGACAAAGCCCCCAGTAGAAGAAATGCAGAAACCATATTATTACAGCAACCAGTCTCAAGAGGATGATGAGATGGGAGACGATGATGGGGAATATGAGACTAATGAGACGTATGGACACGACAATGATGAGAATTATTACGGAAAGTGTAAATGTGCTTATCATTGATTGAATGCATAATAAAGGTTTTTTTTATTAGGCTCAGACGGGTTTATGTACATAAACATGTTAGTTCTATAATTAAGTATTTGTATATATGCATAGCTCGGCATAAGCAAATGGAGTAGCGTCGTCACTGTTATAATCTCTGCGTAATACTATTTACATATTGAGACCCTTTTCACATTGTTCAAGTACTTGTTCCGAGAATCACACGAATCTCAAATCATTCCCTTCCTCATGAATTTCCCATATTTAACACTAATTTCAGTAAGTTGACCCTACAAAAAGTTTAAAATGTTATTCAAATATTATTAAATTAAAGGGTTAATTAATTACAGACAATCCTACTCATCCCCCTCGCCACCCCCAGTCCTCTGGATCCTCCTGTAATACAGTCTCGGGAATACCCCCCACCGATCGGATATTTGGAACCTCAACCTCCATTCTATTTTTTACCCATGGCTGCCCCCGTTTGGAAGGTTTGGCACCCACACGGCTATTTCAACCTCTGTCCATACGTCCGTCCACTTCCGTTTGACTGGCTATGGAACCAGGGATGTCGACCTTTGGCACCACCACCACCACCGCCACCACTCCAACGACATCACTTATCAAGACCACAACCACACCTCCCCACATCGTCACGTATGCCCACAATTAAGCATGAAACTACTTCACATACCGAGGACCCCGGTGAAGACGATGATAAGTACTCCGAAAATGACACTTCTTACGATATTAATGACTCTTATGACAAATAAATTATTCAGAAATTCGATTCAAAATTTCGTAAAATTTATTTACAAAGTGAACGGAAAGTTTTAAAGTAGGTTTTCCATGCACCTTAAAATTAGAAAGGGTTGTACTCTACTGCTCTGATTTTCTACTGATTTGATCATGTGTGAAGTTAAGGAGCGTGCAGTTGACCATTGTTAACATGTAACTGGACATTTTGGCCTGAAGGTATAGGTTTCCCGAAATGTGGGTCACTTTAAAGACAGATCCGCTTCCAAAATAATCACATGTCTGGTTAAATATTGGGTGTAAATTCAGTTCAAGTTATTTCTTTAGGTTGGCTGGTCCGTCTAAATATGTAGAGTGTAACATAATTTTTCGAAATAAATTTCGAAATTTCCATAATTTTTAGTGAGTGGAAATATGTTTAGTGGGTGGAAAATGGAATTGATACAGGTAAGCACATTAGTACCAAATAAATTCTAATTTGAACTATTTATAAGCAATCCGTTAATATTGTACAAATCTTAGGTTATCCTGCTCATATGGACCATGTTTTTTAGAAGCTACACTGCCACACCCACTCCGGTCGTCCCTCCGTACGAAATTTCTCCCCTCATGAGGCAAGTCGAGCTGAAAAAATCGCTCTTGTACTACAACAAAGCACCTCTCGACCACCACCGCTCGGATAACCAGCAGAGAAAGTCGTCCGACAAAAGTCAAACACCCGGGCAGGATCGATTTTTCATAAAGCCATATAAATTCCCATTTTGGGGTCTACCCTATGGAATTTATAGCAAGGGTGGGTTCTTTAATCCCGGCCTGTTTCCTTTCGTTCCTGGAGTTAAGTATTAATTATGTACAGATAGATATGCGAGAAGTAAAATCGGAACATTAATCCGACATCAGTCCCCTTATTGCTTCTTCTGATTGCTTAGTTTTGAATCAAATGATGTGTTGTTTCACAGGACCAGGATTTCCACCATACGACGGTGTATTCGGAAGCCCATGGGGTCCAGGACAAGTAAGGATTTCACTTTCATACTTATTATTAAAGAAGGTGTGCCGTCATGTCGTTCTCTCATTTTATAATTAGTTTCCTGGCTATGCTTCCAACCCATTCACCCAACCAGGAGGTCCACCTCAACCCCCACAACCCGCACCCACAGCAGCCCCTTCTCCGCCAACTCCTAGTTACTCTTCCAGCAGTGGCGACGATTCGTACGAGTATTATTATGTCAAAAAGAAACCAAAAAAGAGAAAACCACCCCCACCAAAGTACAAGTACCCCTCATCATCCTGCTCGTGTCCATATGATGACGACGATTCTGGAGGAGACGATTCCGACTGTGCTTGTAAACCACCGAAGGAGGTAGTCGCCAAGCCAAAACCGCGACCCAGTAGGCCCTACAGAAAACCAAAGAAGGAATCCTCGTCCTCTTATCAGAGGAGACCGTCATATAATAAAAGACCCTGTAAGTATGGGTACCGTTCTGGACCGAGTGGAGGATGCAGACCACCACCATCTCCTCCGAAAGAGGATCCCGACTGTGGGAAAAGATACAGAGGAAAATGTCCCAAACCGATGACGAAACCTGCACCAGAACCGTATGCAGAGGATGAGGAGTACGAGTCGGAGGAACATTACGGATATGAAACCAGTGGTGACGATGATGACGAAGATGCTGAAATTGAAACGCACAAAGTAGTACCGCAGTACATCCCGGTTTATGTGCCGTATCCTCCACACGGAGGAGGTGGGTGGGGTCAGGATCCTCCCACTAGTTCGGGAGACAGTAGTCATTCATCGTCCCCCTTAACGATGCAATACCAAGCAATGTCACAGCCACCTCAGCAATATCAATATACCGTTCCAACTCCAGTGGAATATAGTCCACACTACAGTTTGCCATCAAAACCGGAAATGACATCCTACCCAAATTCTCCTCAACCACCACAACAACCATCCCCTGCAGATTCTGTCGAACCTCAGCAGCTCACGATTCAATACACGGCCCTCCCCCCAGGAGGAACTTCCCCCCAACAACAGCCAAATGTATTTCAATACACGCTACAACCACCAGTAAGCTCACCTTCTCAAAGTACTGGGCGTTCTGCATCACCCTATACAATTCAATACACGGCACACCCACTCCCTGAACCACAACAGCCCACAACATATGCAAATAATAATGATAATAAGGACTTGGCCACTTCCTCTTCGTCCACATTTATGAACACATTTTCAGTCCCACTACCCCCACAAATTCAACTGCCTTTCAACGTCTTTCTCAACCAGCAGCACCCTTCCGCATTTTCAAATCTCTTCAATCCGCAGATGCTTCATCGCTATCAGATTCCACTCCCACAAGTTGCATCCACCACGTCCGCCCCAATGAAAGCGGAACAAAATCTTCTCGCTATAAACGCAGCAGACCCCTTTATAGCGAATCATTTAAACAATTACACAGCGTCAAGTTTACAAAATAATAAGGCAATTTCTTCCGAAAAGGATAAAACTGTTAAAAATGAGGGGGCGGAGAAAACTATAGTTTCTGTCTTAACTTCGGTTAGCGAGTCAAAATAAAGCGTAAACTTGTGTGTGCATACATATTTGCGTAAAATGAAATTACAGATATGATCTGCAAGCTGAATTTGAATTTATTTTACAAATTTTAAAAAATCTCGAAAGTCGAATAATTTTTGAATTTTTGTCTTAGGGCACGATATGTATATTTTCTTTTATGCGACCTAAACAATTTCATCTTGGCTTAATTACCAATGATTTAAATATAATTTATATTAAAGTTAACTTATATTGAAACGCTAATACCTACTACTGCCATATATTCTGTCTCAAGCATTCCGCGCGCAAAAAACATCAGTAGCAGTTACGTTAGCCAGTTGTACTATTTTTTATTGAATTCCCCATGCAATTGTCTATCAGAAACCATCTTCCGAAATTTTTTGTGATACAAGGTGCTAAAATGACAGATCGGACAAATCGACGTGTTGCAATTTTTCAGAAACATTTTTGCAAACATAAAAATTCGGCATTTTTCAATAGATCATTAAAAATCGGAACTAATTGCAAGATGGTCGACCATACCATAAAATGATCCACTAACATTGGCAGTGTTGATAACCGAAAACCGAGTTGAACGGTCAAAAAGGTCACAAAAAATCACGAAGGCGCACAAAACCTGAACTCGGCTGAATTCACGCCGGATCCTAAGAAAAATGTCCCTACAAATGAACGGTCCAAGTAAAACTACGTCCCAGGCCCCTAAACTCGACCTTGGACTTATGGTTTTAAGATGTGAAAAGAAACACTTGCTAACTTCACGCCAAGTAAAAATAGGACCCTTGAAAGCCGCGCACTGATCATGCGGTACGCGCTTGAAAAATGGAAATAAGTATTTTTCAAAGATAAGTAAACTTTCACAATAGAGGTCATATAAAATTAGCAAAAGCACTTTGTCCACACCCCACCAGTCCATATTATTCATAAAATTTTTTAAAATATTAGTCGGACCCACCATCCAGATTCTGTGATTTTTTTATTCGGCGTAGATTGGATTTGGTCAAAAAAGTGAATTGTCTTCCTCTGGGGGTGAAATTTCTTGTCAAAAAGTATTTTTTGAAGTTATCGAGCGAATGGAAGAACCACTGGACCACACTCTATTAAAAAATAGCTGCTAAGTATTCGAGCAGGGCTCAGGACCTGCTGATAAGGCCAAAATAGTAAAAATGGGGTAAAATTCCAAAATTTCTTACTCCATTTCGGATCAAGAATAAAATGCACTGTCGCCGAACCTCAACCTTCTGGAATACGATATGTGGTTCAAACTGAAGCTAGATACATGTGCTAAACACCACACAAGTTTGGAATCCGAGAAAAAATCTGTCGCTTAGAAATGAGACTAATATTCCTTGGAATGAGTGCGTACCGCGAGTGAGATGTGGATATCTAGACTTTGGGCTATTGTAGCTTCGAAAGGAGGAAATTTTGGAAAGTGCCCGGTATATTTTGTAGGGAATTTAATAGGCTTTCTCATGATATCGTTCGTTTTTTAAAATTCACTAAACTGAGTCCGCTACATTAATTTGTTTAGTGGTCAAAACTTATGGCAGTAGTAGGTAGAAATCATAATCAATCAGGATGTTACTTATGTATGTATTTTCCTTCTACGGCAAATGATAAAGGTATAAAATTTAAAATAATAATATTCTACCAATGCTTATAGTGGTAATTTTTGTGATTGTTAGACCTTTTCATTGTAATCATCTCACAACATAATTTCTTCAACATTGCGTTTGACCCGTCACCCGTGGGGACGGTGAATGTTTGCAAATTATTGGCATGGGGTAACTGAGGCTGCATAAATGTTATTACCAAACTGGTAAAGATGTGGGTTTCGTAATTCGTCAAAATTTCGATAATTTCTCCCATGTGGGAGATAATGCTGGTGCGGTGGCCTGGATGGTGAGGGATATCCGAGATGGTAGCAGTTTGCAAAATGGGGGATTAAAAATATTATTGAAACTGACAAATACCGGAGAACGTTTTATGATAGTTTAGTCATTTATAAAATAAAATTAAAGATTTTGAATGAATAATAAGCTATGAGTAATAAGATTTTTAGACCTTTTAATTGTAATCATCGCACAACATAATTTCTCTCAAACAATATTTATTTGAGGGATTATGTCATTTCTTGAGTCATCAAAACCAGATGAGTCTACAAATGATAAAGTCAAAATATAATCCCCTATTTGGGCTATAAATTAAACACTAGTAAAATAATGGCGTCACAAAAATAATGTCGATTATATAAACTGCTCACATATTTATTCAAAATACCCTATACACATTAATTACCGTTAATTAGTCGCTGGTTGTTACCCCATTAAATAAATACCTCTTTTCCCTCACACAAGACGATAATTTGCTATTAACCAGCCATGCAACACATCTTATTAATGCACCGCATCGGGTAAGCCTGGCAAGAAAAGGGCGGAGGTGAAGGGCAATGTTTGCCATAATTTACACTAATGGATGATCACTTTTACTTTCCTCCTCCACTTTGCAAACAAGCACCATGCATAAACTGGACAAAATTACCAGGAAAACCAACCCCGCCTCCGCTGCTCCTTTAATTAAACGACCCTTTCTCCGGTAATGCAAGTAAGTAAAGTGACATCGAGCCGACACACTCATCAAGAAGAGATGTCAAACAAGCCTGCATGCATACTAATAGGGAATGCATTAACAATTAACTACCTGCCTGCATTTCATGCTGGAAGAATTCAAGACTTTTGGAGGTTCAGTTACATCATTGCACTCCAATATGCATACATATTTGTACGTCTGTAGACTTTGCTTTGAACATTACCCAACCAAAGTGGATGGTTGCATTTCCTGAAACTTTTCGGAAACCCAGTCGTGCAACGTAACGACGAAATGAGATTTAAAATATGTGTATGTACGAATCAAAAACATAGAAATTTGTTTGTAACACAACGAGAACGGCGAATCCCTCTCGCAGATTCACAACCCCTCTTCATTTTCCAATCTAACAACAATAACGATTTGAATAATTCCAGTAATCATTTACGCCCTGCTTCATTAGTGTCTTTCTTCGAGTCATTCTCATTACGGGAGAGTTAGTCGCATCGTATCCTCGGAAGGGGCGAGCCTTTTCATGACAACGAGCATAATTTCCATGTGCATCCAGACGAAACATAAAGTGACAAATGATATCTGCTCCAGTAAATACGCAGTAATCGTGAAAATAACAACATCCACCTCCACATTTGCATGATTTCCTTATTTTAAAAAAGTGCAACGAGGAAAATTTTCACTTTTCGAGATTCTAAACTTTGTTGGGGAAATTGAGACATATTTCTATCATGAATTGCAGTAAACCTCTTGTCACCATTTATTACACGTTATACGACACGACAAATATTTTGTGGACGATATGTATTTCCTCCCTGCAAATATTTATGTGTGTAGCTCAGCTCAAGCCTCACAAAATAATGATGACTGATGTCTATGGTACGAGGTTGCTTAAAGTATCAAGTTTCAGCTTTTGCTGTCACCAGTGGTAGTGCAGAGTGCAATGGTTATGATATATATAATACTAATAATAAATATCTACCACTACCACGAGAATAACAACCCTTTTCCCATGCTACTAGATATCACTCCTGAATCTGGAATCTCTTCTCGTCCTGATGCGATATAGTACATATTACGTGAACAGCTAGCGCGTGGTTGGTGAGAAGCTCGTTGCAGAAACATAGCTTACTTAACGTTGCGACTTTAGCTTTTTACGAGCATTCTGACTTCAGAGTTGGAGTCGGAGTCAGTCCAAGTAAAGCAAAGATTTTGTAGAAACGTGGAACCTTTTTTTAAGAAAAAGAATTCTTGTTGAAATGTCTGTCATTTCGAAATTAAAAAGTCCCCGAGAGCGAATTCATAGAACGTCCGAGTGGGAGGAGGGCGTGGGTGGGTGGATGAATGTCACTTCATTCGTACCATTATTTCCCCACTTTTGAACATTGAGGTGAGTGCACGAACAATTTGTGTGGATTTTTATCTCCTTGTTTGTCCAGAATATACTTATGTATACCGACCGATAACAAGTTAATTTGAAAGCTTTCGGGCAAAATGTGAGAGAAAATTAAGCCATGTTGTTCACGTTAGATTAAAGTATCAGCTACCACTACGGCATTATTTCTTGCACAGTTTTTGCACGAATATATACACATTATGTGCATATATTGGGAGAAAGAAAGTCAACAAGTTCGTTTCCCGTAGGTTGGTACGTAGGTATGAAGGTATGTAGGTGTACATATGCACTCATGGCACGATTTCTGCCTGTGGGTTGGTAAATATTTGTTGTTTTAAGTTCATGTGTAATTTGCTAGTGAAAAGAGCAGACATTGGCATTTGAGTCTCATGTGGAACAAGCATAAAGTTGCAGAAGATAAGGTAACGATGAAGTTAGAGTGGTCCAAACCTACGTACTGCTATATAAAAGGAGATGAAATCCCATGGCCATCTCCAGTCGGAGAGACAAAGGGGGAAGAATAAGAAGAGGTAAAGTGAGACACGTGCTGGTAAAAACATATCCATTCCGAGTTTCATGCTGAAAAGGTTATCATTCATTCCACTCTGTACTACAATTCTACAACAAACAAACGACTTTCTTATTTTAGTTTGTGCACAAACTCGGGTGAGAAAAGGTATGTATGTATTTTTTTAGTGCATTCCAATCCATCCGAAATAATGCATGCATGTTCATGTCATGATTACTTAGAGAATTTTAGAATTTTAAATTATGCACGTGCTGTTAGTTTTTGCTACTTGGCGAAACCTTCTAAGCCAGGGAAATGCTACTTATTTGCTTCCACTTTGGATTGGACAATGTGTACTTTTAATGCGTCTATTTAATCCAGTTTAATCCTGTACATACACAAATGCAGAATTCACTACGATTTCAAGTAGCCGAACGTTTCCTTAATCCTTTGAGTGATTTTGATTTTAGGAATACATTTGCAGATGAGTACATACATCTACATACACAGATTCCATTAAGCAAACGCATGACCGCTTATGTAGAACTTGTAGTAATCTCCTGATTTTATATTTAGTTACTCGTACATTATTAATTAATGAAGTTAAGGAGAATTTGTGTCCGAAATGTCCATCCAATTATTGCATTCTTAAAAACTTACAGTCCAGACTTCATTTAGCCCGAGACAGATATTTTAAATTTTTGTGAGATGATCCAACTAAATAATATTATCTAGTGGCGTAAAATTCAAAAACGCCGATTACAAATATTTTATACTTTTCGGTGAAAGTTACTCTACACTTCAGATAATGTTTGCCTTCATCAATTTTCCCCAGCAATCAAAATCTCTATTTTTTCTAAAATTAACTATTTTTTAAAAGCGGTGTGCTAACGTGTCACAGACGGATCGACAGACGGACAGGACGATCCCATAAGCACTGACTCGGACTAATACATAAATACAATTATCTAATCTGCAATTCACTTCAGTCTAGTTGAATGAAAGAAAAATGTAAAAATCAAAATAAAGTGGTTTAATCATAAGTATTAATTCTAAAGACCTCTTTCTCTTGAGGATTCTTAAAAAGTAGATACTGACTAACTGAATGAGATTGAGAAATTAAGAGAGACAGGGTCAAGGTGATGTTAGCAACTACAGTAATAAAAATGGTAGAACTGCTTCACAGTGTAAGATGCAATCCCAAAATTTACATAACATAATCACATCACATCGACCACCACTGAAAATTTGACATGTTGCATGTTTTGCATTATTTTCATTATGAAACGTTGAGGTATGTACATATCCGCAGAATTCCAAAGTTCCACCCTGCAAAAACCTGGCAGCCTTGGTTTCAGGTGAATACCATAAGGTTGGCAAGGTTGGTTTTGTGATTCATTGCTAATTGGTGATTCGGGAGTAGTTTCACAATTCTGGAGACGACAAGTTCTCACTTCGTCCCTTTAATCACTCCCTTTCCTACAATTGTAGTAAATAAATACTTGTGTACACTTGCTCCATTACATTGAGTGGTCGTGTTGGGCTATGAGATTCCATTTCCTGCCGTATAAAGTAACCAAATACATGAATGCATACCATGATTTGCGACAAGTTGTTGTGACCTTGTGAGAAATTTCCCTTTCTTCGTAATTCACATGCCAAAATGTCATTACTATTTCCTGCCAAAGTCGGAAAGCACGCGTTTCACTGCAGAGAAGGAGAGAGGAGTGAAAGCTAACGGATTGCAGAAAATACTGGGTGGTAAATAAATAAAAAGTGAAAATTAATTGGGTCCTGGTGGAGATTTTTAGAACAGAAAATTTTTCATAATTATAGAAATTTTGAGGTAAATTATTACAATAATATTTGGGTTATTTTATTTTTTAACTGGTGGGAGATGGACTTTCCTGCAAATTATTCTTATGTACCTTAGCTATTTAATTAACTATCAATCAATCTTCAATTTTTATTTGATAAAGCCTCTGATTATTATTCAGTGCATATGTACGTACTACCAAATTCTATAAGCGGTTATGGTAATAATTATTAGTTGTGGTGTAGCATGAAATTCATATTATGAATCCGGGTTAACATTGAGATGTCCAATCTGATAAAGAATTTACAACAACATCTATAAATATAAACATCCAAGAGGTGTGGTAGTGGTGTCAAAGGTAAGAAGTAACAATTTGAATCTGATTGGATTGCATAATCATTATTTTATTAGTATGGATGCACATTATCCTCATTCATCATCTTCAATGGCAAGAATCTTTAAATATATGATAAGCAAGGTCATTTTTAGCAAACCTCCCAAACATACGGTAATAATGCATGTATCACATCAATATCTGACTACTCCTCCTTCTCACGAGTTACCATTGTTAAAAAAACACTTTAGTGATGATGGTCTTGAATCTTTTGCTATCTAAATTCAAGCCACAGTATTCCTGGCATGTGAATTTGGCCATTTTTTATTTAAGTACTGGTGGGGATTACAGCGGGTTATTTATGGGGACAGAAGTGCTGAACCAATCACAATAATAAGTACCGTTTCATACAATTGAAGTCTTAGTTCTTGTTTTGGCAGACAGCTTGGTGCCATTGTAAAAAGGAGAAGACTTGATAAATATTTTCGTCTTCATCTCTGCCGTAATAACGTACCAGCCATAATACTTACTCTTTTGGGAATCACACGACCAGTCCTTGCGACTCATACCATTTCCACTATTTTCTTCTACGAGGATGAGAAATGAAAACCCTTTCGAGGAAAGCACCCTAGTAAATAATACGTAGTTTTTGGGGCAGAATTTATGGAAGGATCAGAGTCCCCTTGATTTATTGGAGTTTCGTCAACCTAAAAAGATGTTACTTTTCGTGGAGATGACAGAGGTCATAATGCAATATATTCCGGTGCAGTGTGTGTAAAAAGTATGGGATCATTTAACTTTGTGCAAGTGTTTTTAATTGGAAAGGATACCTGCTATGGATGTATTTACACAAAAAAGCTGTTACTTTATCGTTAACATACTTGCTCTAAATAGCAGGAACTGTAACAGACTTTGCTTCCTCGTGGCTGACTTGTAAATAAGTATGTGCATATAATTTTATGAGATCATAGTCCAGCCCAAGTTTTAATTTTGTTAGATTTGACCGATGGATGAGTTTGCAGAAAGAAAGGAACAAACATAATAAATTTGCTGGTCCACTCGTTAAACTTTTTTGTCTATGCCATCGTGGTGGTGTGGTTGGTACTGGCAATTTCAGCTTTAATCGTCTAATTCATAGTTATGTTCTCACAGTCAGGGCGCAGATGTGGTTGGGAGAAGAACACACATTGTAATAATTGTGCAAAAAATAACTTGTGAGATACAAATAATCATCTAAAATTGGACGGTTCATTGATATTGTCGCAGTCTCGGTCGTAATTTTGTTAGTGATTATGAGAAAAAAAAGTTGATGTGACTCCCTTACGATACGAAAAGTGAGACAAATTAGTCCAGTTCCAGTTTCTCACGTACAGATAAAAATCTCGATACTGAAACTTTTTTTGGAACTGGATCCTTATTCGAGTCACATTTTTTGTTTAACAGTAAACGTACTCGTGTGTCATGTTCATTAAATATTACTCACGTATTTTTGCAAATTTGTGTAATGTTGAACTTAATCCGCATTACATGTAGTGAGTGAATTACAATACATAAGTCACATGCAAATGATGAATTTGCTACTTCTTTGCACATGTTAAAATAATATTGTCTGCGTATAAGTGGACTATATGCATAAATAACGATCACAAGGGGAAGCACGAGTTCACAAATAATGGTCTAGCCAAAAATAATAATACGAGTGTCAATCTAATCAACAGATTACCAAAGAGGATACGGATAACGTAACTGCAATATCGGATGATAAGCCGAACCAAAATATAAACTCGAGAACAATATGCCGTCAGTAAAAGGAGAAGAAAAGTGCGAACTAAAAACTTTCCTGGAATTAGTGACGCTGATTTTTGACGTTTCTGTCGTGAAATAAGGAAAACTAATCAAAATACAAAAAGTTACGGCTTTACATAAACCAAAATAGAACCGGATCGGACAACTGAAACAATGGCCGTGTTTCATAAACTTGGCAAATTTGTATGCAACGGATTTCTCCTTGTCATTCGTAAGTTTCTGATTTTTTTCTGCTTTTAATAATGTTTCGAGGTGACAAGGACAATATCGCAGTCACATTTAGTCACATTTCGTTTGGTCCTTAGTGGGACCAAACGAGATAAAATTTACTATTGTAGTTTTGGAGCAAGACACGTTTTATTACTTGTCACCTGTCCACACGAGTCGTTTATTGAGATTTTAGTGCATGATACTCAGGATTATAGCTGTGTTTTCATGAACATGTTTTAATAAGAGTTGGTTTTGGCAGGTAGTGTATCATGTAGCACCGCCTTCGACATATTCATAGGCAGGTCAAACCAAAAAGTTATTTCATTAACGAAATGTTATATAAGTATCACCCAAATCGGTCTTACGGAATTTTTTTTAGAAATCAGGAGTTTGCTGTACTTTGACGAATTCTAATCCTAGTTTTACGCATACATGTACATTTACATATGCACTTTATGTAGTAGTGTGTATCTCTTTAGATCCATGTGTGTATCTATATCTGGAAATATGAAGGAATAGGGCTGTATGTTAAGGGCTGTATGTTACATTCATATACGTCGCCGTACTTATGCATCAAATTCAAAGATTTACAATTTTATGAAAACCCTGTTATCAATTTGATTGACTGAATAACGCATTATTTTATAATCTAAATATTGACACAATTTTATCTTCGTGTGCTATAAAGACATATATGCACTTGGATGTACGTATATATGTATGTATGTGCCATGTGACACTCTCGTTAAGATAAATACTGTCAATAATTGAACCATCGAATACAATACAGTTTGACAATTTATCGAGGAAAATCATCATCCATCACACATTTATCCGTTGAACAAAATTGCATTACATTGTGCCCTCTTAACGATAGCCAAGTCATACGCTTAATTAAAAAAGAAGGCCATGTCCAGCCCACAAAGAGCCATTACATACAAACTTGTACCGAAATGCTAACTTACCACCAACATTCGTTCATTTCATACAAGTTGCAGCTATGTAAAAGACTCATCCTCAGCTGTCCAGTAATTTTTTTGCCGTCATTTTACACACTATATACATCACACTACTATCTGCCTTACATGATTGAGCAATTCGTGCAAATTCTCACACTGTATCAACAAAATCGCAAATAAATAATTACCCGAGATTTTTCCTCTGCCACTTGCATCATAACCCACATATTATATATTTTACTGTACAACGAAAGTAGGATAATTTCTAGTCCAGTTTAAGCTTGTGAATTAATCGTTGTGCAATATTTGCCTCGGAAGAAACAATATCCCGAGTTGTTGAAGTTGTTGATACGAATCTCATACTAGAAATTGTGCTAACTTGCCCATTGGCGTTGTGGTTTTGTGATCTCTAAAGTAAAAAAAAAACTTCTAGTCCTCTGTGTGTGCGCTATTGAGAATAATTAGTGTTGACTAACTGGCTGGGACATTTATTAATATTTGCATCATCTCCACTGGAGTGGTTTCATTTGGCGTCGTAGTAGTATTATTAGTGGCTTGAGGGTATGAAGTGGAAAACAAGAGCGTATTCTGCATAGTAAACATAGTGGAATGTGTGATGAGACCTTGGATGAGGTTTAAGGATAAGGTCAATAATTGGCCTAACAACCCCTTCCTGTTGGCCATACTTGCACTAGTTCTCCTACTCCGAGCTGCGGGGTGTGAATCTAACAGGAAAAATGTGTCTTGTATGTCACCAAGATTTGGGAATTTGAGACTAGTTTTTGATGCAAATACATATGAAATGAACGTATTTCCGATTTATGTTTACAGTCATCCTGATCATCGCACTCTGCCTCCTCAACCTGATAAACCCATCGCTCCCGTCCTTAAGGTGCGAACCCGGTCATGGCGTCAAGGAGCCGAGCATTTCCCACGTGTATCACGGCGACACAGTTTCAACGTTGAAATTGTTCTTTGCCGTGATTGGAGTACCATTTTTGCAGGTGGGGATAGAATTTGAAAATCTAGATTTTCAAAAAACTTCTCTTATGAGAAGTTTTTTTTAAAATCAAGGTGCTTATAAATTATTTAACTTTTAGATGGTGGTAATCGAATGGTTTTGCAACAAGGAGAATCCTTACACGATAAATGCAAATGAATCTAGTCGCTGGAAAAGGACGATGTTACGTGTGTCGAGGTGGTTCAGGGTAAAATGCGAGATGTTTTTTTAAAGAAATTATCAGATAAGTGAAAAGGAACCTGTTTTAAATTTTTGTAAAATGGTAGGATTACATCTACGGGTTGGCAGTTGTTTTGCTGCTTAACGATATCGGGAAGACGACGTTGAATTCACCCAGACCACACTTTCTGGACAGTTGCAAGCCCAATTTTACCAAAGAATCGTGTCACACAGGGTAAGAAATGATAAGGATGGACAATGTGTATAATAAATATGTAAGAAACGACATTCCTTTGTTGTTGACTGTTATCTATTTTTTATTACAAATTCTAGGTGGCTTTCCGATTACGAGTGCACAAATACGGAAATTACGAGGTGGCGACTGGCCGATGCGGTACTAATACTAAATAAATGCAATACATTTTTCACATATAATTTGTATATTAAATAGACTTGGAATTAATCTGTTTTTCTCTTTTACAGAGGAAATCATTCCCATCCGGTCATTCCGCACTGAGTTTTTACGCCGCATTTTTCATGGGAGTACGTAAAACAGCTAATAATGTTCCGTCCTTGAAAGGCAGAAATTATATCTTGTCTTTCAACACGCATTTCAGATTTACCAACACAAAAGAATAAATAAGAGGGTAATGGGGACACTTTTTCTCCTTTGGTTGCATATCTTATGGTTCGGATTTGCCATTTTCTGCTCGTCGTCACGCGTCGCGGACAAGCGACATCATCCAGTGGATGTCACCTTTGGCGGAATATTGGGCGCAATTGGGGGCATTTGTTCAGTAAGATAAGCAATATACAAACAAATCAATAAAATGACTTCTCAAAATTCCGTTATTTATTACAAATCATCTCAATTCATGTCACAGGCCATCATTCTCTGCAAAGGGTTCGGGAAACCACTCCATCTCGGCGTCTATCAGAGTAAAGTAGTTTCCGGTGCCCACAACGGTTCAGCCACCATTTTGGACGGCTTCCCCAACAGTCCGCCCGGAAATGGGCCGCTTCCTCCCGGAATGAATGGGGGGTCACGTCCCCCCACCAACGGCGAAAAACGGCCCTCTCTACGTCGTCTCCTGTCCACCCAATCCACCATGACGCAGATGACGGACATTGTAGAGGATCGAGAATTGGATAGTTTATAGTCAGTTAATCGTAATAAAACTTAAGCGAGTATAATTGTGTAGATTTAATCTCGAGTAAGTATAATATTACGAATATTATCCTACAATTAGTTAGGAGAATAAGGTCTCGTTGCATTTACAACTTTAAATTGAATGGTCATAATCGAAATTATGTGTAAATATGTGCATGCAATTTCTAAGTGTCCGTAAATAGAGGGTAGCGTTAATTTGTAATACGTACATATAATTCATGTCTTTTAAACCATTTTAAGTAAAAAGTAAGGAATTTTAATAAATAAGCGATGATGATTAACGTGTCAACTTTTTTAAATAGTTATATGCAAAGCAAATTTTAAAAATCATTAAAAATCATCTGTATATTACATACAACCATTCGTAGAGGAACAACCTCCTACTGCATTATTAAATGAGACGAACACAAAGTATGATTTTGTGGCGGCGAGCATTTACATTGGTGTTTATTTCCCAAACAAGTTTGCTTACTTAAATAAATTGTTATCAAACATTTACTATGGAGGAGGATGAGGTTATCTGGATGGATATTGATCCTGACCCTATCGTACCACCCCAGTGTCCCGATCCACCCACTTCGAAAAAGAAAGATGTCGATAAACACGCGGAAAGATTAGCTGCCTCCTCCAGATTTGCCAAACAAATCATACTTAATCGCGACAAAAATGAACTTCGTCATCGTCCCTGGTTCAGGTCGTTACCAATTCGAAATGTCATCCTGACGATGTACACCGCTCTGTCATCCTCTGAAGAGATGAAACCCTTCCAACTGCTCGGACTGGGAGAAACCTTGTTGCAATTTTTGAAAAAGTTGGCCGGAAATCCGGGTTCCGAGAATCAACAGGTGTTGATGGGGGGAGAAACCAATTATGGTAATTGCAATTAATATTAGTAGTAACTTGCTTTTCAAGATTTAGCTTCGTATTTTCATTAATGTTATCAAAATGCAAAATAGGAATAACGAACAAACGACGAGAAAATGACCGCGACCTGGATAAATACTTAACCATTTTGGAAAACATTTTTATCCAGCTGAAACGTTATGAGAATGACGAAGAGGTTCAGAAAGATTCAAAAAAGTTTCTCGATACGGTTTGGAAATTGCACACAAGTGGTAATACAAATACTTTTAGGTTCTTGCAACAATATTTTTAATCGTTTTAACCATCTAACCTAATCTTAGGTACGATTGATCTCAGCAGAACCACAATTCCTGGTTCAATGGTCCATTCTAGCCCATCACGTTTGAAAACCGCCCTCGCGACCTTCATCGGTCCTCAGATAGAAGATGAGGACCTACAAAATACGTCCTCATTCGCCCTTATTCCATTATGTGACCGGAATCCCGAGAACTTTTTGCAAGTTATGCAGTCCCTCAGGGTGAAGTACCTCGATAACTCTTCTGGAGTTGATAAGAAGAAACAAATCCTAGATCTTGGGTCGAAATTGCAGACGGATCTAATGCAACGGTTAGGTCACGGGGTTAAATATGCGTCCCTCTTCCCCACCCCATTTCACCCCCTGCTGCTTTTCTTGTCACAAATATTGTCTAATCATTCGTCGAAGAATCTCATGCAAAATGAAATCGTACAGAAAGAAATACGAAATCTCCTCGATAAATTATCCCACCAGTGCGAACTGGACAGTTTTAATTGCTCTGACGTCATATTTATCTTAGCCACGAATCCTAATATTCCGAAGGACATTATTTTTAGCAATGAGATACCTCGTCCCCCACAGATTCGTAATAGTGACGGCTTGTGGTTTAGACGGTGTCTAAGAAATAGTGATTTAATTATGCCGATTACCGTTAACTAGGAAAAATGGACACTGATTTCGGTTAGTGTGTAGTGCTTTTAAATTTTTTATTTAACTTATTTACTGTTTTTGTATCTGACATTGATCATGGTCCTTAATTACTTATAATTACTCAGCCTCATCAGTATTATACACATTTATCCCAGCCAAATATTGCAATACATTATTCGTCCTTATACACTCTTTCACCCTGTCAAATAGTCAAATTAAAAGTACTTTCTCTCATTGTAAAATTCACAAAGAAACCACATTTCGTTCCATTATGTAAGAATTTTGTGTATTAATGTTGTATCGTATAATATTCATGTCAACAATGGATTTATTTGTAGAAATTGAAAAAATGGTTTTAAACGCATTCTTTTTTTTGCCCACTTATTTACAATCTGTTTGACTTGACTGACCAAGATTGAAATTATGGATTACTAAGCGTGAACACAGATACATGCGATCAAATGCATTTATGTATGTGTAATAATAAGTCTTCCAAATTCTACACCCTTAGTGGGAGACGTTCTTCGATCCGACTCGGCAACGGCAGCATGACTTCATCTTGCAAATGGTTGGTGGCATTCTGAACCGCAATGTCCTCTTCAACAATCGTATCAGAATCCATCATCTCTGCTGGTAGCCGTTGGGCGAATTCGGATCTTAGCATTGTGAAACTGGGACGCTGGGTGGGTGTTTCTCGCCAACACTCTCGCATAATGCTGTACCTGCAATTACACCCATTATTTTAATTGCATATACTATCCCAAATGTTAATGATGAAGCTACAATCCCAGGTTGTTTACATTTCCATATTCGAATAGCGTGGCTTATCCAGTCGATATCCATTGGCCAGCTTTTGGATAAATTCAGTGTTAAAGGTAACCCCAAAATATGGAACGTCCGCCAAGCTGAAGAGTTCCCAAAGAAGAATTCCGAATCCCCAAACGTCAGAGAGGACAGAGAAACTGTGATCGGTTAAGGATTCGGGAGCAAGCCACTTCCAAGGGAGGGGAACATCCTTTATTGGTATTGCAAAAATTTAATGAACGCCTAGTGGCATAATTTTAGGCAGGAAAACCATTTTATACCTTTGAATTCCGAAGATAGTAACTCGAACACTTGTACAGCTGTTTTGAAAGTCCGAAATCAGTGACTTTGGCCGTTTGTCCGACATCAAGGAGAACGTTTCTTAATGCCACGTCGCCGTGGATGATCTTCTTACTCGCCAAGTATTCCAATCCTGTAGCAATTTCGTAGCTCCATTTGATCAGGTCGGTCGTCTTTATGGCGTAGTTGAATCGGACGTAGGATGGGCTGCGAAATAAAACGTTCAAGCTGACCAGGTTAAATTAAAGAATTAGGAATTCAATTAATTACTCGGCAGCTGGGATCAGGTTGTCGTTATCTTGCAAAATTTCCTCAAATTCGTCAAGGAATGAGGTACGACGATTTGCAATGTACTGTTCCAAATTTCCAAGAGCGCAATATTCCACGATGACGAATGCCCGGCCTGTCAATAGAAGAGGAGTCAAAATTGTGCATAATATTTAATTCCATATTTTAACAAAATTATGAATTTCCAGATCCATACGTTCCGAAAGTTGTGCCGTAACTGCTCCCACCAGTCTCACAATATTTTTATGATATCCGATATAAATCATGATCTTAAGTTCGGAAAGCAGAGCTTTGAAGTGGTGCATATCCCGAGTTTTCAACGTTTTAATGGCCACCGTGTAAGACTGATTCTCATTCGGGATGACTTTTCCTTTTAAAACTATCCCGAATTCGCCTTGGCCCAAGATCGTGTCAAAATCTAAGCACAATGAACATACATCATAATAAGAAAAAAAAGTCTTAAATCGAACTTATATTTATACACGTGAACTCATACCGATGCTTAAGTGTTCCTCCTTAATTTCGTAGGCGTCTTCATCATACGGCAGGTAAAATGCTTTCTCGCCAACATCAGAATAATTTTTGACAGCCTCAGGATTGCCAAGTTTAAATTCGTCGACATCAAAGTCGGTGAAGAAGAAGGTGTACCCACTCTGCAATCATAAAATAGTTAAAATTTCATAAAAATAGCACAATTATACATAGAGAAAGTTTACAAGTACCGGCTTTCTTCCTCCTTTGAACAATTGGACTGACATGATTACAACGACAACGAAACAGAGGAAAAGTGCTGCTCCAAGGATTGAGAAAATTATGGTCCACAGGCTCACTAATTGTTTAAAAAATTATGAAAGTGAGTACCCCAACCTTACTTTCACTTTAATAATAATAACCATAATATCTGAGAAAAGTGTGTAAATATGCACGTGCCTCGGACATAAACGGTGAAAGTCTTATACACCATTCCCCTCGGATTGGACGCATTACAGGAATAAATAACACCATGATCAGATTCTCCAACTTCGGGGAAAGTCAGGGTGGCTATTGTCAAATTGTTTTTTGTCACGTCAAACATCAGGTCAGATCGAATTTCCTAGAAAATTATGGCACAAATTAATAATGTGCTAAATGTTGGAAGTAAATATGTATGAAGTTACCTCTCCGTTTCTGTACCACAAAATGTCCGGATGTGGGAAACCTTTCGCTTCGCAGATAAGCGTCTTATTTTTATCATTTGGGTGAAAGTACACGGTTACGTTGGAGGGTTCAAGGAACGTGGGGGCAACCGTGTCTGTAGCATAAAAATAATATCATCCTTGCTCAATTAACAACTGTATCTAACTATTCACTAATTTACCTCGGACGTTAATCGTCAGACTAGTGTTTATCCAACTCGTCTCGTTCCAAATGGGCGCTTCACAGAAAATCTTTTCAATTTCCGGTTTCGAAATGTAGATTGAAACATCCTCCTTTATCAGCGAATCCGTAAGACGCATCCCAATTCCTACAAATTCATTTACCACATTAAATTTTTATTTTTTCCAATTAATTAACCAATTTTAGCATACTGGTCGCATTCGCCGTAATCATAGCCCCATCTTTAAGTTGAATCTTCCACACGAATCCACGCGAAAAGACGAACCGAGCCGCAACGCAGGTGAAGGGTACCTTTAAAAAACCGATTTAAAAACGATTAAAAATTGGAATTAAGGGTAAATGCTTTCTCTGTAAATATGTCACCTTTTCGCCAACATTGTAAATGACATGAGTTCCGAAAGTGGCTGCCATACTGAGAATTTCCTCCCTCGGAGAAATTCTCCAATTTTGGACGAGCTTTCCGCCCAATGCAATGAAGTAAGTTGTCCGAGAGGGTTCCACATACTTGGAGGACGTGCATGCAACCACACCCCCATTTTCATTCTTCCCCACGGTCTCGCACTCCTCGTCCAAGGGTCGCTTCACCTCGGCGAAGAACTGCTTGACCAGGTTTTTTGAACAGGTTTGACCTAGAGTAGAACATTTGCAGGTGGAGTGCGAAGGACAGGTCGTGACCTGGGTCATATTAAGAAAAGATCATTCACTATTGCGAATGAATGTCATGAATAATTTACAATAATTCTTCATACCTCATTCATACACCTGTCCACCATACGACACTCCACGACAGATCTACAATTAGAACTGGTTTTGACTTCTAGCCCTAGCGAACCAGTGCACATGATGGATTGCCGATCTCGCCCACGGGAGAAAGGATTCTCAAACATTTCCGGTAAAAGGGCAGCTTTCCCTTTAATTTTCGTCTCTTCTACAACAGGAGGTTCCGCTTTAATTTACATGTTTCACAAAACATTCCTTTGAAAAAGAAACTTTTAATCTGGGTATGAATTACCACTCTCTTCCAGTTTTAAAACGACCTCATCTTGGACCGAGTTTTCATTTTTAGCAACACACTTGTAATTTCCGAATGGATCTGGAATTCTCTTGAGATGCATTGTGAATCCATTTTTCGGATCGTAGCGCAAATGCTCGCCTTCAGACATGCGCTCGAAACCCTTAATTGGAAAGTTAGTGATTAATAATTTATTGACTGCTTTCACTGTTAAACAAATACCTCGTGCGTAGTTCGGTACAGGGCGACGGGAATTTTTGGATTTGTCACTGAACATGGGAGAATGGCAAGGTCAGCATTTTTTGCATGAACAGTTATTTCTTCGCCCAGGTCGCCAAGTAGGAGGAAGGGAGGTGTGGTTCCTATTATTAGTTTATATTTATGCGTTAACAAGTAGACAGAAATGTGTTTTAGGACATTTTTTAGGCATCTTTGACATATGCATTAAAATACTTGAGATGCAAAGATTCATAAAAATTGTATCGTACGAGCAGATTAATATTGTAATTTATCAAGAGATAAGATCATAAATCATATAAATTAGTATTGAAATATTCTAGTTATTCACATCCGTCTGAATTTATAGATAATTTTAGCCTGTCAATTATTTGTCCTATTTGCTCTTTTAATCTCACGTCGATGGAAAACAAAATTGGTGTGCAAACGCATACAACCCTTCAAATTGATTAGTGCATATATTTGACTTGACAGGGTAGCTTTTTCATCGGAAACAACTCATCAAGTTGACTTGGTACATACGGAATGCAAAATAGGTAGTGCGAAAAACTGCGAAAAAAATTAATCTGATTAAACAACTGCTGTGTGAACTCTAAAAAGCAAGTTTCATTTATATATGTATAATTTACATAATGCGGTTTCACGGGTACATATAGACAAGCTTAACGATCGCGTAATAAAAATCCACACCTAATGAACCATTAAAAATAAATGGTTTCTACTTTGACATTGATTAATTGTCATATGTTCTCCTCATGCTTTTAATAATGGTTGCTCATGTCAATCAAATAATTGTTTATTAAAAAAAATATCGAGCTTGTTTAATACTTTTAAGTGCAATTCCTCACCTTAGAACTTTTTACTTTTTCAAGCTATATTTTATTATACTTACCATTTGCATAAATGTAAAACCCAGCAGCAGCATTATCTGTGGTTTCCTTGTCATCGCTACCAATGTGCCAACATTTGTACTGACCAGTGGCTTCTCGGTCTGTGGAGATGTTGACTCGAATTACGAAACATTCCTGGTCGTCATCGCTGTTTGGTGGATATCGAAATGTTTCGACCTGTTGAAGCTCAAGGGCCTACGGAAAATGAATTTATGAATAATGTATGATAATTTCGTTTTTATGTGCATCGATTTTTTGTTTTACAAAACTACAATTATTTCATCCAGGTACAGGCATATTTTCTATTTTTAAATCATATTCCTGCAGAAATACATACGTGCAAAGTTGTTTATCGAATCATAACTGTTTTTAATTATGGTTTACAAAACCGACCTGAGGCGAGCAATGATAAACAATTGACAGCTTACCAAATGTTTATATATTGGATTCTATTCGTAGAATTTACGACCGTAGGACGTAATAAAAAGTTCAGCTCAAAAGGAGAGGTTGTGAACTTTTAACTCATGGATCTCGATGCCCTTTGGATATGTTATAGTGCCCATGAATCAGCAAGAACTCCCAAGTGGTTTTATGCAAAGGCCACATTTGCGCCCGCCACACCCACTCAAAGGTGCCCAAAAAACGGAGAAAGTAGTGCTTTCACTCATTCAAATCCACGCCAAAAATCCAATTTTACTCGGATTTTGAAATTCCCTGTACACGATTATACTCCCAGATAGTTGTTTTCTTACACCAAAACTCAAATTCAACTTTTTGAAATTTTTAGTATTTTTAAAATTTAAAATTCTGAATGAGCACTTTTGTAGTAATAATGCAAATTATGCCTGCGAAATAATCATCAAAAAAGTTGAGTTTGATGTTGGAAATAAGAAAGTAACTATCTGGGAGTATAATGGTGAAAGAAATTTGAAAATCGGAGTAAAATTAGATTTTTGGCGTGGTTTTTAATGAGTGAAAGCTGGAGTGAAAGCGATTTTTTGGGCACCTTTGAGTGGGTGTGGCGGGCGCAAATGTGGCCAAGGTATCAAACCACTTCCTGTTGATTCATGGGACACGCTTGCATATCCAAAGGGCATCGGGATCCGTGAGTTGATAGTACACAATCTCTCCTCCTCAGTTCATTTGCAGGACAAGGAAGGACAATGCTTAATGCAAAATAATCGATACTGTACATACATAATAGTAATTAGACAACCTTCGTAAATCAACTATACAACGGCCTAGTTTAATACACTGTTTTATTACCACGTAGTCTTTATTCAAACAATTAGATACGTAAATACTTATGATGAGCTGTCTCAAATATGATTCAATACGGTTACAAGAATTTCCGAATTTTTAACGTTTTCCAAATTTTACGAAAACAATTATGAAATTGTTTGTATTTATGCAATATATTACAAATCTTGAACACATTTTCATAAAATTTCCATAAATGATTAATCCTTTTTGCAGCTTTTAATGAGAAATGATGTATGATGACAATAAATTGTCTAATTTTTATTAGTTTGTCACTATTTTGACGATTTTCAGATACAAATGCCTTAAAAATATATAGTCTCTTGATATATAGCATCTTGATGCATTTTTAATAATTTTTGCTTTTGAATGTTTAACTGCAGACTTGACAATTACATGCAACAATTTCTTTAAAAATTAGAAACGGCTTACCAAATATCCCTCAAAGTCAAAATCAATCGGTTTGACGGATCTGCACTCTAACGTGACATTCGCTTTCTGCCCAATGAACACAGCCTCAGATTCATTCCGAATGTTTCCCAGCTTCAGATTGGGGGGTGAAAGTAGGCGTATTTTTGGAGAAAGTGGGCATTTTTCGAGATCGTCGGACCCAACTGTGTAGCCAATAATAAAGGCCACACTGATAGCAACCCAAATTTCGAACAGGAACCAGTTAGTCCGCATTTTAAATTAGAGCTCGTGCCAAATATTTCAAAATTTCCACGAAAATTGTAATTTTCGATAATCCTTCCCCATAATCTGATCTATGTATCTGATTAACTCTGAAATTCTGGACAAAATGCGCCCACCTCCAGCAGGATTTTTCTTCTGTTAAGCAACAGCATGAAATGGACAAACTTTTGTTGCCTATGTGTCCATACGCAGTGTAATCTTTGAGCGAAAATGTCAATATTTGTATCTTGTGGTGTATTGTTCTTTGCGATGCTATAAAACCAATTATTACACAGTTTGATAACTGCACATTGGTTCGAGAGGCTTATATATTGTCTCAGCGGGGGCCAATTTGTTGTAAATTAATACTTATTGCTTGGAGGAGGTGGAGAGAAGCTTGCTCATTTATGTGGCCAATATGTATAAAAATAATTGCAGACTGAAGCTACTTCTGTGTCTACTTCTGTATGGTGTTGAATGTCCAAGAAGAGGTTGCATTGTCCATTTGAGAATATTTTGAAGCAGACAAAATGCTATTAAAATTCTAAATGTAAATAATTCACGCGAAAGTATTGGAGTCTCTCCAACAACAAATTTTGTTCGTATGTAACAGCAAACTGTTTGTTTATCTTGAACTGTGTAGCATAGTAGGCAACATAAACGAGTTATTTTTTTAAAATTTTGAATAATTTTCCATGATGCGTGCGTGTCCAACAACACTTACACGCACTTATATGCGAATATTCCTTGAAATATATTCAGAAATATAAATTAGTTCTCTAAGAGGGTGTAATTTGACTACTGTAGTAATTCAAGTCAAAATGAGGAATATTATTATAAATGTTATGGCCATGAACTTCTGCAGTTTATTTTTCTACCTGGACATTCTTGACATGCAAAATAAACACAATGTTGTATAGAAAAATCAGATTATGTTGTTTACCGATGAATGTAAATTATTAGACCATTTCGCACACTAAGGGGATTGACACACGACACGAATACGGCAAAATTAACCCTATCCTCACAAAATTTGGATCCATTGTCAATATCGAAATACATTAAACAAACTTTTAGGGAAATTTGATTTGCATGTAGAACTGTTTTGCGTACGTGCCGATCTTATCGATATTGTCCACTTTCATGTTCATGAAGACAATATCACTATTTAATGGCTTATTTTACAATCAGAAATAGAAACACTTTGTTAGATACACATGACACAAATATTATGAAGCGTTTTAAATCAACAAATTTCACAGGTATTTTAACAATTTAGTAAAACAATGTCCCCGTTTGCAGAGAACACATTTAATCGATGTAAGTAATCACACTATAAATATCTATTTTATTCTTCACAAATTCGAAAAAATGTTACGTCAAACTCTTAGATTTTTTTATCTAGCACGTCACACACAATGCAGATGTGTTTATTATCTTGTCTTCCGTCAGCATCAGAAAATTATTTACTCGGAAATGGACAAATAATTTAAATATGTAACGCCGGAAAATTTTAACAAACCACATTAGATGTCTGTAAGTATTTAGATGTCTATAATCTGCTGTCTAGGCAGATGTTCATTACCATTCGTACACATATCTATACGGCAATTGCTTAACCAAAAAAAACAGCATAATTTATTTGTTAGGTTGATGATTTATCTTGTTTGGATAAGTTTATTCTCGTCACATAAATTATAGTGGTGGATAGAACTATGTAATAACGACGTTTCTGTATTTATTAATTAGATTGTATCCAGTAGTACTATTTGTGTACCAGCATTATAATTCATCCTAAATTCAGCACAAGTTTTTCATAAACCACTTGTATGAAGATAATATCCATGATACAGGAAGATGCGACTTTGTGTTCTACGCACTCTTTGTACGTATTTATAAATGTGTGCATACGCTTTGTTCGACACTTATCTCATTTATAGTCTTGTCTGGTTTGTTACTTAATAAGTTGACGAGACAAAATACCAAGTTCACATCTAATGAGACCCACGTGGCATAAATAATGGAACCATTTACTATAAACGGTATCGCTACTTTCACTCAACACATTACACACTTTTGTACATAAGTGAACACGGGTTTGTCTCACAGCACAGCCACATCAACGGTATTAGTATTGCATCACGGTCACATCTGTACCTATCCTTCACCTGATTATGGAGACAAATGCGTGATCACTTTACTTTACGACACACTGCGTTATCTTGTTTGTTAAGGAACTTGGGTAAATGAACTGTAATCGTCCAGACACGTGACGAGGTTTGCTTAGTTTGTATTTATAGAAAGTTGAGTATGCTTTCACATTTTTGATTCGTCTTTCTCCTGCTTATGTAAATCTTAAAGTGGAATCAATTTAAATATTATGTATTTTGGTATTTAAGATTTCACATTAAACTTTAATCACTTTCTGCCTTTGTCTCCAGACGAATTTCGTACAACAAAGTCCTTGCAAAGTAGGATTTTTACTGTATGAGTATGTACCTGCGACACATAAATCATCCAAAAAATTTGACTCGAATTAGTAGTATGAAAACAGGATTGATTTGATACCTACTTAGTACCCAATACAGCTATCTATTCATTTGACAAGTATAATTGCAACTACATATACACCTTTGAACCAAATCAAAGACATATAATTGCTACTACTCTGGTCAAGACGTAACTAAACAATAAGGATAACCAAAATTGTCTCAGTCGGAGGGTAGTAACTATGTATTTCATTTCATGCTAAAAACAGCCCCTCATCCATACGTACATAGTTTATGTGAAAGGTTCACATTGACTTCATGCATGACTGCGCTTAGTTAGAACGCGATTCGCAAAAGTTAAAAAGCACTTGTACATAGCTAAAATATCAGTAATGACGACTTGATATTGTCTCTCTGTGAATCAGAAGCGATGTGCGACTACATATTTTTTGTTATAAATAATTTGCATACGTTGTTTGCTATGTACAAGTTGCATGCAAAAAGTGGTTTCCTATCAAACCTGTTCTTCTTCGTCTCCCCCTTTTTCTTACAATGCTGCCGAGTTGAGATGTTTCAATGAAACTTTTAATATGCAGCTATCAACTGATTTGTTTAATAACCTGACCAAGTACCTGATAATCGGACCAAATTATGGAATGCAAATAATTTGTAAGAATTGAACCTTCGGTTCGTAAGGGACTTGGGAGGAAAACCAACAATCTTTTAAGAATTGGAGGAGGTGTATTATTTTAAATTTATTTCGAATTGTTCATAAATTTTTGATTTCTTAAATTAAGGTTAGGGTTTCTTAATCCTCGACTCGTTAGTGATCAGCTTGTCTCACATGTTTCTTGTAATTGGTAAGCATGCAAACCGTGATACTCATAAACTCGGTGAGATGCATGCATATAAGTGTTAAGTAGTTAGTAAGTGCATTTGATGATCTGCATACCTCAACTAACCGACATCCAAGAATTCCCAGAATTATGTCTGATGCAGCTCATTTTTAACCAGAGGATAATTGAGTAGTTGTACATGGATAACTAATTGTTCGAGCATAACACAGATAGTTAATTGTATAAATGCATCATAATGATTACTTGTCCTCCAGTCTATGTATGCTGAACAAGTTTAGTAAATCCTGTAATGGATCGTCTCATGATTTATTTATGCATTGTTTCTAATTTCATGACTGGATAAGGATGGGAAAAAATCCGGTTTTATTGATAGTATTGCGTATCCAGTTGTGACGTACATAGCACAAACGTATGCAACGATGCTCCGAAAGGTCAGGGTAACATTTAGATTGGACGCATGTGGAGAAATCACTTATGCTTTTATTCCGGACAATTAATTAGTTTATTGGGTCGACTTTCCTAGAATTTATCGCCGTAAAAAAAGTCTCAGTTTATTTTTCGTGACACATTTAAATAAAACGGCTGAGCATTAGAGATATGAATTATAATAAGGATAAGTCCAACTAAATGTGGGAAGTGGAAGTTCACGAAGCGAATCATGAGACAATTAATATACTGGAACTCAATAAAAATGGGAATTTTAGAATAAATATCGGAAACTTTAAAAAAATGCATGTTGACTCTGCCCGTTTCTCCGTTTCCACCTTCCTCAGTGTAATCTTCTTTTCGGTGGGGGTGAGGGTGGCCTCCTAAGAAATGACGATCTTGGTGGAATCGGCCAGCTAAAGTGAGACTCTTCGTCATCCGAACTTCCATGCCTTGTTTCCGGTGGTGACAATAATGGCTGTTGCGAAGAACTCGGTTGTTCGGCTCCATATTTTCTGTAGAAAAATGATGATAAACAATGCGCTGAATAAAATTATTAGTAATTATTCATATGAATGATACCGAGGTTTAGGTTTTGGCTTGACTTTAAATGATCTTCGGAAGAGAGTGCTGCCCACATTTTCTCGTCGTTTTAGAACCAGCTTTCCCTGAAATATACATACAAATATATTAAATCTGCAGCATTTTGCATTTTTTTAAAATCGTACAACCTCCGATGATGTCGACCCCGGTCTTTCTCCTCCTTCCTCGTGAAACGAGACTTTCTTACTTGACTGCCCCCCAGAACTACTTCTTGACGTATCATAATCTCCCCCATGAAATACGTCGGGATTCGTCGAGACGTGTCCTAATTCGATCAAACTAGCCTTATCTTTATCTTTCTCCTTTTGTACAGTCTCCAACTCATCGTTACCTTAATAAATTAGAGCTTTAGGTACATTTCATAGCCAAATCAATCAAAAATTTTGCATATGTATCGTACTTAATAAGAGTTCGTCATAAATCGTAAGTGGGTCAATCCCAAAGAAAGTACACATCTCATCTGGCATAAGAACGTTCAATATCATTACAAGAAAGCCCAGAAGGACACAAAATATTCCATTTCCCAGCACGAGGTAGTAGTCGGGACCAAATCTTGTCCTCAAAAGGAGATCATCTTCAGGATTATCACCGCTCTGAAATGGAATCTGAATCTCGGTTGGGTTTCGGAGAAATGTCCAGACTCCAATAGCGGATAATTGGAGGAGACCCGTGACGATTAGAAAGTACACGGCAGAACTAATTATCATTGAGAAGAGAATGTTGGAGATAACCCAGGTTCCAAATGCGGTCCTGAATTTAAAATGTAAAATTGAGAACAAAACCTCAAAAGAAATTGAAGCAAGATTTCACATACCAAATCAAAATGTGGGCATACCACCCTGCCAATCGGTAATATCGTCCAAACCTAATCCCTTCTCCGTCGAATGTGAAGTATTCAGCGATTTGCAGAATTGGCAATGGGACGCCGCGTTCAGTAGCGGCACGAAAATCTTTGGAAATTTGACCAGCATAGTAGCCAAAACCTGACAAATTGTTTGTTTATAATTTGTAATTACAATCTACAGGTAACTCTATTGCGGAAATTGCTAACCGAATCTGCCTTGGGCCCATTCCCACGAAAAGTTTTCATTGTAATCGATCCGCTCGTAATCAAGAGATGACTTGTCAGAAACATTATGCTTTAAAGGGGCGCCTGTTATGATGAACATATAATTTTTTTGCAAATAAATATGCAAACAAGCTTAGACAAGACTGACCTGTCAGCGTTATATTGATCCCCCTCAAAGTAATATGAAGACCGACCTCTCCCTTGATTTCTTCATGGGTGTAAGGTTTGTATGGCGTTATTATCTGGGCGGTGGCAATTTCCCAGTTGTGACCATAATTTCCGACTGTTATTCAACCATCATTTTTCAAAATTGTTTATCTGTACTAGTATATCTGCGTATCTAATTCACAAATATTAAAAACTTTACCTAGCACAACTCCACCAATGAAAAGACTGGCCACGATTCTAACCAGGAGGGACCTTCTCTTGTGCTTTCCATATGCGGGTAAAATGGCAAAGAAACAAATCGCGATGATAACCCAGCCTAAAATGAGGGACGTGGTAAAAACGTCAATTGGTGCAGCACTGTGCTGCTCGGAATATTGGGTAGGCAATTTTTCGGACCGACCAAAGTCAAAGAATGAAAACGAACGTGTCATGATGAGACCGAAATTATGAAACTATGCATAAGTGAAATTAAGTGAAATGTCAAGCAGTCACTAGCAATTCTATGTCGTACAATTAATTAAATAAACCGCAAGCCAAATAATTATGGCTATTTTTTAATATCAAACTTCAGTTTATTGATAAAACCTCAATTTCCGGTGCTCGCTCGCTAATGTCAAATAACGTTTAGTGTAATATAACATTTGAAACTTGTTACAATAATATCTAATCGAATGACGAATTATCCAATCGTGAATAAAAATTTGCAAAATGGATTTTAAATGTCAAAATTAGTATCTTTTAAACTAATGACAGAACAATTATTTCATTTCATATTCTTCCAATTTACAAGCCATTTGGACCAAGTAACTTGTTTCGAACATTCGCAAAAATTGAAAATGATATGTTTTCAGGATATTTTATGTTCAAAATTTTTTTTCATCATAAATCATAAAATGTCATAAAACATCACAAGGCATCATAAAATATTCCCATGACCTACTACCAAAGACCTTTCCTTTTGTCTAGCAATAGTATCTTCCAGCCAGACCTCATTCGACTCTCTAGAACGATTTTGATTTTTCTTCAAAAATCTGGAGTGGAAAAGTTGAAATTGTTTATGTAGAAATCTACATAAAATCAATTTGGATCAACAAGATCACTGGAAGATGCAGAAAACCTTTGTTGTCGATATTCTAAAGTTGGTCGGACTTGGTCGCCAGATGGACTTTGAAACCAGTTTCGCCTCCCAACACCGCTACAACACAAAATCTCAAGTTGTCCAGCACTATTGCTCGTCGCACATCATACATTTTAATTTAACCCAACCGATTGGTTTGATAAGCCAGTTAAAAGTTATTACTGAGATATTACATAAGCATGTTATTCTACTAGAAATCAATCGAGTCAATGAGCTCACCACTGGAGTTTGTGCTGCGATGCTGATGCTGAGCAGTTGTTCCATCTTCGATATCTCCTTAATTTAATATTTATTTTACACTAATCTAACTTCAACAACTATTATAAGCCGATTTTCAATTTTAAATCTACACCAGCAACTGCTATAATACTTTAATGGCGATCGTGGGAGGAGAACCATCGTCTTCGGATGTCGTTGCGTTGGCCGTTGATAATGATCAGATAAGGGATCATCTTGTAAGTATTTGGCTTGAACAATTTCAAAATTCTTAGTAAATTACAAAATTCGATGGTACTTGGTATGTTTAAATATTTATACAGGTAACGACAGCAGTTAAATTCCTTAAGAATCAAAAGGTCCGCACAACATCTTTGACCAAGAAGAAAGAATTTTTGACAAAGAAAGGACTGACGGATGCCGAAATCGATTTAGCATGTCGTCAAGCTGGTGCATATGATGACGAAAAGAACAATGTAAGCAAATAAAAGGCTGCGCCGAACGTAAAGTCCATTAATATAAAGGTTATTTTTTGTGGGGGTTTCAGACTATGTCGGAAGCTCTCGCTCTCCAGTATCCAAGTAGCACAACAAGGTCTTCGCTCCTACTCAAAGCAATGGACGTGGCAAATATAATAGCACTTTGTTCGATTGGATCATACAGTCTGTACTCCCTTTGGAAGGTATTAAATACACTTTTTCATAGAGTCATATTATTATCAGGTCCGGTTTATGTACATTATTTATTGCTTCCTCAACACACAGAATTACATCGCTCCAAGAATATTTGGAACAAGATCACGGTTAGAACAAAAGTACGAGAGACTACTAGAATCAATAACTCAACTAAATCAGAACGTGGTTGAACTGCGTGAATTATTCCGAGATGTGCAGCTACAATCAAGTTCATCCTCTAAATCGTTGGAAATTCAAGAATTTAGGAAAGAGATAGCTGGGATTAAGAGTCTGTTGCTGGGTCGTAGTCAGTTTCCGTCTCCAGCTACCTCAACTGGGATTCCTTCTTGGCAAATGGTTGAGGGTGATAACTCCAATGAAAACTCAGACGAAAGTTCCAGTCGTCGTCGATCAAGAAAAGACAAATCGGATAGATTAGTCGGAGGGCGTAAAACGAATCCTGATGACTCACTGTCCGAACAAGGAGATGAAGAACTGCCTACAGGTCCCATTAGAAAACACCCATCACTTGACTCGAATAATGGATTCAATTCTGGAAGTTCATGTGAAGTTGTATTCGTGGGAAAAAATGATTCTTCGGATCCAGATCACAGTGATGAATGATAATGATATTCAGTAGGAGGATATTATTGAGGACAACAAACAGCCCCAAGGAAAAAGACTTTGTAATTTACAAAACAATTAAATTATGGAGATGTTTAAATTCATTGGCTTAGCTTACTCAAGCACGTGGTGTTCGTATGTTGTTATACTATTTTTGAAAAGCTTATCACTTCTAGTCGTTCTATTCATCACTATTTTTATCATAGTTTAACTCGGTTATTTTTATCTACTGTTGTTCATATATCTAGCCAGAACCTGAGCTAATTATAACTGTGCAATTGCTCAAATGCACTTTAATTCCAAATGGTTTCTTGTTCTTCAGATCAGAATTGTTACTCAATAAAAATATGTATGAAAAATAAAATCTTGTTATTCTTTAATGCTTTAATACTCATTCCCGTGCGGAATTACTAGTTGGATCCTCTTAAAAAACGTGACCAAAATTTTAAAATCAATTACAAGAACAATTTAACTCATTTTTTTGTTTATTCAATTCATTACGAAACAGTTCAGTTAAAAGCTTCAATCTTTATATGTAACACAAATTATCAACCCCCATGCATGCATCAAGTTTAGAATATGAAACTAAAACTGCAATTGCACTATCTGTTGCACACCCCCCACGGTTTGGGAGTCTACTATATAAATCCATTTTTGCACCGTTTTGAAAAGTTTTCAGAAATATATGTATCATAAGTAATTAATTGATGAACCAGACGATAATATATTAGCTAAATAACAATAAAGTACAGTTTATGTACAAATTCCTATTAATTAATTAATGCTCACGTTTGTTGAAACATTACAAATAAATAGTTTAATTTGGTCTGAAAAGTTTATCAAAGAATTATTAAACATATACTCATTCATGTTGCAAACAAAATAGCTTGCGTGAAATGAGCTTGTGGTGGCGTCATTTCCACACGCTTAATCGTCGTCGAGTAGATCTTCGTCAAAATTTATATCCTACAATTAAATTTAAACAATACATATAAATTATCATTTTCCAAAAAAGCTAAGATAATACGACACTTGAATATTATTCATATTGCACTCACCCCAGCATCCCCGTCAAGATTGATTCCATCAAGGTCTAAATCTAATTCTGGGTCTAGGAACTCATCAACGGATGAGTCTGTATGGTTTGGCTGGGGTGCAATCTGTTGGATGGTCGGTGGTGGTGGACCTTTTTGTACAGAAACGGAAGGCACAAGTGGAGGAGGAAGAGATGTCGCGGTTGGTGGAGTTGAAGGACCAGTATTATTTATCATACTAGGTTTGAAATAATTTGATTTTTCTTCTTTTTCAAGTCCGATCGAGCCAAGTTTTGAGTCATCGCCTATCGAAAGCGCACCTGGCTTGTACTTAAACATCCCATTGGATTCTGTAAAATCCAAACAATATTGTATGCTTGGTTTGTTAAAATTTTTACATTTGAGATTGTTTGCTAACCTGCAACCAATGCTTCATCGATAACGCACCGAATACCAGGACCCTATAAACAAAAAAAAGTATTCAAATGAAAACTCTTGGTTGTTTCTGACAAGTTGTTAGTCTCAAACAATGAGCAAATAAATAAAGTGTCAGGTTACCGCACGAGTCCAATAGTCTGTGGCAGGATCTTGACGCTTTCGTTCAGGAATAAGATATTGCTCCGCTTTTAATGTATCGACATAGTCTGGGAAAAGATTTTCATACTGAATGGGATCTGCAAGACTTTCTGCAGCCTTCTCGCTTATTTTGGATAGAGAATCCTTCCACAAGGCGACAACTCGTGGAACTTGACTGGGGACATGCGTTCTATATCAGACAAGGTAGAACATAAAAATACCAGCAGCAGCAAAATATGATGTGGCCAAAGTTTTCATATCGATTGAATTAATAAATCATACCTGGCAAAGAATGCAGCTTCTGGCAGTCTTTCACTCTTGATTAGTATTTCCAAGCATTTATTCACATTTTTAAGCAAAAAGTAGGATGTAAAAGCAGTATTGTACTTTTCCATCGCTTCGGCCGTCTGCGCAAGTTTCTCAATCATTGAATAGTTTCCTAAAGTATCAAGCAGTAAGTCAGTATCATAGATATGATAATGGGATGTGAGATATAGTAATAATAAGCCTCAACCAACCTGCTGACGTTGCAAGTAAAAGCAGGCCGCCCAAATCGTTTGCTTTGTGAAGAGCTTCTTGAGCAAGTTTAAATTGGCTTTTAGTAATGGCTAATTCAGCCAATTGTTTCCACTTCTGTTCACTATCAGCCTCTGTTGCCAGTTGTTCTGCTACCTTGAGGTCACCAAGTTGTAGTGCCAAGTCGAAGCGATGCTCAGAGTCAGAAGAAACTGCCAACGCTTGTTGCTTAAATCCCTATAAAAGTATAAAATGTGTGTGATTGGTAACAAGCAGAAGTAATTAACGTGTTATCGGAAATATTTAAGGTAAACGAACCTGTTTTTCAAGAAAATGCGCAACTCTGGTTCGTTGGTCTTTAGGAATGGTTGGAAGAATTTTGTCCGCCGACTCAAAATCACTTCGCATAACTGCTGTTTGATATTCAAGGACAGCGACGAGGCAGGAGAAAGAGACAATATTCAAATCCTTATCACACAAGTACAGTCGGTTATCTTTAGGGATGTATCCTAAGAGGTACATTGTTCTGCGCGGATGTAAAATATTTATTAAAAAATGAGAAATCAAATATGCGAGAAATGAGGACAGTTTAAATAAACAAGTAATTCATAATACGTAAATAACTCACCTGTCCAAATGGGATATTGTAACGATCTCACCACCCACGTAATAATTCAGGCGATTGACACTATTTGTGTAAATGAAACAATCTCCAACCCACACTCCAGTTTTAACCACTTCTTGATTCTCTCCTAGCACCTGAGTTGGTAAAAATAAGAGTTAAAAAAATTGTTGCGCACTTTCACTCTTATGTAAGATACAAAAATATATATTTACATCGAAGGCTTCATCATATCCATCTTCGCTGACACCTTCTTTGCTTTCTCTCGATCTTGCCACTGCTGCCTCGTCGTACTTCAGTATGAAATAACTATCCTCCGTAGCAATGCAGCACAGTTCTCCATTCTCGGACCAGTACACTGCTTTTGGCGTTATTTCAATTCTTCGAATCAGTTCCTGTGTTTCCCAGTCATAGAAGGCCAAACCGTACACAGATTTCACTCCCAATAAATGTCCTCCAAATATTCCTAAAATTAATAAAATATTAAATAATTTTTGCGACAACATATGTACAAGTTTTCTTCGACAAAACACAATTAAATAAATTTACGCTTCAATACCAACCTTCAGCTCCACATTCAGGTTTGAAGGTCTTCTTTTCTTTAAAATTCTTGAAAAGCTTAACAGTTGAGCTGTTTTCACGGATCGCATATTCAGAAGAATCCAGTGCCCAAACAAATTCCATTGCTGGTCCAAAAGCTTTGTTTCTCAGAGCCATTGCGGTGTAAATAATATATTCGCCATCCCCACAGACGACAACGAACCTAGGGTTATAATTTTAACCGTTTAATTTAATGATGAAGGGAAATGATAAGCGATTGATTGCTGACAATAGTAATTATTACCTTCCATTGGGATTATGCGCTATTGTTTGCGGATAAATTTCGCAACTTCCCATATCTTTGACGGCTAAGGGAAGACGTTCGCCATCCTTCGATTCGGAGCCGTCAGGTAAAGCCTTGAGGTTGGCCTGTTGAACTTCTGAATGTTTGGCCCATATGATTTTTCCACTGCTATCCATTGAGACTGCAGGTTCTTCTCTCCCAGCCTAAATATGAGGATGTTAAAAACACAATCAAATAATATGCATAAAAATAATAATTAGTCCTTCAGTAATAATCAGTACCTTCAGCATGATACTTCCTTCATCATAGCCGACAGCAACATTGTTTGATCCTTTCAGGCACGCAATTGCCCAAACTCTTTCTAAACCATAGTTCAAATTGTTTTCTAACCGATACGTATTCGCGTGCCATAAACGGACCGTGCCGTCTTCTGAGCCCGTTAAGATGACAGGAAGCTCTGGATGGAACGCAACGGCGGATACGTTAGATGCGTGACCCTCCAATGTTTGGACGCATGTTTTGTTTTGATAATCCCAGATCTTGACCAAGCGGTCATCTGCCCCTGATACCAAATAAGGCTTATCTCCAGCATAGTAGTAGTCGACACAGTTGACACCCTTCTCATGGCCTTCTAGCGTAAAATTGGGAGTTGCCGAGCCAAGCTGCCAGACCTGTAGATTTCAATCAAGTTAATGAATATATCAGACTCTTCTAACTCATCACATGAGACTCAGCTTAAGTGGAATCGGCCGTGCCTACCTTCACCGTCCTGTCCAACGATGCAGATGCAAATGTGTTGTTATCCTTTGGATTAATCACGATTTGCATAACATAGTGAGTATGGCCTTCAAAAGTTTGCTGGCAAGACCACGACTTTTCCCAATTCCACAACTTGATGGTCATGTCATCTAAAATAGTAGTTATTGTATATCATTATTTATGACGATCCTTATTTAGCCATTATCATCAATCCTATGTCTTACCACTGCTGGTCAAAATATAGGGTTGCACAGGGTGAACCACTATACAGCGCACATAGTCAGAATGCGCTTCAAAGGAATGTACCCGTTCCAAAGTATTGTAATTGAAAACTCGAATCTGCACATCGTCGGATCCAGTCACCACCCAGTTTTTCCGAGGAACAAACTTGGCTGTCCTCACCGGTAAGTCGCACACCTTCAAACAGAAATTTGAACTACATAAACCCGTCTACCCATATTTGTTATATACTGCTTTTATTATTATACCTCAAAAGTTTTAATGAGTTGCTGGCTTTCATGATTCCAAACGTGGACATTGCCATTGTAAAGAGAGACCAACAACCATGGTTCAGATGGGTGAAGATCCACAGACTTTACACGGTCAGATCTCGCCGTCAATTTCCTCTTTACCTCCAACTTGAGTGGCTATAATAGAACACAAACGATCAAAGTAATAATCATTGAATTTAAATTCCAGCAAAACTCTCAGTTTACCAGTTCAACCCAATGAAATATAACTTGTTCACTAATTTTCTTATTACTGCCCAAATTTGACAATGTTTGTCCCATTTTACCAACTACCGTACGACCCCCTTCTCTACATCAAATACTTATTTTGCAAAGCAGAACAGAAGAAGATAGTTTAAAACATAACCCAACAAACAAGATACTTCAATCATTTAGATATATAACTTTAGAACAAAGAACGCGTGACTCATAAAGTTTGCCAACGTTACACTACCACTGGTAGAAATCTGTATCGACTATTCATAGTATTACTGGCATTTCAATCATTTACCATGGCGAATAACTGCTGGTTTCCCTCTTGACTGCTTCAATCTTCTTTGAGTCGTCCACCTGAGAAACTCTGGAACAAGAACACACATGGGCTTTCAATATTGCATTATTTGACAGCTCATCAACTTTGACAACTCACCTGATTTGATTTGTAGCTTTATCGCAAGAAATCTTTCCAGGGAACAAATTGTTCACGTGGTGGAGATTTTTCAGCTACCACTAATTGGATCGTTCTTGGAGGAAAAACACCGAGAAAAAACTGACGACCAAAGTTAACGGAAGAGTAAGTTGTTGAATATTTTTGCAAAATAGCTGCTTGGAGGAGTCTGAAATCCGGCCTTCTGCCACCACCACCACTGTGAAAGATGACAACTCAGCTCGCCATTCAACCATTCGCTCTCCTTCACAACGTGTCTCAATTTTCCCTGCCTTCCGTCTCCTATTGCCTCCAAACGCCTTCAGGGAAAGTGCGACAACTTTCTCCAGGAAGCAAGACATGTCTCAAAACGTATCATGAACAGGTACGGATTCAGGGTGGTCCGATAAGTCATGTGCACAATCGACACTGCACCTCAGATTAGTGGATACTACTGGAGCATTTGTCCAAGCTTACACTACTTGGGGGAAATTGATACACGACTTTCTCTCATCTGTCTCATTTTGCCTCACTAAAATACTTCTACTCTAATAAAGTGTTAGTATGATCCCTGGGTCCCTGGGTCCGTCTTCGCAATGCAAATTGCCCCATACAGTAGACAAAGAAGGAAGCGGAGCAACCACTGCATGCATGCACTGCACTGCATGAATAAATGAATACATGAACATGTACACCCCACATACATACATCACTCATCAATAGTGGTTATCATGATAAGTGATCGTGATAAACACTATTAATTAATTATTTTAGTTTGAGAAACTCTACCCACAGCGAGTGGCATGTCAATTCGAATGTATTTTTGACGCTGAATCCAACGCCGTCAATGGTTTTGACCTGCGAGGCCCCCGTGACCTCGCCGTGACCGTGGTGTCCAAATCTGGCTTATTCGTGATGTCGCATATCAATTCGAATGTATTTTTGACGCTGAATCCGAATCCGTCAATAGCTTGGCGTTAATTGTAGAAGTTAACGGAGTTTATGGAACTTAACGGGAGCGTGAAGCGTGGGAATTTAAATAGTTAGCTATGCAGTTAATCCCACGCGACGGGAATTTAAGTAATTAGCTATTCAACTACTCCCACAGGGGGGAATCAAATTTTACTGTGACCAGGTTAATTAAAATGCAGTATGACTTGGGCAAACCCTCAGTCTGATGTATGTATGTAGTATGACAAAGTCTCCACTGGGAATTATTTAAAATATAGTATGACGGATTTTTCGCTTTGGGCACACCCCCCACTGGAACTCTAGAACCCGGCCTTGGCCGGGCTATACGCTAGTATGGAAATAAAGTGTGTCCAGTTTTCCAAGTACGTGGAAAGTGAGATTAATAAAAATAAGTGTGAATTGTCAAACCTTTACCAAAATTCCCCACCTCTGCCTGTTCTCACTTGGCAAATATTTTGCCTTAATTATGTATTATCTTTTTCGTATTAGGTTCTTAGAATAGAAAGCAGGTTTAACATTTTATCTTCATGTGGGCTACTCAAATAATAATCACATGAGGTTTCATCCACGACATTTTTGTAGACAATTTTATCAGAGATCGCATAGCCCCGATGTTGAGAATATATTGTTATGTTTACCTCCCGATAAGTTATCGGCGATAATTCAGCGATATGCAACAACTCATAAATAAGTGAGTATTTACAGGGTAGTTTGGAAATGCCGAGCAGTCATTAGCAATTTATCTCGTACAATTAATTAAATAAATTACAAGCCGATTAATTATGGTTATTTTTAATATCAAACATTAATTTATTGATAAACCTCAATTTCCGGTGTTAGCTCGCTAATGTCAAAGTAATAACGTCACATAAAATAGCAATATTTGTCAAATAAAGTTGTAGTTTCGTTTACGTGAATAGCTTACGAAGAAATTTAAATTATGAAGGCAAAATATTACTACTTGCTCTTCAACATCCGTTTCCTCGTCTTTTCCAATGTCCTCCTATAGCTGAATTGTGCCTCCTTGAATGATTTCTTCTTTTTGATTTTAATCTTGTGTTTCAACATCATAAAGTTTTTCCCCTTTCGCTTCTCTGCATTTGAAGTGCTCGCATAGGGATTCATTTTTCCCTTCCGACTCCCAAACTTGTCCCGACCTTCCTGCCCTTTGCGTACAGATTCGAGACGAGCCTCCTTGTCGTGGCGACGTTTTGAATGAATATTCTCAATTGCAGAAAGGTCGACAAGTTCGTTTATTTGTCCAGCGACGACATCTAGAGCTTCGGAAGCTTTTCGCTTTTTCGCACTGCCCTTTCTTACTCCCACGATTTCTTTTTGCATTTGCAGCTTCTCCATCTTTTTGAAATCTTCATCAGTTAAAATTGTGGATGAAATTAGATCTTTGGCCATTTCTTTTCGGACGGCAGGATCAATCGCGGTCTTCACGGCATTTTCTTCTGAAATATTTTCGACTTTATCGTCTTTATTATCTTCTCCGTCCTTGTCGGATGTTTCTTCTTCTTCAGCATCATCATCACTTTCTCCTTCATCTTCAGAGTGAGACACATTGACCCATTCTTCCCCATCATCACCACTATCATCGTCCTCATCACTAACTTCGTCAACCTCTTCGTCATCATCATCATCCGGGTTACGAATCAAAGCTTCCGCTCCAGGAATAAGCTCCTTGGCATCAATTTGTCCAAATTGTTTTGTCGTTTTCTCTGCATCTGCCAGCGTTGGTTTTCGTTTATCCCTCTTGTGCAACATGTCGGGATTGATATCTCGGAAGAGATGAATTAAACTCCTCGCCGCCATCATTACACTTTTTTCTCTGTAGGATTTATACAAGGCCAGGTCGAGGAGAAGGTCCCTGTTCATTGCCAGCGGACACCTCCCACACAGCTCTCTGATCGCATTCAGCCCAACCGCCATCACATCGGCCGAATTCCTCTCCGTCACAAAGTTATTCGCAATGGTTTCTACGACTCCTTCAATAGCGTCGGGAGGGACGAGGTCGTGGGCTGCTTGGGCGGAGAATTGTAGAATCTTGGTTACGTCACGCTGATGTGGCTGCAAAAATCGTTTTACGTACGGGTAGTAATTAAGCAAGATGAGTTGATGGGTCCCGATTAAGCGCGAAATTAGGTCGAGGGTCATCAACTTAACTTCAAATCGCTCATTCATCGATTCCAACTGTTTAAACAGCCTCTCGACAAAGCCCTGCGGATCGTGGAGGAGGTGGAGAGCGGAAAAATTGTAGTTTGGAGCCTTCCCCTTGTTTCGTTTCTTCTTCATGAGCACTTTCATTTTGTCCAGATTTTTTTCTCTTTTACGTGTCTTCTTATTGAATCTGTTTGCCATTGCGACATCTTTTACATTAGGGGCGTCGGAGTCGGAATCGCTGTCCGAGTCGTCAGGTTTCTCAGAAGTAAGGAAGAACTGGATTGCGGTAACCATTACTTTTGTCACTTTGGAGAAGCAGGCTGAAAATGAATATAATAAAATTAGTCGAAATTCTAACCTCAATAATTAGATTACATTATGCGATAATTTTTACGCACCATTTGCAAGAACGTTTACGGTCTTGGTATCATTCCAAATATTTTTTCTGTACAGCTCAATCATAATGTTGAGCGACATCTTGGTAGCTTTGACATTCCCATCCTTAATCATGCCATACATAAAGTTCTGCAGGACGGTGTTGACTTTCATGTTCTTGTGTTTGGAATTCACACTCTTGATATCTGCGATGATATGAGTTTCCAAGTATTTTCGGAGTTTCTGGTCCTGACAGTGGAGTAGTCTAAAGAACAAGGGGAGCAAATCGGTAGGTTCGAGAAGATTCTTGTTCCTCATCAAAATTAACGCTCGACACATGCTGAGCCGATTTTCTGTGTTTAAAACACTTCCAAACTTCTCAAGAGCATCCATTAATTGTTGTGGATAGCCGGCGAGTTGTTCGGAATAGCAGCGAGCTACTTGGCCGAGGAAGATGAACAGGTCGTCTAAATCCTTGTTGTACTCGTTGGGCGTGAGAAGAAAAATTTTAAACATTGCACCAAAATGTGAAAGTTGTTGGGCAAATTCTTCCTTGTAACTTTCAGGATCACGTTTTATCAAATTTTGCAGTTGGGGGATGTTGTTGGGAAGTTGGTTGTTTTGCCGATGTGTTTGCGACATGATTAAAGTGTAACTAAAATTACAATTAATGATTAGTACAATTAGTTCATAAATATTACCTCACACACCATATATATCATTCTTACATTTGGGCTTCGCCCTTCACCCTGTGTTATCCTCCTAGATTGTGAGGAATGCACTTCGCACTGTCTTTCGCGAACGATAAAATAAATTTTAAATTAGTTTTGATATAAATAGTTAAATAGTTCATTATAAAATATGGTTTATTCCTCCAACACATACCAGATTCACCCAATTTTCCGTTCCCAGAGACTTTGATATTCTTATCGTTTGTTAATTTTAATTTGACACATAATTTCAGTTAAAATTAATCAACCACGCACGCAGCTTTGCACAAAATGCACATGGTTCAATCCACCTTCCACCTTCCCGCACCGTTTCGCTTTCCCCCTTTTTGCAAAGTAAATGAAGGATTTTGTTTTGTTGACTTGAAATTTAAAATTAACTAAATTTAATTAGGTAAAATGTCAGTGAGAAGTTTGGGTCGTCTCCTGATGAGGTCCAGATCACTTGGAACTGCGACCTTGAGCGGGTTTAAGAGCCCGATCGCCTTGGAGTACATTTATCCAGCCAGTTCCCTTAATCCCGTGCGGATGCCGTCGGTAAGTGCAAAAAGTAAATTAAATGACTTGTAATAGTTTGCTAAATATGACGGTAATTCATGTCCTTCGTACACAGATTCCACAGAACCAAGGATCAACTTTCTCCGGGTATATTCCATTTGGTAAGAGAAAATTAACTTGGATAATCAGAAGATATCGGAACTCAGATAACATTTCTTGGATTGCAGTGCTAAATGGGATTATTATAATTTGCAGATAAAATAGAACTAAGTTACACTAGGAGCAGCGGACCAGGAGGACAAAATGTTAACAAGACAAATACGAAAGTAGACGTCAGATTCATATTGGAGAAAGCAGATTGGATTCCGGAGGATGTTAAGAATAATATGAAGATCAAGGTGATCATCAAATCAATTGCATACGTTTTATATGTTAAATGTTTTTTTTTATTCACAAGTCAATTTATACATTTTTAACCAACTAGTACCACAACCAACTTTCGAAAGAAGGGTACTTCGTAGTCACATCAGACCGAACAAGATCTCAACACTTAAATGTAGCAGATGCCTTGGAGAAGTTACGAGAATTCATTCGTGCCGCAGAACCCGAGAAGGTGGCAGAGCTAAGTCCAGAAACGCTCGAAAGAATTAGAAGACGAAGGGAGAAAGTTGCTCGAGAAAGGTTGCAGGTCAAACGGGGAAGATCACATGTAAAATCCGACCGTGGCGCCTCCTCATTTTAGTTAATTAGTTAAAACATACTAGTAAGTAGTCATTGTACTAGACAATTGTAATTGTTTTCATACTTAATAATAGTAAAAGAAAGCAAATGTGCGTTATTCTTAAATTCTGTACTAAACAAACACACAGCTCATTTATTGATCTTCCTTATGGTATGAGTGTAACATTAAACACACACGGTTGAACACACTTAACCGAAGCGAGGAAACCCGGCTGCTTTATTTCCCACATTGGTCAAGATAACGATTTAAAAGTTGCAGGGTAGCAGCCCAGAAAGATTATGGTAACGCTTTTGTTTTTGGAAAGGTCAAAGATCATAATTTTTTGCCTAAAACTTCGTTTTCCAACTTTCGCAGTGATTTTTTTTCCTTTGTGGTTTTACTTTACATGTGGAACTCGCCCTATGCTCGCCCTACACGTTTCTGGGCACCGAACCCTCCCCGATAAAGTTGGGAGTGACTTGCTATTTGTTTTTAATTTCATAGTTAGTTTATCTAAACGTGCATGAGATCGTAAAACATTAAATTAAATAAAAATATCATTTTATAAAAATAACTCGTCAAATTATTTTATGAATTTATGAATTTATGAATTTATGAATTTATGAATTTGTGAATCTAAAATCCATTCATTTTCATGGTATGAAATTTATACCATGGTGCGGCGCGGCGGTGGAACCAAGAACTATCGCCTTTCTTCTGCTGATTCACACAGTTCACAGGTGACAATTTAATTAAACAGTTTTTGCAAATTTAATTTTTTCAGCATTTTATCGTATTAATCAAACCGGGGTACGGATAAGTGTAATTTAAGTAGTGCATCCTAGTACTCGTCTTCTTCGTTAACTTGTATTAATTATTTCATCATCATCATCGGGAGAATATTTCCGGGTTCCTGGCTGAACTGAAGGATTTTGTGATTTGATCTGATTGAGTGAAAGTGAAGGTTATCATAATCAGTTATCAATTATCCGTTCGTGTGAACGACGCTGACGTTGTGATATTAAGACATACAATTTTTGTCAGTGGTAGGTAACTTATCCTGTTTGTTTTGTCTCTACATGATTTAAACCATAATTTGTTTTTACAGGACTATAGTTCCATTAAATTGAAGACTACAACGATAAAATGGAAGGCGGAGCAGAAATAGGTGGTGGAGGTGGAAGCGTTGTTGCACCGGATGATGCAGTGATGACGGTTACGGTCAAAACGCTAGATTCACAAAATCACCACTTTACTGTGGCTGTAAACGTAAGTCATGCGGATCGCGATATTATGACAGAGAACGAAATTCTAGCTAATTTATTAATTTAGATGCTTGTGAAAGACTTCAAGATTGAAATTACTGGCAAAATCGGTATTCCAGCGGACATGCAAAGATTAATATTTCGAGGAAGGGTGCTCCAAGATGATAAGAAAATGGGAGAGTGTAGTAAGTTTGAGTTTTATCGTTGTTTTAAACTATTGCATTTAAATTACGAAACAATGTCGCTTATCTAAATCGCCATATATGTATTAACGGCCTTGCAACCATTGGACCTTTGTATTTAAATAATACATTTGACAATATTTGCAGACGTGGCAGACAGCACGATTCATGTCGTTCAAAGATCTGCGACTTCAACGCGAAGTAATGATGAGCCCCCTCCTGTCTCTGCTGCCTCCAGAATGCCTGATGGAATTCAAGGTGGCTTAATTATTGCAGGTAAAGATAATTATCTTTTTGGCAGAATTATGTTGAACTCTTAATTAGCTTATTATATGATTCTTCTTGCTTCTCCAGCACAAACTGGACCTCTCACTAACTTTGGTCCCAGATGTAGTGCTGCAGCTCGACTTCAAGGTGATTTTATATAAATTTGTAATTTGCAATGTTTAGATTTTATTATTTATTTTCACCATCAGCAAGTAACCACATGTTGGCACAAGCATCGACATTTCTCCGACGCATGGAAGAAGAAGAAAGTATTAATTTGGGTGCCGCTGGAGCTGATAATGAAAATCAGGTTGGCGGATTACCACATGATATGGAAGTAGAAGCCGACGATGAATTTGAAGAGGATGTGAGTGGAGACTCTGGACATTTTAATAGTATGATGTCACAAGTGGCAAATGCAACCGCAGCGTGTAAATCCTTAATCGTTGAATATTTTTATCTGCTTTAATTATACAATTTTTAATTGAATTAATTTAATTCTTTCCAAGCAGCATTCGCAGCTGGAATTCGTCCGCCAATATTAAACGTTGGAGGAGGAGCAGGAGGTCCACCTGCATTTTTGAGGAATGGTCAATTTGGTAACGTGATGGGTCCAATTGGTCAAGGTCAACCTACCCCTGCTGGTAGTGGTACACCTAATTCTGGGGGTAGTCGTACCCCCACTCCACAGAGAAGACCCGAGTATGTTCTTGCTCAACAGTTCTTTTTGGTACATTAATGTGGCGTTTAGTTTGAATATAATTTTTTGCGTTTATCAGATCACCACGACTTCAAGAAATGGCTAACGTTATCGAAGGGATTGTGAATTTCAATGAAAGGTTGACCCCATATTTACGATATCTCGAGACTACCTTAAGATCAAATTCACAATATGACAACGTGGTACGGCTTTATCCAAATCCACAAATATATAATAATCCGGTATAATAATCTAACCCATTTTCCTTACTTATCGTCAATATAGGAGGAGCAGAGAAGTGTTCAGTACTTGTTCGACACAGTTTCTACCATAATGCATTTTATGAGTCATTCCTACCATGCACTGAGTGACATGATTTGTGACTTTTCCACACCCGCAACAACTCGACGACTTCGTGCTGCGACCTCTGTTCTTTTAGAAACGTCCACTGTTTTACGAGCTTCTATTCCTATTGGTGTTGCGAATGCTGCTGTGAATATGACTCCCAATGTTACTGTTGCTGGAACAAATCCAGATGGAACAACTCAACAGCCTCAAAATGTAACTCAACAACTGCCATCTCAACCTCCAACAACGACAGGAAGTAGTACTGCACAAGCACCAAATCCACAAATAGGAACTCAAAATCTTGCACATGCAGTTACTCAACAAATTTCACAAATGCTGGGAGGAGCACGAGGTCCAAATGGTCAATTCAATTTTGGAAACTTGGGTCATGGAAATTTTGGAGCCCAAATACATGTGGATATCGAACCAGGAGATGATGGCGGACATGGAGCAATTAATATTCAAGACTTTGCTCATATGTTGGGACCTATGGCCGGTGGGATGATGATGCAACAACAACAACCTAATCAAAATCAACCACAACCTACAGTGACAACTTCTACTACACCGGGAACAACAAGCATCTCTTCATCAAGTCGTAATAATAACAATAGTAGCAACAATGGAAATCGCCCAGGAGGAGGAGGAGGAGGAGCTAGTAATAACAATGGACCGAATAATTTTCGATTGCAACAAGGAGGAGGACCATTTGATGTTTTAGTCCCATGTAATTCTCACCATGGATGGAGAATGCATCCCTCTCCACGTCCATCTGGATTTAAGCAATATGTCGGAGATAACTGCTCCCGTGATGTGACTCCTCCAAGATCGTCCTCATCGTCGTCACAAGAATTTTTAGCCACGACATTAAATGTTCTTCTCCAATCTAATTTGGTGTCATTTTTGAGACCAGCATTTCAAGACGTGATAGTTAGTTATCTGATGAGAGGACGAGACGCCAAGAACAAGGAACATTTAAAGTCTTGTGCAAAAAGATTAGGCAGAAAAATTACTCCATTTTTGGATAATTTCACTGTAAGTTTGAAATATGTGGAATGGATTTATTTCATTGTTTTTGTGTGAAATTTAAATTTCCTTCATAATTGTGATTTTCAGAACAACGTGTCCAATCGTGATATGACCGTTGACTATGGCGAGACGTATACTTCAATATTGACTAATTTTCTGGCTGAAGTCTTCCATTTAACTGTTACGCTTCGTAAGTAATTTTACACAAAATGACATGTGAAAATGCATGTTTCTTAATATTTAGTATGATTTCGTAAATGATTAATTACTATAATTTAAATTACAGCTTCAAGTGAACCATATCAATACCAATCTGCACTTGTGACTGCATCTGATAACTTGATTCGTCAAATAATTTCAATATTTAAATATTGTTTCAAAGAAACTCCTCGTCATGTTGATGGATTTGCAGAATACATTGTGGTTAGGAGGATACTATTAACTTTTCATTTTTGCATTTTTTTCCAGGGCTAATTAACTACTATTATATTTCTAATTTCTACACAGGAAATAGCGTTTTCAGGATGTTCTCTCTTGTTACAAGATGAAATAAGGACAACACTGATTCAATATTTTGGCTTACATCATTCTGCATCCCCCGATTCTTCCACACGTCCCAATTGCATAACGGATAAAAAACCAATTCCCACCCCAGCAGTGGTAGCAAGCAGTAGCGATGCTACAAATGCTGAACCACTAGCTTCAACATCTACAAATCGACCAAGTGGATCCATACCTAAAATGTCTCCAGAAGTTGTGCCTCCAAAACAAGCAAAGCCAAGTTCTCCTGTTCCAAAATCTACAGATCATGTCATGGAAGACGATTTAGATGACTTTTTGGATCTTAATTCCATCCCTAGAAACCCTGTCCTCCCAAATACACCGCGTGGACAACAAGCCGGAAATCTTAGTCCTTTTGATAATGCCTTACGAAATATTCCAACGGTGAGTAGGTTTTGGTTGTATTTAGCTGAGCCAGGACTTATAGTATAGAACAGTCGTCTGTATAAGTATTACGCGATAACTCCGGCAAAACTTATCTCTCAACTTGACGCGTATGTAGTATGGAGATGAGGAGTAAAGTTCTAAGATCGGGATAGTTTGATAAGTGGTTGACCGGTGGGGGTCATGAAATTGCAGGTTTTGGTGTAAAATATTCGGAATGGCTGACTCAGACATATAAGACCTTGTAAATTTAAAAAGGCGAAAAAAATTGGCCGGATTATTTATTTTCAAATTTCAAACTTAATAATTTATTTTTTTATGCGTAATAGGAATGGGTGGACACTGTTCGTCACGACTTGACGCGACAACTCGGGATGCCAGACCAGCCTCCATTCAGTCCTGCTTATTCTGGAATATTTTCAAGAAAATCATAATTTTGCTAATTCAATTTTTAAAAATTAGAATCCATTTCTGGATTGAAAACGTCATTTGATTCATTAAACTGATTAAAATTATCCAATTCCCTCAAGAAAAACAAATCAAGTTGTGAGATTTATTCATTGTGAGCACTGAAACATTATTGCACAATATTGGAGTTCGTGGAGAAACCGTATTTTAAAATTATTAGTAAACCTAATTTAATTAATCATGATAAAATGGAACCACATCTTTACAACTATATCATCAATCAATTTGTTTTATTAACTTTCTTATTAGTTCATTCATGCATAAATTATTGGGAATTATAACTTTTATACAATCACATGCACGTTTAGAAAAGGTAAATTTCCAATCCTTTTCCTTTGGAGAGGGTGCCAAGAAGAAGCCACATTTTCTCGTTGAGTCAGAAACGTTGAGAAACGCTGGAACTGATTAGACGAAAGGAGAAAGTTGCTCGAGAAAGGTTGCAACGGAGAAGATCACAGGTAAAATCGGACAAGTAATAGACTAGAAATGTGCATTATTCTGAAATGCTATGCTAAATACGAAGCTCATTTATTAATCTTCCTTATTGTGTAGCATTAAATAAACATGGTTGAACATTTAAGTTCTAGGTATATACTCGTCACGACCACAAAGATAGAGTAAAATCTGTTCTTCAACTTAATCCATATTAATCCATTCAGACAGCATGCATTCATGTTTTATCCAGTTAAGATACCATTTGCCATGCAAAATTCATTATACATCGATCTTAACCTTCCATAAAATTGAACGCAGTTGATCACAAATCTCTAAATTGTAAGGCGTGAAAACTAGAGAAAGTATTAACAATCATGGTGAAGGTTGAGCATATTCCCTTGATTGACCGAGAAGATAATCTTCATCGGAGAAATCAGGTACATTTTTTAGACACCTTAATTTATAATGGATGACACAATATTCACATTTCAAATCAATTTATGAAGATGCTAACCGTGGCGGGGGCCACGCTAGCTTTATTCGCCACGGGAAATATAATGGGATTTTCCTCTGTAACAATTCCAAGCTTACTTTCGACAACTTCGGAAATTAAAACTACAGCGGAGGACATGTCTTGGATGGGTGTGTTTCATAATAATTAAGAAAATACGAAAGTATCGGGGAAACCCCACTCGTAATTATATTTTTATAGCAAGTATGGTCACACTCGGATGCATTCTCGGGACCGTGATTGGTGGACTTACATCCGACGCTATCGGGAGAAAAAAGACCATTTTGCTCTCCTCCATAATCTATTCTTTAGGATGGATAGTGATCGGTCAGGCTCAGGAAGTAGCCGATCTACTTGTAGGTAACTATAAAAAAGTGAAACGCCAAAATCCGTCAATAATTTGAACACATATTGAATAAATCTGCCAATTCAGGTCGCATGTTGACCGGAATCGCATCCGGATTTTATGGGGTATCCGTCCAAGTAAAAGAACTCTACATTACACTTAAATCACTACAACTTTCCCCGTATTAAAATAATTTGCTAATTTTACAGGTATATATCTGCGAAATTGTTGAGCCTGACCTAAGAGGTGTATCTGGATCTTTGCCATCATTAATGGTCTCTATAGGCATCCTGTGTACTTGGTGTCTCGGTGCAATCATGGATTGGCGATCGGTATAAAAAGTTATACAATATGTTTTTGTCACCTTGTCCCCAAAATATTCATAAAATCTTAGGTCGCCCTTCTACTTTCTCTCTGCCCTATATTTGTCTTCATCTATGTCATCTTTCTTCCCGAGTCGCCCGTCTGGCTCATCTCCAAGGGACGCCACTCTGAAGCCCTTAAATCGTTGGGTTGGCTTCGCGACACAGCCGACACGGCCGAACAGGAATTCCTCCGTCTCCAATTTCTCAGAGAACGCAGAGTTAGTTCTGACTTTTCCATGAAAAATTGCTGTTCCAGATTCTTTGAACGCTCTGTCCAGCGCCCCCTCTTCATTGGAACATTCCTCTTCTTCGTGCAACAATTCTCGGGACAATACGCCATTATTTTTTACGCCACAATGATATTCCGTTATGCCGACCATTTCATTAACGATTACTTGGAAACAATCGTAGTCGGAATTGTGCGCATGTTTGCTACCCTGATTGCCATATTTTTAGTGAATTTCCTATCGAGAAGATTTCTTCTTATTATGTCGGGGTTAATTATGTGTTTCGCTAATGGGATTCTTGGAGCATACTTTTACATCAGGGAGAGTGAAGGCGATTTTACAAACTCGACCCTGGCATATCCAAGGATTCCTGTGGTCAACGAGTTTCTGGAAGGGATTAACATCGAATGGGTCCCCTTGGCGTGCCTGATTCTGTTCATGATTGGATACTCGATTGGGCTGGGGATTATTCCGTGGTTTTTAATTGCAGAGGTCCTCCCGTCGGATGTGAGGAGTATGGGATGCTCGATAGCATTTGGGTATGTTCTTATTATGCATTAATCAAAATTATTATGGAACTATTCAGTATTTCAATTAATAATTTATGTACTTTTATACTCAGGTTAAACCAGTTCTTTCTTTTCGTTTCGGTGAAAACTTTTATTACCACGGTTGACGTTTTGAATGCCCACGGCACATTTTGGTTTTACAGCGTGATTGCTTTCATCGGTGTTATTTTTGTTATTTTTGTAGTCCCTGAAACAGCAAATCTTAATTCTGGTGAGATTGAGGACATTTTTGAGAATAGGTCGCACAAAAATGGGAAGAAGAAAGGTAGACATGGGAGTTTTGATGAGTCGACGTTCTAAATAAGTCTAATTTAATTAAAATAAAGCAAGAAGCTAATGAGATTAAATTCAATCACAAACTAATCTGAAACTATTCCTATTTAATTCGCAATCATTTCGTTACGAAAAATGTGCAATATGAAAATTACAAGTTACTAAAAAAACCTGAATTATGTAAAATTTACGAAATAAATCTCTTACGACATACTCGAATGCAATGTACATAAGAATTATGATAGTTTCATATATAATGGTTAATAATTTTCTAATTTGCATGCAAAAAAAGCTCGTAATAGAGACTCATTTACACATTATTTCTTTTATGCTGTGATTCATTCTTGTCATGTAAGAGGCGGTGGGCTCGAAAGGAATTTGTAAACCGAGTCACACAACACAAATAAGAAATTTCCAGATTGATGATTGTGAAAGGTTCTCATTTTTCCACCTCCGCTTTCTCCCAACGCCGTTGCTTTTGCTTGACGTCGTTTATGGATTAATTATTTGCAGCGTAATATTTTGAAGGGGAATAAATAAATCTCAAATACTCACGTCGTCAAGGTCTGTCATTTCGTAAATGGAAGGTAAGCTCGAAATTCGGATTACGTAATTGAAGATTGAATGAAAACGATTTTGTTGTAAGTAGTAAATTGAAGATTTCTAAAAAAAAATCCCCTAAAAAGTTTGACCCAGAGTTATTCAGTTCAGTAAATGAATTTATATAAATTAAAAACCTACTTCAAGCAACTTTGCGGGGCCTTTTAAGAAGGCAATATTCACGGAAAGCCAGACTCGTAATGAACGATAAGCACTTACATAGTACTGCCAGTGCCAATTGTTATGTTCAGTGGCCACGGAAGTTGTGGGGACATGACTTTAACATTGTAGGATAGGGGAGGGAGGGGTTTGTAAGTATAACGTGGAGAGATGATGGGGATATCGAATAACTGTGGGGACATTGTCCCTCTGTCCCCAAGCTTCCACGGCCACTGGTTATGTCCAATGCATAAATTAATATAGCGGACTCAGTTTATTGAATTTAAAAAAATAATGATATCACGACAAAGGGCATAACATTTTCTATAAGATATACCCATTGACTTTCCTAATTTCCTCATTGTTTTCCGATCTGTCATTTTGGCACATTGGGTAAAAAAAATTCGGTTTCTGATAGACAATTGGATGGACATTTCAGTAAAAAATAGTACAACTGTCAACAACTAGTATAACTGCTAATAATTTTTTTTTCGCACGGAGTGTATTGGACATAACATATGGCAGAATATGTATGCAATTTTGTGGCTGGACGTCCGTCCTTCCGCTTCGTCTGTCTGTCACCACGATAACTCTCGACAGAATAAAAAACCTACAGTGCAGACTTCATAAGTCAGAGCCCGCTTCTAAATTTTTCTCCGAATTGTCCGACGTAATATTACTATACTTGAAGTGAGTTAGTTATGTGCTGTGCGAATGGAGCTAAACTCACGAGAAACCCTAGTCTCAGCACAAGGTACTTCAGGAGGCCGTAGGTTTAAGCTCCACCCGCACAGTACATAACTCGTTCACTTTATGTATAACCTCCGTGTTGTGAATGGTTAAACGGTTAAAAGATATGGTTAAATGTTTGTATTCGGCACCAAATTTTGTAAGTATTTACAAATCTTGTCCTTAACTACCATGACCTGACCAGTGGGGTTCTTTGGCATCTTGACTTGTACTTTCAGAGCTGTATGTGCTATCTATAAGTGGTTTTTATCCCCCATATACCAAATTTCAGATAGAAATAACAACTTTCCAAAACGGTATGGGTCAGCCTCCATAGTCACTCTGCTTGCACTTTGCTCACTTTTAACTTCATATTCTTTCATGAGAAGCCATTAAGTATCACCGTGCCAGATTTCATGTTTTAAAAGCAATTTCTAAAAATCGGGTCACCCTATAGGGTCCCCATGAAAGTTTTTGTCGGGTCGTTCTGGTTGAATTTTTTTAAACCCTACTTCAATTTAGTGTTCATGGAGGCTGATACTTGGTACATAATACCCCACCCACTCATATGATCCCCACCGGTCCTAAACTTTTCTGATAGAACCCATCTTCGAAGTCGGTCGTTTCATTGCCCATATACATATCTCTACCAAATTTGGTAAAAATCGGTCAACTCGTTCGAGAGTTATTGAAAGACAGACGGATGACAATTACATAAGCCCTGGTTCGGGCTAAAAACGACATGGGTCACCCTGCAGGTCATTCTGTTTGCACTTAACTAACTTTTAATTGCAAATTCTTTAATGAGAAGCCATTAATTGTAAGTATTACCATGCCGGATTTCATGTTTTTAAAGCAATTTCTAAAAATCGGTATGTATCACCCCATAGGGTCGCTCTAGATAAAAATTTTACCAATTGAAATTGGTAAAATATTGGCAAAAAATATTTCATATTGTTCCATTAAGACCCATGTGCAACCTTTCCACCAAATTTCAGTTCGACATGACGATTTTGAAAAACCAGTATGGGTCCCCAGTCCCCATAGGGTCCCTCAAGATGAAAATTTTTCCAACCTAAATTCATTTTTTTCCGTTACAATCCATTAGCAACCTTTGTACCAAATTTCAGCTTCCTACGATAAATTTTAGAAATCCGTGGGGTCACCCTATCGGGTCTCCCAGGTTGAAAATTTCTGAAACTCCACTCCAATTTAAACGCTTTGAGGTGGCAATCTTCATACTAAAATTACTAAAAATTATTACTATAGATATTTCTCAAGTTACAAATATTTTACTTGCACTTATATAACCTGCTCTAAAGGTTCTTGGTAGTAAGGGCAACACATTTGAGTGGAAAAGACCCCCACCGGCCAACCACTTGACCGATCATGCCCATCTTCGAACTCATCTTTACTTTTTGTCCAAAGATGAAGTATGCAAAATTTCAAGTCGATCGCTCGTGTTTAAAGAGAGTTATCGTGCGTACAGACAGACAGACAGACAGACAGACGGACAGACGGACATCTTGACAATTCTATAAGGCCATCTTAAAAGGCCTAAAAAGCAACTTTTTTTATCAACAAATATTAATATTTTTTGAATTTATTCCATTTCAATTTCAATTTCAAAAATTATTTTAGCAATGGATTCAAACGATCTATTTCTGGAAGCATCTGTAAAGAATGTCATTCAGCAAGAGTCCCTCCGTTGGGTCTTTGTCGGGGGGAAGGGTGGCGTGGGGAAAACGACGTGTAGGTGAGTTATTGTTGTTGATAAGTGATTTGTTGGACGAATAGCGATAAGCAAGGCAAGTAATTGTTTTTTTTCATGTTAACAGCTGCAGCTTGGCAGTTCAAATGGCAAAAGTTCGAAACTCCGTGTTGATAATTTCTACCGATCCTGCCCATAACATTTCTGATGTGAGTAAAAATAATTAATTCTAATTTAAACTATATTAGTAATTACTAATGGTATTATGTCCTATTATTTCAGGCTTTTGACCAGAAATTTAGCAAAGTCCCGACCAAGGTTAAAGGATTTGATAATTTGTTTGCAATGGTACGTGAGAAAATTTAAACATAGTTTGGAGACTTGCAATTTGTCATTGTGTTGACTGTTTTAAAAATAGGAAATCGACCCAAATGTTGGATATAATGAGTTACCGGACGAATTTTTCCAAGAATTAGGTGGACAAAATGTACGAGTATCTAAATCTGTCATGCAGGAAGTGATGAACGCATTTCCTGGAATTGATGAAGCCATGAGTTATGCAGAAGTTATGAAGTGAGAGAAATATAACTTTCACTAAATATTTTCGGATTTATTATTAAGAAGTCTGCTTGCTTAACGATTAATTTTGTTTAATTAATAGGTTGGTCGAGAGCATGAACTTTTCTGTTGTAATTTTTGACACCGCCCCAACTGGTCACACTCTGAGGTTGCTTTCATTCCCAAAACTTGTGGAGAAAGGGCTCGGCAAAATTATCCAGCTGAAGAACTCTTTCGGTCCCTTTATCCAACAGATCGGCTCAATGTTACAAATGGATTTCAATGCTGACAGTTTAGCTACGAGATTAGACGAGATTTTACCCACGATTCGGAAAATTAATGAGCAATTCCGTGACCCGGTAATACTCATACGTCTAATTTATGTCACGCAATGTCATGTATTTTATGTGCAAATTTTTATTTTCTTTAGGAACAAACCACATTCGTTTGTATCTGTATAGCAGAATTCTTGTCAGTATTCGAAACAGAAAGATTGGTCCAAGAGCTGACCAAGTTGAACATAGACGTCCGAAACGTAGTTGTGAACCAATTATTATTTCCAGCTCCTGGAGATAGCTGCAAAATGTGCGCCGCGAGGTGTAAGGTACAAGCAAAGTACTTGGATCAGGTAATTCACTTGTGCAATTTCACTTTAAATTACTTAAAGTGTAGACAGAATTAAAATTGCATTTTTATGTCAATTTACAGATTGCCGATTTATATGAAGACTTTCACGTTACAAAGCTGCCTTTACTGGAGAAAGAGGTCCGAGGAGTAGATGAAATCCGTAAATTTTCCGAACTCCTCATCACACCGTTTCAACCCAAATCAGATTAGTGCAAGCAAAATAAAAATTACTATGGACAGACTGCTGAATATTATCATATACAATGATTCCTGTCGCAAATTTATTATATCTTTTATGTGGTGGTAGTAATTTTATTTACGAGTTAGAATATGTGCAATTTGTCGTGGAAAGTAATGTTTTCCCATTGTATGTTTATAATATATAATGATTAACAACTTTGCATGTACGTTTATTACTCTTCATGGAAAATTTTACTGTAGACCTACAACATCTACCTCTGTTGATTATAATACATCTGCATGCATGTTAAATATATTTGACATTATTATGACTCCAACATCAAACATAAATAGATAATAATTATGTTGAACGGCACGGTATATACAAAAGATGGTAACTTTTACAAATAGTTTTATAAATCTTGATCCTGGATATTAAAAGTAAACTGTAACTTTTTTTTTTTTTTTTTTTTACTATAATAGCATTTATAAGAGCTCATCTTCCAATCTCATTTTGCCTCACTTCACCTTACCAAGCCATGCAAATTAATTATGTAAGTCACACCACCTTACATACAATGCAATGCATATGTGAATCACAATAAAAAAAACATGTTCTTGCTCAGCATAAGAAAACATTTTCTGCTGTTGCGTAACAAAAAGTATAAAAGCCTTCCAGTAGATCCAACCATTTATTTGTATATATATCTCAAATTCATATAAAGTTGATCTACTCCTGTGTTATACAATAGAAGAATAGAAATGTTATGTTAGCCTTGCTTCACGTTGTAGACCTTCCATATCTGTTCTCTTATTAAATAAGTACAATGAAATCAGTGCCATGCAACCACTTGCACGAAACATATTAAGAAAATGGTTTACTGAAGGAAAATCAATACCCGGCTGTTTTGTTTTTTCATCGATTTAGTATAACAAAGCAGTTTCGATTTATTTTGTGCATCCGGAATTAGTAATAATCAGCAATAATGCTTGCCTTTCTCCATACAAAAGTTGTATTGGCAACGGCAACAGTAAACTCATGCAGACTTCAATCAAGGAGTTTAGCATCGGCAGTGTCCACTTTGAGAGAACAGTTACAACAGGAGCTGAAAGTAGTTTAAAAATATATTTTGTAGTTAGATTTTAATGGATATTTTATCAAAATTTTCCACATTTCGGTAGGAAATTGAATCCGCAGGAACGTACAAGAATGAAAGAGTCATTACAACCAAGCAGGGGACAGAAGTTAGCGTGGAAGGAAGTACGAAGGGAAAATTGCTTAATTTCTGTGCAAATAATTATCTAGGACTCTCGGTAAAAATAACGTAGCGTAATGTCTTGCTCATTGCCAATTTTATATATTTTTAACTATTTTTAGTCTCACCCGGAAGTTATTAAAGCTGGGAAACAAGCCTTGGATCAGTATGGTGCAGGATTATCTTCGGTTCGATTCATTTGTGGAACTCAAACTATTCACAAAGTGATAAGATTTCGGATTATAAATTAAGAAATTGACATATATATTTTCAAGTATGCAGTAATAAATGATTTCATTACAATTAGGAACTGGAAAGAAAAATAGCGAAATTTCACGGACGCGAAGATGCCATATTATACGCGTCTTGTTTCGACGCAAATGCCGGAATTTTTGAAGTTTTGACAACTCCAGAGGACGCAATTTTATCCGACGAGTTGAGTAAGTGCTTAACCAGGCAAAACTTTCTTTATGTATTTCCATGTATTTCACAAAATTCCTTACTCATTTTCAGACCATGCTTCCATCATTGACGGAATTCGCCTCGCCAAGGCGCAAAAGTACCGCTACAAGCATAAAGACATGTCCGACCTAGAGTCAAAACTCAAGGAATCTCTCGACAAAGGGACTCGTCGTCGCTTCATCGTGACGGATGGGGTCTTCAGCATGGACGGAAATGTCGCCCCTCTGCCTGCGATTCAATCCTTAGCAGAAAAGTATAACGCTGTCGTTTTCGTGGACGAGTGTCACGCCACGGGTTTCTTTGGAAAGACGGGTCGTGGGACGGAAGAGTATTTGGGGTGTAAAACTCCCGTAGACATTATCAACTCCACGCTGGGCAAGGCGCTGGGAGGGGCGGCCGGAGGATACACAACTGGACCCAAGGAAATTGTGGATCTGTTGAGACAAAAATCGAGACCGTATCTATTTTCGAATAGTTTGCCCCCTCCTGTTGTAGCTTCGAGTTCAAAGGTTGATTTATTGGAAATCTGAAAATTAAATAATTTAGATTTACATATGTAATTTAGTTCTCTAAACCCGTTTAAATGTGTCAACTTGTAGGTGTTTGACTTGCTCATGACCTCGTCCGACCTAACGCAAAAAGTGGCCAGCAACACGAAGCAGTTTCGTGACGCTATGACCAAGGCTGGATTTACAATTTTGGGTGAAAACCATCCAATTTGTCCCGTTTTTATTGGCGATGCTAAACTTGCTTCGTCAATGGCAGAGAAAATGCTGGGTAACAAAAAAAACATTCTATTCTCAATAAATATCATTCAGACGTTTTAAATTTCATCATAAATTGTAGCGGAAGGGATCTACGTGATAGGATTCAGCTTCCCCGTCGTAAGACAAAATTACCAAAAATTACATATATATTGATAATCCATTCTACCAAATACTTTCTCCAGGTGCCCAAAGGGAAAGCTCGAATACGCGTCCAAATCTCTGCCGCACATCAGCCCCACGAGATTGAAAAACTTATTCACGCCTTCACTAAGGTCGGAAAATCTCTGCAGCTCATCTCATAAATACGATTAAACAACCCGTCCCATCAATATTGTACTTGATATTATGCGAAATAATAAAAAAACAACAATATTTTCTCACGAGTTATGTATTCGAAGTAGTAGTCTCGAATTTATTGACCTATATATTTCTTCTCTCTTGCTTTGTTTTTAAATTTTTGAAAATCTTTCAAAGTAATTCATAACTTTCTTAAATATGTATGTAACACAAAATTATTTTAATAATGAATGTATGACAGAGAGAGACATGATACGAAATTATTGTATGTAAGCACGACACAGTATAATATAATACCTAACACAACATTTAATAGTATTCTTAACCCCTAATTAATTATCATCTCTGTTAAAATTTTACCTTATCTACAATATATAGTTTGTAATATCAGCTTTACACATCTGACAGGTCGCGACAAAGCCAGAGAACTATTTACAGCAAATGTACATCGATTAATTAATATTTATAATTAGTTAGTTAGATAATTCATTCCGCCCTAATTTTCATTTCACAATGGAAACTACTACATACTTTATATATGTATTTCTACCCAGGGGAAAAATGTGTCGTTAGCATGCATATTAGTATTTCTCTATTTTATAATAACGGTAGAGAATATTTTAGGATTTCGTTAAAAGTAGGGCTGCCCTATTAATATCTCGAAAATTTATATAATTCTTGGAACAGCTCGGGTACAATTAGGTTGTAAATTTTATAGTTTCGATACCCTATTCAGGTAACATTCATAGAATTTCGCATACTTTCTTCACATTCTCATCGACAAAAACTCGCTCTTAATTGTGTTGTACCTTCACGATCGGAAATCATAATCATACTTAATACTACTATTTCGACGGGTTAAAATCATAATTAAAAAATGTGGTGTTAACTAGATTACAACAAAGGGATACGTACGCCAATATAAAGCTTTTCTTCTCGAGTCATTCCTTTGTATCTGAGGTTATCTTTTGTATATGTGAGGAAATATACATGCATAAAAATGAGGTACACACACACATACCAACACCACACAAACGTGGATAGGATAGTAATTATTTTCATAAAAATGACACCGACCTTTCCAGAAACAAAAAAAAACTTACCTGAAATCAACCGGATATAAAATGCTTAGAAAAAGTTTGTACTTGTCGAAACGATACCACTCGATAGTTTAGATAGCTATGCATACCCAACACCCAACTTGATCCTTGGTATTAAACTCTTACATAAAATTCTATTAGTTATGTATCGTATTACAAAATATTTAGTAGTAGGTGGGTGGGATTTTTGTATTTTGAAAATGCAATAATCGAAAATGCGGAGAAAATACACTTCACTTAATAATAATGGGATTCTCTTGAGAGGAGAAAGACTAGGCAAGGAAGAAACGTAAGATCCTGCAAAATTCAATTTCCCAAGTATATAAAAAAAACAAAGGTTAAATTGAGAGGCCAACAGACAACTTGGGAGTACAGACGACTAAACTATTATACTTATTATTATAATTAAACCGAATAAATCTTTGGGTTGGTTAAATCAAAATACAAAAAATACGACATTCTTCTTGACACCCACATATTTAAATATTTTGGTTGCTCATCAATCATTGCACAAGTGAGATCCTTCCTTTCCGTCGTGTGTCACGCCATGTCGAAATAATAAAGCTATCCCCACCCATAATAATCAGTAATGATGTAATGTTTCAAAAATCAGCACGTACAACCAGACACACGCACACTTGGTTTGATTCATACTCATCATAGCTTTTTCATTAACTTAAAACCAAGGCGTCACAATAATCAGATCCATATTAATAAACATTATTTAAAACACAAAAAGTTATACTTAAACTTACTTGCTGAAAGTAAGAGAGCGATACACCGCCTTGATTTCTATTCATACAATTACTGCTAAACTACACAGTTGTTGAGAAGTTATGGAATAATAAAAAACAACGACGTACAGTTCAAGTTTGTGGGAAAAACGTTTTGCTAAAAAACCGACCCGAATATGCAGGCCCGGGCTGATTTGTGGGTGGTGGTGGTGGTGGAATTAAATTGTTCACTGGGATGCCACCAATTATTGCATTGTTAGTTTGGACGGATCCGGTGGTAGTGCTGGTATTGTTGTTGGATCGGTCTCGGTCACGATGTGATGATTTTGACCTGTGGGATTGGTGGTGGTGGTGGTGATTTCCTTTTCCTCCTCGGTAGTGATGCTTGTTATATCTGTCTCCTCTACCGGATGATGAGGAAGATTGCGAGTACCCATTGTGAGACGTTGTAGAGTTTGAGCCACTAGAAGACTTTGTGGACGGCCCCCCTTCGTATGAAGACTTGTGATGGGATGGAAGTGGTGGCATTCCTGATTGTTTTAGTGCTGCGGGTGTTGGTACAGATAACCGGTGGCCACTGCTGGATTTTCTAGATCCTGACGATGAGGTGGCTGATTTCCTGTCGGTTCTTTCTTCTGGTGTAATGGTGGAGGTGCGCCCTGAGGAAACAAAAAAAATGAATAGGTACTGCTAAATATCATCATCCATTGGTGAAACTGTTTTCCATTGTGCATTTAAAAACTGCATACCTTCCGACTTTTCCTTTTCTTTAGGTTTTTCAGCTCGGGTTGGAAGAGGAGCAGGAGGAGGAGCAGGTGCAGATTTTTCTTCTCGTGGGCTTGAAGAATTGTCACTGTCAGCAAGTTTTATACCAAATGAAGGGAGTCGTTTGCTGAGTTCTTCTCTTTGACGTTCTGCCAAAGTGGGAATGGGACACCACGATAACCCTGCTGATATGTACGCATAATATAAAACCATAAAATAGGCTCGGACTATTATTAAGTATTTATATAAAAAAAATTATTCAAGTTCACACACCAGTATTATCTACAGGATTACTCTCCGTCGATTCATCGCATTTCTTTTCTATCTTCTCCGGAATAGAATCATTCGATGTGCTGTCGCCTTTAAAATTTGAAAGATTAGTTTCACATGAACCTGGGCTGTCTAATGGACGTCCTTCTTTCTTCCGTTGGCGGTACTCCAAAATTGACAACTGCAAAAGGACAATAAACGAATAAGTAAACATGTTTTCTTGGACCAAAACCAAAACAAACAACTACTACTACTCAATATTTTTCTACCTTTCTTTTGGCAGGTGTAAAGTTTGACAAACTTTGCTTCATTACTTTTTCCGGATGCTCACTTGCCTTGAATACTTCTGGATCTTCGTTGTTGTAAGATTTCATTTGTTGCTCGTCCTCATTATTTTGATTGTATGATGATTCAAATGAGGATTCAATTCTCTCAAAACTTAATCTTCTCTGAGAAGTAGAAGTACTTGTTTCACCAGCGCCAAAGCTCAACTTCATACACATGTTCTTGTAATCCCTTTTGTAGTCGAGTATGATTGGTTCGGCCTTGACAGGAGAGCCTCGAGGGGAGGTTGTAGTAGAGTCCTTACTTTCGAGTTGATCCCAACGACTTCTTCTCGGCAAAGTTTTTGGAGTATCAAATACAGGACCGTTTGTATAATCCGTGGTGATATTTAATTGCTGGGGATAATTCGACGACTCTTCTTGATTTGATTCCATCTTATCTTCGAATAAGGTCCGTTTTGTTGTTGAGAAGGAAAATTCGTTATCTTCATGTCGGGCCGTAGGTGTGTCCGCCCTGGTGCTGGTGTCCATTTCATTTGATAACGTAACGCTAGAGTCATCTGTCACATTGAGAATGATTTCTTGCTTTCTTGTTTGTGCCAAGTCCACTTCATCTTCTAAGGATGCGACTACTAAGGATGTGATTCGTTTCTCTCTGTGGCGTTGTTCGCATTCTTCTCTTTCTTCCGAGCGAATTGACGAGTTCTGCAATTTACCAAACAATTTACCTCAACAAAAGCTCTACACCAACCACTAAACAATCTTTGAAACAAAGTCTAGCATAGTTACTTACCGATTCTTCCTCTCTGTTTGAGGAAACTACCCGATTGTATGCAGCTCCCATGCTTTCGAGGTCATTTTCAGAATCATGCTCTGAATTATGTCCCTCTAGATTGTTAGGAGTTAGTGGTGGCGTGTTGCTAACTTCCGAAGAAATGGATGATCTGGCAAATCGTCTCTTCTTCAGGGGTGCAACACAATCGGTCGTGATAGGAGACATGGGTCGAGAGTTGGCTGGGCTGGCTGAGGTGGGGTGGTCCGTCTCTTCGCTTATGGCCTGTCTCAGCCATCGCTTTTTGGCGGAGGCATTATCTAAATTTGTGTTGTTACTGGTAGTGGGAGTGGTTGAAAGACTTGTTGGAGTGGTGACAGAGGAGTTGGGTTGTGCTAAGCCAGATGTACTGACAGTTCGGCGCATGTACTGTTGGGGGAGATTTAGTTCTCCTGAACTTGTGGGAGAATTGTACCAATCCGACAAGAGCGCCTAAAAAATTGTGTTTTTTTTCATTATCTAGTACATAAAATTTACAAAATTTGTTATTATCTAGATAGATATTTACCCGTTTTGTCTTTGGCAATCTGAAATCTCCTCCCCCCGTAGGTGAAGAAGTTTCTCTCGTATCATCAGCAGAATTTATTTCAGACTCTGTAGATGTTGACCGTTGGTCTCCTCCACTTCCAGAATTGCGTTGGCTAATCATCTGTGGCTTTCCTGCGACCATTGGTGCTGTTGGCGTAGCCCCAACTTTAGACGAGTGACTCCCCGATCGACCCCTCTTCTTCCCCTTCCTCTTGTGGATTTGTTGAACAAACTTTACTGTCTTAACGGGAGGTGTTGGAACGACGACGTGGTCAGTCTGAGAATCCAAATCTTCGTGGTCTTCATCATCACCTTTTCTGCTACTTCCTCCTTTGTCCTTTCGTTGAGTTTGTCGGCTTTCCTTCTTCTTTTGATTACTCTCCAATCTCTCAATTAATCTCAGAACGGATTGTAGTTTCCGTTCTTCGCGAGATAAGGGTTCTCCCTTCGGTTTAGGAGCAGTGGTGGGCTTTTGCGGAGTAGTAGTAGTAGCGGCAGGAGCAACTATTGGTGTCGCAAATGGAGCACGATGTTGTTGTTCTTGTGTTGCTAATGGTTCCTTTACTACTTTGACCTCACCCTGGCCAGATTTATTCCTTTGTCGGGATGTTATGCTTTCAGTTCGAGTGCGTCGTGTCGCAGGAACTGGCGGAGTCACAACTGGGGTAGGTTCTTCTAATGGTGGAGGAGGAGCAACAACATTAGTGGCAGCAGATCTGGCCCGGGTGGTTCGTTCTTTTGTTACGACTGGTTGAGAGTCCGGCTTAGAAGATTCAATGATATCTTGCGACAACACGACAGGGCCAACGACAGCTTGTTGTGACAAGACGGTTTGAATAGGATTTGCTTTCTCAGGAACAATGTTATCTTTTGAAAATTCAACTAGTGGTTCAACCAGTTGTAGGGGCTCCTTATCAATAGAGGACATTCGGCGTGAACTTAGCCGCTTTTTTCGTTCCTTTGGTCTGAAAATAATAATTGCATAATATATTATTAGCATTAGTTACGGAGTTAAATAGTTATTAATATTTCTTAATAATCTATAGTTGACTCACTCGGCTGGTAACACGGGCGAGGGTAAGCTCGTCGTCCCCCCCATAACAATGGCTCCGTTATGTTTCTTAGCCGAATACCCTTCTGTCGACATGCCTGCAGCAGCAGCAATAATTGCAGGAGATTCGTTCATCCTTGCGTTGCAAGTGGTCAGATCCACACAAGCACAGGGGAGGGGGAACGGCGCCACAGTATACTCATGACTTGGGCCTTTCTTGATGGTTTGAAACTCGTGTGCGATGGTGATCTCTTCATCCAGTTCGACATTCTTGAGGGTGACAATGTACGCGTGGAGTGTCCCCTTTCCGACGACATGGCGAATTTCTGCATTTGCTTTGCAAGAGCGGCGAACGAATCGGGCCTCATTCCCATACTTGCGTAAATCGATACTGATGCACATTCCGTTCCGGGGTACTTGATGGAAGTAAGCGAACGGTTCGGGGAAGATGAGACTCGAGGAGGATCCAGGGCTGACTCTTTTTGCGCTGCTGCAAAGTGATAACTTTTTATTAGTATGTTTATTTATTTATTTATTTACTTTATTCAAATGCAAAGCAAAATTTAAGACGACTCGTACCTGGTTGGCGTAAAACTGCTCGACATTTGATACTTTCCAACCAATTCAATGACCGCTTCGTTCTGGTGCAGGCGAGAATTTGCCAATAATGTTTTTAATTTTTTGCCCCCTTCGAGACTCGTGATTCCCAGCTTCCACTTCTTCATCCCATCCTCCAAAGTGATAAAGTCAGGTACAGTGTTGGTGTTGGCGCTGTGATGTTTCAACAGCTTAGCTCTTAGTTCTTGAGAGTAGCTGCACACCGAGTTTTCAGCCTCCTCGTACCTGTCGAGAAAGGGTGAGACGGAGTACGGGCAGTAGTTGAGGGGACTGATAATTGGACTGGTGGATGTTCGATGGTGGTGGTAGGGAGGACTTTCTGGAGAAGACATGGAGCTGCTGCTACTGCTCAGAAATCCGTTCGTCATAGGTAAAGAACTTGTCGGAGTGTGAGCTTTGTTATCCAATAGCGGAGACTTTGCAGATTGAGCGGATGTTGCTAATCCAGATTTTTCCGTCGAATCAGACGGAGAAGAGATGATGTGGGGAGGGCTTATATCACCGTTCGTAATGGCTCTGAAGGTCTGCAAATGAAAATTGGGCATTTTTTCAGTATTATATAGTTAGTGATAAGTGTAGGAAGTACAAGGGAACAGAATTTGTCCCTTTAATTTCATATTAATATATTTATAATAATGGAATTACCTGCTTCCTTGGAGCTTTCCTTCTCGATTCGATTAACGAATTAAACGACGCGTTGTCGTTATCCCCACCACCATGCTGAGAATCTGAGCCACCATTTGATAAGTCATCAGTATCATCAAATCGCTTACTACTATTGTTGTTGTAATGGTTGGAGAAGAATCCTCTCTTAGTTTCCTCTCCAGGAGAGACCAGTGGACTTGAAGAAATTGCATCATCCGTGCCAGATCCTCCACCATCCAGGAATCCTGTCTTTTCTCCTTGTGGGGATTTAAACGCCAAATTTCTATCATGATGATGAGATGAAGGGCCGGACATGGCAGGAACGGTGTGCCTCCTCGTGTAACTCCGTTTGATTCGATTCTCTCCAAGTTTCAACTTACGAGCGCCACCGCGTCCACTACCTTTGCCAGGATTTGCTCCCCCTCCACTTGAGGATTCGTGCTTTAATCTTCTCCCACTAAATTTTCTTGATCTATTATTATTCCCCCCTCCTGAGGTGCCTAACATCCCACTTCCATCCATGTCTTCATCCGTGTCAGAGTTGTTGCCAGCGGGCAGGGAATGATGGTGGAGCCCTTGTCCATTCGAAAGACTAGGCCTTCCTCGGCGGCGGACCTTAGCATCGATAAATTTATTTGGGGAACTTGGAATGACGGGAGAGAGAAGATTGATAGTGGTACTATTGTTGTTCATGCTTGCTTCACGGATTGCAGCATTGGCCGCTATTCTTGAACTCATCTCGTCCAAATTTTGCACCGAAAGCTTGTCAAATGATACATCCTTATCCTTTTCGATAATGTCCAGCTTTCTTGACTGGATTGTTCTCGCCCTACTTTTTGAAACCCATCTGGGCTTGCACAATTCGCATAGATACGTGTCTGGGATGGCTGTTCGGTCAATTCCCATGCAGTCGACGTGCTGCCAGACGAAACACCTATCACAGCAAATCATAAAACCATCATCGTGCAGGTAGTCACAAATGCAGCGGGTAATTCCTTCATCCGTTCCGTGTGGGGTGGGTGGTCTCTTCATCGCGTTATTAGACGAATTTAAATTTCGAACCCCGTTTTCTGGAAATTCGTTGTCCTCTGCAATGTACAACCTGCTATGATCACTGTTGTTACCGCTGGCCTTGTCGTCGTCATCATTATCGTCATCAATGTCATCATCTTCATCTTCACCTTCAGAGGCCGATTGAGTAGATGTCGTGCTTTCATGTCGACTACGATTATTCGTCATGCTGCTGCTGGTTGTAGTGATTTCCATGCTTGGTTTATTATACTTGTCGAGGGGGCTAAATTCCGAATGATGGTGGTGGTGGTGGTGGTGGTGGCGGTGATGATGATGGGGTACAGGGATTCCACTTTTACTGTGACTCACCGAAGCGAGGGTCAACAAGTTGATGGGGGATACAAGTCCTGTTGCAGCTGGGGATGATGTTGGTGATGTATGTACGTTTGGAATTAGCGTGCTGCTGCTTTGTGGCTTGGGACCCCTCCTTTGACCTGTGCCACCACCACGTCTTACGCCACTCTTTCTCCTCGTGTGGGGAGCCGTTGTGCCATCTCTTTTACCCAACGATCTCCTTATCCTTCCTCGATTTGACGATTCTAATCCCTCCGTTCTTCGTACTCTATTCTTGACCACTTTCATTGAGGGTGATGGTGTGATTGACATTCCTCCAGGTCCACCACCAACAGGAGAAGAGTTAGTCATCGGTAAAGGTCTTGGTGATGGTGTCAAGTTGCTCATGTTCATAGCACCATATTGAGGGTTCTTGTGGTGATGAGGGATACTTGTATTAGAATTGTACACTGAATACGATGAGGGAGGGGATGATCTCACGGGAGACATTGACGACATTCGAGGGGGTGAATATTTTGGAAATGCCACGTAATTATGATCCTGGAGCACGAGAGACAGCGCTACTTGCGGCGATAATGGCGGAGTGGGGGATGATAAGCTGTTAATCCTAGTAGCAGTAGAGTTGGGCGTCATGCTCATGAGAACCGTGGGTCTGACAGAGTTGGGATTACAACTACTGTTGTTTCCACCAAATACGTCGTCATTGCTAACAACCCGTCTCAAATAGGTTTCTGTTACGGGAGGAGGAGACGAGGAAGAGGGGGTAAACACGCTTTGAGAAATTGGTATCTGTTGATTTTGTGGTGGAGATGACGCCATTTTGGGCGGAAGAGGAATAATTCGGGTGGTTGGTGGTAATGATTCTGACGCCTCAATTCGAAGGAGAGGAGATAGAACCCTTGTCGTTACTGCAGGTATAACGGGTAGCGGGGAGATTTCAACTGGGTAACTGTGGAGAATTGTGGGCGGCGGCGGCGGTGGAGGAGGAACTATTGTTTCCTTCTCGGGTTCGGGGTGTGGAGGTGGGCGATCCATCTTTTGAGGAGGTGGTGACTCACTGTTAGCATTTATTACCCTTAGTTGAAGACTACAATTATCCACAATTTCGGAAGGAATAGGAGGTTGTGGTAATGGTAGTAGTTGTGGAGGTGTGTGTTGTACTATTTCTTGCTGTCCGACGGCATCGACGGGGACATCGATTGGGACGGGAACGGATGGGAAATGCGTCGTCGTCAGTTGTAGTGGTGGCGTGGTTGTTAGACGACTCGGGAACGTGGGGCTTTCGTTACCTGGTGATGATAACAGTGAAGAGGGTGGAGTGGGTGGACCTGGAAGATAAACAGAAAGTCAGAAAGGAACCAAAACAATAATGGTCCATCTCACACATGCATTCATTCATCATCATCATGATACAATTTCTTTGTACTTACTCCCACCATTCATCAACGACACTGGGACAGGATGTTGTTGTTGCTGTTGCAACACGATGGGAGGGGAATACCTTTTATGAGATTCTACAATAAGGGGACAATTAGAAACCAAGTTTGCTTCAAATTGCGGCTGCGACTTTTGAAGTTCTTGACGCTTATTCATTTCCGTGACCCCAACGACTTTGACATGCGTCTGACCCGACATTGTCGTCGTCGTCGTTATAGTGACCTGTTTCCCACCAACGAAACACTCACTCGTCGTCACTACAGGAGGAGGAGGTAAAATAATTAAGTCTTCCATTTCACCACCACTTCCCCCACCCCGTTCTTCTTCCCCTGAACGATGTCTTTCTCCCCCATCTTGATGCTGATGATCACTGTTACTTGACGATGACGAACTTCCACTCGTCGTTTCATCTCCGCCACTACCATCAAATCGGGATGAAGTGACCGTCGCTGTGACCGAGGACACAGTATTGTTAGTATTTGTCTGGTTTGGATTTCTCACTGCTGCAGTAGCATGTCGGGTAGCTTCTTCAATTGCGGTTGATAACACCGCACCCAACTGCATCATTAAGTTGTTCATTGCATTGCAATTTGTCACGAGAGGCAACCTTCGACAAGTCCTCCCTCCTTGTCACTACTATTACGTGTCACTTATCTTGACTTCTCAAAACAACAAGTTCAAGTCACTTTTTCCCTCCAATTTGTCGCCTCTTTAATCTTAACAAAAACAAAGTTTATCTCTCTCTTTGTCGTCGTTATCTTAACGTCTTACTGTCCCACATCTATTCCTCCTCCCCCTGACTTCCCGTTCCCCCACTCCAATAGTCCCTTCTAATAACCTCCCCCACAAAAAAGTTACTACTCCTACTCGTAAAACTACTCCTCGAGAAACGCTCCACACTTATCAAGTCGCGATTCTCCATCATCTTTCGGGCTGGTTTGCTTATCAGATTTTCGTAAATTACTCTCACGTAATTTACTACTCACCCAACACCCCACTATAATTGAGATTATTATGATTTATTACTCCTCATTTATTTCGATTTTTTAGAATCTTGAAATTTTTATATTCTCTCTTTGTCCTCTCCTCTCATGTTTCTTAAACGAAAAAAACGAAATATCTATATACCTGGGGGGAAGGAATTTTGTATATATTTTTTCCAAATTGGGAAAAAATCTAGATTTCGAGATGGAATCAAATTTGAAAATCCAAATTATGGTGGAATAACTTTTTGATATTCTCGCAGTGTGTGTTGTTTGTTTTTGCTTCGATGGTGGATGTGCAACCAACAAAATGGCGATCCTTTAGGGTACGATGCAAGAAAGCGGATGCATGAAAGGAAGTTGAAAACATGATATTTTCGAAATCTCGTAAATAATTGTGGACTCAAGTATTGTCCAGTTTTTGAATGTGAGGAACCCCATTTCCGTGGGGGGGTGTGTATGGACAGCCCCACCGTGGTTTCTTATCCATTCACAGAGTGTGCTGTCGTCGTTCGCTGCTGGTTAAATTTAAAGCAAAAAAAGCTAGCAACCAAATAACCCATACGAACGAGCGGATTGAGTCATAGAGTTTTGTGGAGGATGATATTTATATGGAACAATTACTCCCCCGATCTGGTGCGAATGCAGGAATGGAATCTTCCAAAGAAACCTCTGAAGGAGACCATCCACACAAAAAGTGGGCTTATCGATGCTGCTGTCTTAATAATCCTAGTTAAAAAATATATTTTTTTGAAGATTGTACGGAAAGGAAGTGAATGGTAGGGGTTTTCGAGCTATTCATTTTTTTAAGGACAGGAAAATTGTTAAAGTTAATTAACCATTGTTATTATAAATTATAAGGTATAATTTAGTTTTATTTAAACAGGAAGAAATTTAATTATTCTACTCGTCGTAATAGTACGGCAAATACGTTTTGTCTTAATTTGTTTGTATCAACTATCAAGTAAGCGTGGGTGGGTTGGTTGGATGTTTGTTATTCATTCGGTTTGACTATAAGAAAGTTGCTTCTCTCAAAAGAGGAACGAGATCGAGATTGGAATTTATTTTGGAATCTCATCATCGGATTTTCCATTGTGGTTTTTAAAAGTCAAGTATAAAAAATGGTGGAGAAAAACCAACCTTAAATAGTCCATTGCATAACAACATTTATTATACTACGTGGGCAAGTTTTGCCTAGTTTACAACACAATACAATACAGTGGAGAGAGAATTAAAATACTAAAATCCAATAAAAACAAGGCTTTATAGTTTGACGAGGTATGTAAATAATTAATGTTCTGGCCCCGTTTGTTTTATAATTTGAGTAGTAGACTAAACGACGGATTGGCATTGTATGTATTAAATTCTGTAAAAATTAGTCGTGAAATGATGCCATTATGATTCTCGGGCAGAATGTCCGACCAGCACAGACATAGGTCTGGTCGTTGTATTTTGCATTAATTAAAATAAATTATAAATGTACACTAGTTAAGTATTGGGTTGTTAGTTGAATAGTATTTTGACGTTTCAAAGCTAGTATTAAATGGAGACAACAGAACAGAGGAGCAGCAGAAGAGGTGTACATAATATCACCAACAGGATATTACATTCATGCGATTACATTACAGATGATGCGATACTGCTTTTACTAAAGTGTTGAATGTACATAAACAAAAAGAGCGTCATCCTATTTTTAACTTTGCACTCTTCTTTATTCTATAAATGCCATCATCCGGTATGTACATACGTCGGCTTTTGTAGTGTTGTTCAACTTTTTGTAAACTTGAACTGGTACTTAATGGCAGAGATTTAGACCTGTTATTTTGTCAGGTTTTTAGAAGAACTAAAAGTTAACAGCGATTTAGTCTGTTAATTAGATATGTGTAGTAGAATTATATTTTAGGAATGAATATCACCATTAAATTTCAGTGTTATGTTATGATACTCATGAATTTTTATGTGTTATAACGGCTGTTACTTATTTTTAGAGAGTTCAAGGGTCACCCATCACCAGAGATCAACAACTCTGTCAACTTTGGTCATCTATTTACACTCGACAGATAAAATAAATAATTTCCTTCCCATTCACTATTTATCATGATGGAAGTTCAAGAAGGTAATACATATTAAAGAGTTAAATATCATTAATACTTCCTGGGTGTAAAAAATATAATCCTCTCTTTCGCTGGAATTTCAGACATTGTCGATACATTTTTAAGATATGGACTTTTTATCGGAGCAGTTTTCCAACTTTTATGCATTGGGGCTGTAATAGTTATGCCAGATAGTAAATCTACCCTCTTTCATGTGAGTTTGAGTCTACTTAAATACTACCAATTCAAAATTATGAAAATGAGCACATAAATCATAAAACATTATAAAGAAATTCTGTATGAATATCGAAAGCTTGCAACAATAAATACTTCAAGTTAAAATGTCCTCTGATGCCGATGTAATGGATCAATATAAAACATTATAATTATAGGAACAAGAATTTAGTGATGACGAGAGATCTTCAGATCAAGGGAGTCCAACGATATCTCCGAATCATAAACATCACAAGAAATCACGAGGAAAGAAGAAACAGCGTTAACAAAATCATAATAGTCAGAAGATAATACTCGTATTTAAATTTTGATGATCTCATTCTAATTTTTAATTTGACTCGCCTATTGTATAATTTTAGTTGACATTTTGTAAATCGTTCTCAATATGGAATAATGAAGCAATACCACTTTTAATTAAGAAACAATAATTTATTTAATATTAATAATCTTTAACTCATCATCTCTCCACGTCCATAACATTTTGTTACATAACTGTCATCATCATACATGTTAATTCATTTGAGGTGGCGTTATCGCAAGTCGACGAGGGCCAGAGCAGCAATTTATTCATTTTCAACAAATGTGTTTATGCTTTTGCACTTTATGAAGAAGGACAGCTATTTATGGGGAGAAAGAACGACAAGAACAACCATTACTTTGTGAAGAGATTACAATTCCTGCCGTATTTCAATCCGTGTTAGCTAATTGACAATCAATTATTAATCAACTGCAACTTGATTAAAAAGTTAAGATCCATCCACTCTAAGATATTCTAACAAAGTGTGACGACAAGTAATAATTAAATATGTATGTTTAATATACGAACGAGTACGATTTAAGCCAATAGCTAAATTTCATGAGCTAATTAATGCTTCACTCACTACTATGCGACAACAATGATGAAGTCTATGTACGTGGGAGAGAAAAAAGCCAGTTTAGTAGCTTTTAAATATTCATAGGGAATTCTACTTATAATTTGAAACTTGAATTCAATTTTTATATGACACAAAATTTGCAATATCTGCAATTGGAAATTCATTAAGATAATACATAGAATAATGCATTCGTGGAATTACTTAGTTTCACACGATTTTACAAGCATTAAGATCAATGTTCAATATTTAACAACTCTTCTTCTACTCATAATATTGAAATGCTATTAATTGAAAGTTTTTAATCTGCTGTTGCTGCTATTTTGCTAAAATCTGATTAAACAACTAATTAAACAACGACATTAAGAACTGGATAGACACAGACGGGAGGATTCTGGTTAATTCATATTACCTTCAACCTCAAAAAATCTTTACGATATTCATGACAATTAACTACATAGCTGCTTGCAATTTGGATGAAGTTGGGCTACGCTAACTTGTATTTTCAACCTAATTTGCATTGTCTATGATTTTCAACGAGTGTACACAACTGTTTTTTAAATACTGCATTAAAGTGACTAAACTAGTAAATAGGTAATTTTTTAAATATAACGACCCTCGTTAATAAATAGAGGGATGGTCTTACGGAAAATACTAAATCTTGCTTGATTCATGAGGTGCACATTTTCTTTCTTCAACATTTTCGTTCAGATCATACAACAACACTTGATTGGAAAAAATTAATTAAAAGTAACTCTGTTCATTTGTCGATGCGTTTGGCAATATTGAAAAAAATCACCGTATAACAACAAATATATAGGAATTTCTGGTAAAACTGGCCTTCATTTCACTGTTTATGTCGTTATACTAAAGTGTGTAGGAGCGGGGTATGGAGTTTACAAAAACCGACGACTTTGCTTTAACCCTCATTGTTAGTTGGACTTGGTCTAGAAAGATAAATAAGATAAATTGATTCTGCTTTAGAATGCAATTAAGTTTTAATTTTAGTAAATTTTTATTTGACTTACCTAAACATTTAGACTAGATTAATTTGTTTCAGTGTTGCCCTTGTTGTTTTCTGAAAGATTTGAAGACTCACTCACAACCGGTGTTTCCAATCTATACGATCAATAGTGTCAAGGGCTGTCCCAATTTTTTTTACAAGTGCACGCATTTTACAAATATGTATGTACCTTTGAGATTCATCTTTAAATGTCACACCCTTGGAATTATTTGGTTTGTTGGTAGCATCATTTTTTGCACTGGATGAGGAATTATTAGTTCCAGACTTGATATTGTTGTCAGCCTTCTTGTTTACAGGTTTCTTCTAAAATTGATGACAGTGTTTAGAACAATTTATTATACCGCACACAAGCAAATGAAGGGAATGTGATGTTGAAATAAAATAAATAATATTCTGCGCTACATAAAAATTAACTTGATCATGCTCCACCTGGTTCTTTCCCTGGTGATTTGTATAGTTTCTCCTCTGATTCCAGCCAGCATTTTGAGCACCTCCTCCTGGACGATAATTATTCTGTGCTTTTCCTCCAGAGATTCTCATTTGGTCGAATAGTGAATTCATCTAAGAAACAAAAACAAAGTCTTATATTGAATGTCCAAACAAAATTCATAAAATTTACATGCATGTAAAATTCATTCAACAGACCTGTATATTTTGATGATGATGATTAGGATAAGTAGACGCGCCACCTGGCCCCATTGGCACTCTTACATTACGACCTCCATTCATCAATGGGTTTGCTAATCCACCATAATTTGCACCCCAAGACCCGACCACCATCCCACCAACCTCAAGATGCCCACCACGCGTGGGAGGAACTCCTCGTCTTTGTTGCACTTGATGTTGTGCTTGCTGTTGTCTCGCCGTGATCGGAATATCATTGTCCAAACGATAAATTGGCACTCCTCTCGAATGAATGCCAGACCCACCTATTGAAGTAGAAGGATGATGGGGATAGTTGCCATAAATCCCAGCACCGCCTCCTCCACCATTGTTGGCAGCTGCAGCCGCTGCAGCAAGAACGAAGGGGTTTTGAGACTGGGGTCCCAACATTCGGTTTCGAGAGTTGGCAGCAGCCGCAGCGGCCGCCAACTGAGTCAGGCTTCCTGGTCCTCCGTTATGTAAGTTCATTTGGTTGGGGATGTTGTATGGCAACTGTCGAGTGGGTGGCGCAAGAATGTGATTCAATAGTGGTCCTGGTGAGACATACGTGCATACAATTTACTACAACTTTCCTGTACAATCATGTTAGTTTTTTCTTGGATATTACCATTATTTCCAAAAAATGGGGCCGGATTTGGTGCTTGGGCATATTGTACTTTAACACCTTCCGTCACAGCCAACCGTAATTGATCAATACTGAAAACCAGATCCATTTTGTACCCGCAAATTTCTGCCAAACTTTTTCCCTGGGTTTGTTGTTCTAAGACATAGCTGAATACTTTCCCATTGAAAAACATCCAAGGTGAGAACAACATGTAAGGAATGGGAGCACCACAAGCGTCATTTGTAAGAACAGACATTTCGACCCCTTCCATGAATAAATGTGCGAGATGAACGCCTCTCATTGTAAGATTAGTAACTTCGATATCTTGAGCAATACTAGGATCAGTCATTTCTTGGATGAAAGCTTGGGCAATGAAAGCCTCGAGGTCAGACTTCCTCAGGACTTTCTTCTCCGTGGACAGTATGTAACGCAGCACGGAAGCGAGGACGAGCATTTGTTGAGGGACAAATGAGGGATCCAACATGACTGGCTTGTCCGATTTCAGAATGGCGAGGAAGGCTCGAGTTCGTTTCAGTTTGCACTCCTCTTGGTCTCTAATATTTATAAATTATTTATATAAAATAGTATATAACAAATCATTATCAAAATAAATAAATAGTTTTTGGGTCTCACCCTAGCCATAACCGCTCCACCGTTGGTACTCCCCAACCAACTTCTACCGCCTGGACTAGATCGGTCTTAATCCCTTTAGTTATGGGACAATAGTAAGTCTCCTTGACGTAGAGAGGAGGAGTTTTCTCGTTCCTCTGCTTGGCCAAAAAGTGGAGATGGTGAAGATTAAAGAGAATGGCGTAGACGCGCTGCCGAAGAGGACGGAACACTAATGGAATTAATTTATATTACATATATTATTTTAATTTTACATTAATATTTAATAATATTGACCATACGTTCGTAGGCTTTTGGTAACTCTTTGCTGTCCTTTGACTCTTGAATGATGACGGGTAATTTTATTTCTCTCTAATCGACACAATTAATATGATTCAATGTTTTATAAACTATGATTTAAAATTAAATTTTCTTACGTGTTTCAAAATATGATAAATATACGGCGACATCAGCCCATTTTTGTGTCGGGTGATGCACACATTTTCAATTTCGGAATTTACACGATACAATAACTTGTCCAGGCTGGATTTGGCATTGGTTTCGTTGCTAGAAGTAGTATCTCCACTACCATTTCCTCCTCCGCTGCTTCCATTTACGACTGGCGGAATGGAAGTAGTGACTTCGGTATCTGTAGTATCGGCAAAGATTTTCGATGAATCTCCTGATTCGAGTTTCTGTGTATCCGATGGCAGGGAACCATCAGTAACATTGTTTGAAATAACTGAGGATGTTCCCGTGTTCGTATCCGATAAAGTGGCAGGAGTTGCCTGTTTTTGTTGCACCTTGTTTTGTTCCCCTGATTTCTTGGAAGCCTTGCTGCCCTTACTTTTCTTGTTCTCTTTCTGTGACGTGACACCAGCTTTCGGAATACTTAAATCTGAATAGTACTGGAGACATTTTCCCAACTTCTCGCACAGTTCCTTTGATTTTTCAGGTTCAGATTCGCAAGTTAATTTGCCAATTTTCTCAACCACTTTGTCCGTATCGTTGGACTCGAGGGTTCTGATGAATTCGCCAATTTTCTCAATCAAAGACGTCTACAAAAAATGATTACGTTCAAAAGTGTTACAATTTTATAGCCAAAAAGGTCAAAACTTTAAATAATTAATGTACTTTTGAAGATGAATCGACACCAAGAGCAGCATATAAGCAAGTGAGATCGCTTTCAGATAGGAGATAATTCCCAAATAGGGCTGTGAATATGTGAAACTTTTCCGGTGTCAGGTTTAGGTCATCTTGCACTTTTTTCAGCTTTAGCTCTACAGTTTCCAGAGACCCCTGCGACACAAACAGTTCTCGCTTAACAATAGTCACAGTATGCATATACACAATTTATGAGTTAAAATGACACGTAGGATTACTTTAAATGTAAGTTTCAGTTTCTGAGCGGAAAAGTATCGGGGAATATCAAAAACTAAATATTCTGGATCATCCGCCACGATTGCATGAAAGTTATTCTTTTGGCAAAATCGAACAATTTCTTTGTGATGGTCTTCAAGCGTGCTCATCTAAAAAATTGTGTCATGAATTACTTTGTCCAAAGTACGTGATTTATATTTGTATCAGATATTTCCCAACTCACAGTTCTTATTTGTAGCGCTCTGAATGTTACTCGAACTGCAGATCGCAAATAAGCCGGAGCTACCCACCAGCACCTTATAATAAATAATTAAAACATAGTTATGATAGTAGAAAGAATCATTCACATTGAATTAAATGTATAAAATAAAATGTACTTTGGAGGAGGTTTTTTCTTGTATGTGACATGTCTGTGAATTTCTTCAATGAATTTTAGCGTTTCTTCTTGTTTAATTTTCCACTCTTGCTCCAGTCTTTCCGGTTCCAGAGCTGGGCAAAGATATATAATTAAAGACATATAATTCTATGAAAATGAACTATGTTTTCAAGCTTTGCAAATTGAATTTCTTCCTACCTCCATTGAAGCATATCACGAGATCTAGGTTGGAACTCTGTATTAAAATAAAATAAAGGTCAATGCTTCATAATTTACGTTACCATTAAATTAAAACAATTAATTTATAAAGCCCCACCTGAATTACGGATGCAAAATTGCGAAGGAATTGTTCCATTTTGTTCCATTGTCCACCGCATATCCAATCTGGACATAACAAACAACATTAAAAGAATTGGTTTAAAATCCTGTAAACTCTTCCTACTTACCTGGAAAATACCCCCCATAAAGTCGGTCCAGGCAACATTCGCCATCCACAATCACTTTGAACTGTTCTCCACGATCATTCCGATTCTTTGTTTTCACGGTTTGAGCCACTTTAAGAAGATCCACCGACTCGACCGTATTGACAATGTTTTGTGTAAAATGGGACTAGAATGATTATCAAACCAAGTTTATCAAATTAGTTAACTATTTCAGTTTAGCAAATCAATTTGTAATTGTAATCCTTCTCACCTGTAGATCGTTCAACCCCATAATTGTACCTTGTTCAGCCTTATCCCGTTGAATTTTAAATTACTACTTATTCTCTTAAAGTCGTATAAAAATAAACTTTGAAAAATATGCTCTACTAAACTTATCAAATATCCAACCCGTCAATCTTAGTTCTCGTCGATAGGAATTAAACTTTAATAATTGGTTAATAATATCATCAATCGAATCAAGTCATCTCCTTTCGTTCTTTGGTGGTGGAGAAAGATATCACAATTTACTGGTGGCTTATCCCTTTAATAAGCGTCTTGGCCTCTCGTCACATTATTCTTCTTGTCCATAATCATTACTCTTAAGTCCTGGACGATGTAACCATTAATTAATTTCCAGAGGCACTTCTCCCCGTGTCACGACTCTTCTCGTGTTCACTTTCGTTCACCTTATCAAACCCTGGAAGAGGAAAATGAATGAGGTGAACACAGCTAGAGATAATAGCGCAGCGAGAAACACAGGATGCACACGTGGCAATCAGGGCCCACTGAAAGAACAAAAATTAAAGATAAATTATTAAAAAATCATCACCACCATCAAAAAATAGTCTCCAGTTCTGACTCAAAATTAGTGACGACAACGACTTGTTTGTTACACTACATCCCCCTTCCAACACAATGCACAATGCATAAAACTAACTACTTACATTACATAATCATCAACTAATATAAACTATTTTTAATTAGGATGTATCAATTTGAATAATTTGATCGCACCCAAACCAACCAAATCCCTCCTCCTCAATTACGCAATCATATCATATACAAAAGTAAAGTCAAAACAACTAGACCTTCTTCTTCTTAACCTAAGTAATTGATTTCCCCTTCTTCCCCACCCCCAAGATATGACCTTACCTAAGAACTGATGAATTTAACAAGGAGCCAAGGCCAAGATAAGCAGGAGGATATCGATAAGAATAATATTAGTACGAAGGGAGAGGAGAGAGAAACTATCGTGGTTGGTGGGTGAACAAGACATTCAGTCAGAGTGAATCCAAATCTCGACCATCATCATCCTGTCGGTTTTGTTTAATTTTGCTACTTTTTGCTGTCTTTTAGAGACACAGGCGGTGTCTCAGTTTCCTCATCAGAGGGCCACATAGTATCCAAAGCCAAACTACGAGGCTGCTTTCTCCACGAGGAAAACTGACAAGGTGAGATTTCTCCCAGATGTACGATGAGATCCATAATAATTAATGGGAGATGCTGCTGTCCTGTTATATACTAATCTAAGCTGCTGTCAGAGTTTTTATTATGGGACATGTTTTTATTATCCATCAAAAATAAGTGCATGTTAATACACAAAAAAGTAATCGAGATTTGGAAAATTTATGTAATTTTATTTTCCTCGTCCAACTCAATTTCTGAAACGACGTAGTTCCTCTGACAAGACATGATTTTCAAAATTGATGAGACGTGTTTTTATATTCTCAAGTCCAGAATTAGACATTGATAAGAAACCAGAAATTAAAAACCCCCAAGTCCCAGGAATTAATAAACCCTTGAAATAAGAGATGGGGGAACGAAATCATCTCAAATTATGGATTCGATCGAAAATTGAGATAAACCAACCAATCACTCAATAACCTCGGGGAAATTCTGGGGAAAATATTTAATAGAAAAGCCAACCATGTGAAATGATGCCTTCAAAGTGCTTTTTTCCATCATTTTTATTATATTTATTGGACATTTTTTTTATCTATTTTATTATTATATAAAGTCTAAATATATACTTCATCCTTCTGAATAACGGTCGAATTCATCGTAATTTGAGTCCGATCAAGCGCCACTAAATTCAATTTCTGTGTTACGTAACTTTTCCTATATGTATAGGTATTGATAAGTCGTTATCTTACCTTATCACCCCATTATATCGATTGACTGAGCATTAACAGATAGGAAAAATAATGAGAGTGACGTAAGCCGTCTAGTGATGGAAAGAATTAAGAGAAGATACGATCCAGGATTAAAGTTTGTCTTGCATTGCATGAGTTGCACTTTCACCGGACTCATCGTCAGCAAGAAAAAGGAAAGTTTGCTCCGAATACAAATTCTGTCTTTGTCGTCCTTTCACTTACTTGATTCGAACCCCCACTTCATGTCACGACATTGTATTCCATTCACATCCCATACAATCAACAAGCATTAGGCAGAAAATGTAACTCTCAAAGCTGTCTTATTCCGCCCACGCCAACCAAAAACCTATCTTCTTCTCCCAGCCAGAAAGACTTTCACTTTTCAGCCCGACTTTTTCAGGACTTGTGTAACCATCATGTTCGTCCGTCCCTCAAGTCCGTCCGTGACACTACAGAGCAAAACCTAAACTACCGAACTATAAATTATTTCCATACATTCGCATTGGATCAGTACGAGCTAGAAAATGCGTCACACTGTCGAAATCATCAGATCCGTCAATTTCTTAAAAAAATCATTGGTGGGTCAGGGCATAACGACTTTCAGGAAAACAAAAATCTATTCAGTTTTACCCTTACTTCTGGCTCGGGCTGCATGAATTCCATAGTTTTTCTAATGTTTATTCAGCAAATTGTGGGAGAGAAAGCATGTGCACCTTTCCAACTTTTTATTTGAGTATGCTCCCCCTCCTGCCGCTGCTGGGATGATGATAACTTGTACATGATGGACAGGATGATGACGACCCAAATTAAATCTTGGCCAACTTCTCCATTCATTCATCAAGAACTTAAGACAGGCAAAGTTGGCGGAGTGAAAGTTTGTGTCTAATTTTGGCACCTAATTCCCTCATTCTGAATAATTCATACATACGTGTCTTGTTTCACTTTATGAACAGGTTGACGGTGATGACGATGGAGCGAAACTTTGCCCCGGCCGGATTTTATATTTGCCGTCATTATATTATCCAGCGTCACAATATTCAAATCGGATGAGAACCAACATATGTATGCAACTAAATAACCATTCGTCATCCAACTCTTAAGCCGGGGTGGAAGATTATTATTTTCATACTCCTCCTCGTCTGAATTTGTTTGGAATTATTATGTGTATCGCATAATCATATCGTTCTCAGAGCTCATGTCGCGAAGCTGATGTGTTTCCTGCCTCCTCCTCGCTAATTCAGTGAACGACGATAGGAGAGGATGACGTATTTAGAGATGTAATAGAATCTAAATATATGGATGGATGAAATTACTAGTTGCTTTCTCTCCCATTTGCATACGTTATGTGTGTTACATTGCATACATGACGACGACGACATGGATGACGACGAGAAGGAAATGTTCATCGAACCAGTAAATTTATCAGTCCTCCGAGATAAGATTGGATCACTTTTCGTGCTGCTTTTCCCCTATTTTTAGACGACTCGGGACTCACTTATACATACGTAAATAACTATCTTCTTCCTTCCTTCCTCAATTCACTTGTTGTATGATGATGCCCAATCGACTCCTTCCTTCTTCTTCAAGTCAACAAGTTTCTAAAGCATGCAGAAAAGGGAGAAATTTGGTGAATAGCGATGATTCAACTTTTATTATAACCAACCACAAGAACTCAAAAGGAGTCGTCGTGGGTGGAGAGGAATCTTCTTTGTGCAATTCAATCTTAATGCTTCTTCCTCCCGTGTGTGGGTGAAGAAAGTGGAAAGAAAGGTAAAAAAATGGAAATATGCACACTTATTTTCTAAAAATAGGTACATACTGCACGGCTTGAACAAAAGTTAAATTTTCTAAATAGCTATGCAAGCTTGCAGCTTTTGTCCGGATTTAGCTTGATGGAAGCGATTTGTTCAAAATGCAAAAGTGATTGGCAGTTTGTCCAAGAGATTTTAATGAAGTTGTTTTTCGCGAGTTTGGTGATGGGATGCTCTTTATTGGCGTAGGTTGGATCGGATTTTACTTACTTATGCATATGTACAATTACGAGGTTTTGATGATGTAGTGCCTTTCACTCGCTCGCTGTAATCTGGAAAACATCATCATCCTGACATCCCACGCGTGGGTGTTTATCTCGTCATGCGGTGTTTAATTATGAATGCATGTAAGTATGTAAAGTGTCTCGTGTGGTGTTCACTTAGCATGCATAAAGATAAATCGGATTATAATCCATCCATACATGACACACTCGAGCGACGGTATTATTCAGATTATACGACATTATAATAATAAGGTTAGGATGGAATAATACCTATTTTTAGAAGCTTTTATGCATCCCGAATTTTTGGGCTAAAAGGTGAAAGTGAAAATTAAATAGTTTTCAGAATTCGTTTTAAAAGGTGATGAAATTTAGGGTAAGGTCACCTTGAAATGACGTACAAATATATTTTCGTCCTTTATGAAACGTGGGTGCCCTTCTATTATCAAAATTAGGGAATAAATCACATCCCAATTCAGGGAAAACAAAGGAGAAGAGAAAACGACTTCTCATACACGAGCAGAATCCTACACCCTGAGAAAAACTTGCCGATGGGAATCTCCACCAGGCAATTCTATTTCAAAGAAGATTCCAATTACGCTATTACAAAATGCAGACAAGCCACTAACTCGTTGACAGAGAAGCCGCAGACACACAATATGTTACACAATTCCAATGACGGAACTCTCAATTCTGCTTGATGACTGAAAAATAGAACTGTCAGCACGATTCACCAAAGGCGAAATCAAGACCGATATCCGAGACACAATGGAATGAAGTCTCAGAATCTGAAGTTTTTGTTCTTCACTTATATCTATGTAGAAATAGATACTGAGACACGTCTGACGTGACTCTGTCAGAAATAAATACATAAAACACAGCCTTTTCTCTAAATTGATGTTATATAATGACACGTAATCGTACAATGGTCTTACTCACATACATGTGACAGGCCGTCATTACGACGGATTTAATTTATTGTCTTGTAATCTCCTCCTGCTCCATGTTTTTCTCCTTTATTAGCTCCAAAAGTACTAAAAATAGCAAAATTACAGACTCGCAATCTATTTATGAAAACTAATTTAAATTCGAGTGGGTGAAAGTCACCTACTGGCATCGACGTATGTAAAATATCTATAAGTTATAAGTCATATATATATAATATTCAAGATAAAAGCGAATTTGATTCTACGAAATTCCATGAAAGAATCAAAGTGCCAGACTTTCAATTGATCCAAAAAGTCTCACATTTTAAAATAAAGTCTGACATTCAATTTCGTTCCCTACTCACTCACCTTGACTTTCACCCAGGGAGAAAGTTTCTCTTTGAGCTAGTGAAACCCAACTGGTTGGATGTTTCTATAATCAAAAGAAAGGTGCACAATAATAATTCTCAGTTGGAGAGGGGAACAAGCAGAAACCAATTAATTATCAGATTTATTTCGGCTATAGATTCAGAAATCTATATTTACCCGTCTTAAAATAACAATCTACTTTTACCTCGCCTGCCTCCTCCTATGATGGGAAAATAATGTTGAAGAATACTAATAAAAGGGACCCAAGTTAACCGTCTCCCCTTCAACCCATTTTCTCCTTTGTCCGCCACAATTGCCAATTTAGTCGAAATCCCTGAGAAGCAGGGGAACCAAGGCATTGATTTGATTAAAGCCAACCCGTCGAGACTACTTGGATGGATGTTCTCCACTCTCTTAAAGGATATTATTCTTCTAGTAGAGAGAGACTCCAAATTCACTCCAACTTACTCAATGGGCCAGCCCAACGACGGCGGAGTAAAGCCAAAAAGGAAAACCTACAACCCTCTCACAATGGAGAAATGATCAATGGAAAACGAAAAGTGAAAAGTATAGCCAGAATTCTACCCGTATTCGGGGATTTCGGTCGTCTACGGGGTTTTGACTTTTATACTTTGTCAAAGAAACCTTATAGGCGACCAATAAACAACCAAGCTGAGCCCTTCTTTTCTTTTTACTTGTTTGGCTGAGTTTGCCCTTTTCTTCAACGTCTTCTCAAGATCACACTCGGCAGCGAAAAAACGGGTTTCTTTTTCACAACCAACCTGCCCAAAGCTATTTCTTGAATGAGTGTCAACTTCGCCTTCCCATTGAACTCATATAGGAGACATAGAGCGGAATATATTATTTCTCCGAAAACTTTAAGCCCTGTCCAATCCACTTTATCCAAGAAAGACTTTCTCCGACGACGTGGGAAGGAAACGTCGCGGCCCTGGCGGAAGATGCAGTCCTTATTTTAAAAGTGGACTTTGGAGCAAAAAAGGAAATGAACTAAATGGGGGCGAAGTTTGAAAGGAGACCCGAACTGGAAAGTGAAAGGGAGAGCAAACCCAATTTACTTATTTCCCTGCATTGTTCCTAAATGAAACTTAACGCCTATGTATCAAGAATATATATACACTTAAAAATAGGACGGGTATCAAAGATCTCGGAGGAGGAGAGGGGAGAGCAAATATTGAGACAAGTATATTTTAACGACAATGTATTTAACGATCATGATGCAATAATCCCGTTTGATGGCACAAGTAAATACTGTCTGGCATGGTGGATGCCAGACTTAATACTACATCAAATTAGGCCCCTTAGTCTATAATAGTAAAAAAGGAGGGCAGCAAAGAAGAAGAGACGAGAGGGAAAGTAAGTAAGTAAGCATCCTCTGACACCCGGCCTGCAAAGGCATCCCCACAAATAAGCAGATCTCCTCCTAATCTTGGCATGGTGTAGCCGCTGAGAAAACCAAACTGGCCTTTCTCTCCTCCTCGTGGGTCGATACTTTCTCCTAGGTAACTATGAATGACGTTGAGACTTCTCCACATACAAACCCCGCTGTTCCACAACCAGTAGTAGCCGCCTCAACAGTGTGTGTGTGTTAAGGCCTCGTCAAAAATCAGAAGAGTCGCTTCTTAATGGATGCCACCACCCAACTATGTAACTGCCCTTCATAAATTATCCACTGTCCCCATCACACGGAGGGAACGGAAGGAAAGATGCAATGCCAAAACAACATTAAGAAAGAAGACTTTACTACAGAGTGAAAGTACGTATAGATATTTCCAAAACAATAAAAATCCCCTCGTCAAAAAATAAATGGCGGGTGTGTCTGCATACAATGAGAAAAAGGAGCATCGATCCTTGTCTTGTGGATGGATATACGGTTTTGGAGGCCTACACACACACACGGGTCATGCAGTCCTTTATGATTTTCTCCAACTTTGTCTAACTGACTGCTTACAATCAGAATGTCGCCTTTATATCACATTTGATCAGGGGAAGCAGGGATGTCACGTCATGTCAGGTCTATCCGACTTGCTTTCTCTTTCTCTCTCTCTCGCCTTAATAATAATGCGATGCAATGCAATGTACTCGAGGAGGAACAACGTGATACTGATGTGATTGGTATAGTCTATCTCTTTCTCTCTCTCGAAGCCATACATGGCTGGCTGGATGGATGGATGGGTAGCTTGGAAAGAGTGAAGAATACTCCACATTCTGAGAGACCAGCGCATAACAGACTTTTCCTCCACAAATCGAGCTCCCAGCACAAACCAATCCTTTCTCGTGCCGTTGGTAATCGGTGTGCAAACAAAGTTTTTTTCGGATCGTGCACCAGTTTTGGGAGGTTTTTAGGTACAAAAAGTTTCCCACTTTTTCCACATTTTTTTCGCCAGTACATCTTTTTCCCATACTTTGCTCTGCAGTCACAAACTCCATGCCCTGCACCCACGTCACTTGCTTTCTCCGTACCTCGTGCAGCAGTAAAATTAAACCGTACTATGTACGACATTGTGCAGTCAGGTACCTCGTCCACCAGCCAGCCAGCCAACCACTCAATGCGAATATCTCTCATCCGACCGACCTAGTTGCCTCTGCACTGTGTTCTCCTCTGCTCTCGTGTTCGTATGGATCCCATACCGTCTCACGTTGGTTCGTGCCGTGCCATGCTTTCACCCAACCAAAAACTCTACGCCAACCAACCAACGTTCCAAGATATGCAGCAGCAGCGTGCTTGCTGGCTTGCTTTCTCTGTTTAAAGTTTAATTCTCTCTCTCCCATCTCGTGCTGGCATACTCACGGCAGCCGCGGCAGTGGAGGCAGTTGGTTGGCACATATATACGTTGGTAAACCCGAATCCTCGCTTATTTCCGCGAGCTCCTCTAACCTGGACGGATCGGGTAGCTTTCTCTCATTCACAGTATTATTATTATTATTATTGCTTTCACCACCACGGTGAAATCAGTCTGCTCTTGTTGTCACTGTGTTGTTGAGGAGGTAATAAAGTGAGGGGAGATTCTTTTATTTAGGTTTGGTAGGATTTTGTCTTTGAGAAAGAAGCAAAGTTTCCGGAAATATTTACCAGTTATTTATTAGTATCTACATACGAAGGAGAAGTACAGATTCAGGTGTTGAGCCGAAGATACATATACCATTCTTGAGAATAGAATGTTCACGAGGAAGCCGTTGTTTGCGTAGCATGTGTCATCTTATCGGGAGTAGTATTCAGTCTGAATGGAAGTAGAAACGTTTATTTTCAACAAAAACTTTGCCAAATACGTTTCGTCATAAGTTACAACCAAACCAAACAAACAGCACGTTTAAAGGTAAGCTTTTTTCAATATTTCAAAATATGCATTTAAAATTGAGTAATTTGCATATGTACGATATGCATACATAAAAATTATATATTGGTACGCAGTCACATTAAACGACTAAAAAATTCATACGTGGGACTATCTATATACTTTCGCATGACATTTGCATATAGGACATTTGACCACGGCTAATGTCCGAATATACTACGCTTTCACCTGAGTTAAAAGGATATTCGACCTTAATTTCGATACATGAACTACACATACCTACCGTGCTATTTGCCCATTTCGTCTTTTGGCATTTATTGGCAACCTGTGTGAATTATTACTTATTTTGTGTCCTTTGACACCGCTCAATATTTGCGACAGTTATCCGATAATTCATTTAATAGCTAAGCTTCCTATAATGGTGGACATTTAAGTAGAGGAAAGTTTCACCTTAGTCGAAACTCCTTTGCTACTTTGTTTATCTGTTCCTACTTTTTGTTCAAGGTGACTGAATGCTGAATAGATTGAGATCTAGATGATGAATGACATTTCAATTTCTTTAGAAAGAGAAAGTTTTCCTTTTATGGCAAATCCTCCTCTTTTCATTCGAACGCCACTCCTCTCTCGGCTGAATAAAGTTTTAACTGGCATACAAAACCGGCCCCATTATGCTTTGGCTCTGGGATATATCACCTCAAGGACTTTCACACCGTATAATCAGGATAACGCCAAACACCTGGCGAGATAGGACTCAATTCGAAACCTTATAGATGCGTAATCCGCTTAGGAAGTGAAAGTCAGTAAGTAAACGAAATGATGAAAGATCGGATAAGTGATGGTGGTGGCAGAGGTAGAAGTCCCAGAGCTAGTGACCTAAAGATTGTAAGCTATGGATTTTATAGCCAAAGGGAAAAAATGCGATGGTTTCACACCGTTTTAATTTTAATGAATAAATAGCTTAACGGAATTTTTTATTAAAGCAGGTTCCATTTTGTTTGGAAAGTCAATTCTATAGAGTTTTATTGTCCTTTGTTTCATTTTATTTTAGTTGAAATTTTTACAAAATTTTAGCATGATTTCAAAAATATGTTTGCTTGTGGGCATGAATTGAAAAGTCGTATGTATACATTTTTATGTAGATTACAAAATTTAGAACTCACGATTAATTTCATGAAAATTTTTATTTTAATATTCATTAAAGTTAGACAAATTCTAAAATTTATCCCTAACTAATTTATCCAAATATCACCATTCCGATATTCTAAAAAGAAACCCAACCCGAAATTCCTTATCCACAGCTTTCACCATTTATTTAATTTCCTCACTCTTCCTTTTCCCCCGTTATTATTTTTAATCAATTTGGAATCAATAGTGACAGCAGAATATCGTAGTAAAAGTTTCTGTCGCATAATATTATTCTATCCTCGACATAAGTTACAAGGTCAGTCAACCCACAATGCCAGGGTTATAAACCTACCTACGAAACCAAACTATATCTCATAGCATAGCAATCTATTAAAATAATTTCAGTTTCCGCCACAGAGTGAAAGTGCCTCAATCGGCTGACAGAAACAGAATAAATAAGCTTACTCGTACATAGCTGCAGAATCCTATATTCTTGTGGTAAATTTAGAGCCGGCTGCTACTGCTGCCGTTACAGCTCAACGTGTCAGGTATAATTCCATTCCAACCGGAATAATTCGACTAAACAGCTCACCAAGTATATATGATTAGCAAACTGGCTCGAGCCGGAAATATGGGTGACGTATAAGAATCATGCACTCTTCACTTTCTCCGACCCGTTAATAAACTTGGCGTTTGGCATATTCCGAGAATTATTGCCTATTCAGACACGTAGCTGCTCACTACTTTGGTCGTCTGCCTAATTTGAAATTCTAATACGAGGAGGAGTAGGTTATCAAACCCGTCCAACCAAATTACGCATTTGTCCACTCTCTCTGCTGTCATTCTAATTTATTATCTGTTATGGAAATTCAAAACAGGCATCTGACAGTTTTGAGTTGGTGAAAGTATTCCAAATTTCACGTTTGAGGATGGATCAAGTGCTTTCTCCATTGGTCCGACATGAGATAACTTTCACCCAACTTTCTCTGTTTCCTTGTACTCTAGCGAAACCTAAATTGGATAAAGTATCATCTCAAATCAGGGGTATCTCTATCGTGTAATGGAAAGTCAAATCAAAATTGTTATACAACCAGCCATTAGATATTTAGAAGCCTTATTATCTGGAAGAGGAGGGCAATGGTTATTCAATAGACTATGGATGGTTACGTAATCCAGTTAGCGTCCAAAGACGACCCCTATAACTAGACAAGTATCCTATTATGGCGTGTATTCCATTTTTGATATCACGATGGAAGCTGTAAGATACATAACAATTTGATCCTTATGTTTACCTCTGCACGCTTGTGTACACAAAACCACAAGAATTTATTCCTCCTCCACATTTCTCTATTTACTTAATGGCTTTATTTTGTGTTTCATAACAAGAGGGAGACAAAGATTATCTGGAATCTGGGCAAGTTTGTTGCTTTCTGGTAATTGCATAACTCAGGTAACCTCATCATCTGGTTGGGGAAGTTGGTAAAAATTCAGCTCTGACATCAGTTACTGACGTGTACACCTGCATACCGTGGAATATAATACATACGTATACGGACAGTATTGATTCACCTTATGAAACCAGGTGGAAACGTGATGATAGCGAATTTATACACGGCATTCTACCATAAATAGTGGCTATTTCTAAAATAATGTGTTCTATAGTTGTATAGTTGTCTTGTGTAACGTTGAATACATGTAAATTGCAGTCTTATCACAAAGCGAAACATATAATTCAATCGGGATTGTGAAAAAACACGCTAAAAAACAAAATGCCAATCCTCCCAGACACTTTTCCACCATTTCTCACTCGTCCCTTTGAAATAATCTAAATATAGTAATTGCTTCCATAATCAGATTGTCGTTTCACCAGCAAAGTTAGTTTTTCCCTGGCTAAAAATAAGTCGGGATTGTGCGTCTAACAAAATGCTTTCCAAACTTTCTGTCTCCTCCGCTCGTACACATTTTCACATTTTTTTTCTTTTATATGTAAATCTGAATTTCATTTTCGTCCAAAATAATTACACGTTCAGAAATAACTATCGTTCATCCACCCAGCAAAATGAGTCACTCCTTTCAAGTCAGGCCCACACAGAATGGAACATATTATTTAATATCTCTCTCTTCCATACGTCGTGTTTTTTATGCCTCCAGCCCTTTGTTAGTTAACAAGTTTCACTTCCTCGACATATGGCTAGCAATTTATTACAATGTTTCTTTCTCTTTTTTTAATTTCGGGTAAAAAATGAGACCCCGTTTTTGAAAGTATTGCCATCAATTTAAATTGTAGCTTGAAGCCATATACTTACAAATAACATGGCATGACACATTTTACTTTCACTTTGCAAACAGCAAACAGTTTCTCTTTGAATGGCGGAAATTGTTGTAATTTTCCATTTGCAATGTCTACCCAACTTTCATCTCCTCGCTTTTACTACGTGAGACAGGAAGTTGTTCAGTTCGGGTTGGTTTACTCGTTCAACAAATCGACAACTAATAGCCTCAGGTTGTAGGTGTCGACGTGGTGTTTGAAGCTGTAAAGTAGTTTTACCCCTCTAATGTAATGATAATACTGTGAATTGTTTCGTCCAGCTGGCATAACATGACATGACGGGGTTGCAATGTGACCATGATATGTTCCCCTGCCACGCACGGGGACACGTTTAACCTTGCATTTCACTTAGGATTAGTGCAAACGCAATTAGACCGACATTAGAGGCAAAGTTTGGTTGCTTTTTCCCATTATTTGGGCACGGTGTTGATGATATTCTACCAATAAACGGGTCTCTCCTCTACTTATTTATCTTACCGTCAGACCCAAATCGACTAAAGTAACAAGATCAACCGACACAATAATGGTGATTACATGTAACAGAGCTGGGTGCCATCCTCACTTAAAATTTTCCACAAACTAACTGGATTAACTCGATCTACTTCCCACCTACTTAATCTCGGTGAAATGGAGGCATAAAACGTCACAGGTTCCAATTGGAAAGGAAACGATAAGCGAAAAACTAATTTCGTGACAAGGTTAAGCAAGCTGTGTGACATTTCAATTTGGCAGCTTTCACTTTTTCCTTCGGTGCGTGGGTGGCGAAAGTAATATTGTGTGCAGATTATGTATCTGTCTTGGCAGGAAGAAAGTATGGTCATGGTTCTGGTTGGGGACAGACTATAGCAAATAAAGAAACTTGTCAAACAAGGGCACACACTCAGTCATCGCCAACTACATAAATAAGTGTGTTGAGTGAATTCTGGATTAGTTTTCCCTTTGTACAACAGCATCTACAAAGGTACATGTACATACATAAGTGGAATTGTGTATTCAATTAAAGGGTGAAACAACATGCTATTCTATTTCTCTCATGCCCTCGAGGATTCCTCTCGACGAAGTTCCTTCTTTTCTTTTTTATTTCAATTAGTAGCTCAAACCTGGCACATACATATTTATTTCGCTGTTACTGTTACGTCGCAGTTAAGCATTGTTACAAGTTGCGAGTTCATGCATGCAATCATAGAAAGAGGGACGAATTTCTTTGTTCCCTCAGTTAAACAAAATCAGTTCCAGGTGAATACATTCTGTTAGTTAAGAACAATGAATTTGTGTATATTCAGTCGTTATTAGGACAAGGATTCGCATGAAGGGGTTGGAATTGTGGAAATGAAAGAATTCAAATTATTTCGCCCCACTTCGCGAAAGAAGGTATTTATTTAGCTCGACGTATTTCTTTGAATTTTGATTTTATTATAGAACAGTTCCCAGTTTCCGTCGTCGTCGTCAGGAATAATGATATTGTATTCCAGGTATTTGGGAGGGGAGATATGAAGTCGTTAAATTAAAACTTGATGCAAATTCAGCTCTTATTACTCGTATATTCCCCCGTGGGAATGGAATCTGGGGATTTCTGACGTCCCATTTTATTCAGATTTATTCCTACTTGGTGAAATTCAAATTTGTCACTGTTTAATTCAAAGAGATGATATTCTTCTACACACGAAAATCCACCACCTGCCAGCACACTTCCTTGTGCCATTTAATCCAATTTGACATTTCCAGAAATACTCTGTAACCGCGATTAAACATTGGATTTTGGATCGTCAACTATCTGTATTTCTAGAAATAACAAATTAATAAATACCTTTGTCCTTGTGGTAGTGGTGAGAATAGTTTTGGAATTTAGGTTAAATTCCGCAAATTCTAGGACTGATCCGATTTCCCAATATGAGACTTTGAAGAATGGATTGAACTCCTACCTACATTTCATTTCATTCAGTTTTTCCTCAGTCAGTATATATTAATATTTTCAACTCCCATGATAATAATATACCCCGGATTTATGTACCAGTATACACTTTGACTAATGAACTTTCCTCCAGCTCAGTCCTTCTTTATCGCGTATTAATCCATGATCCTCCTCCACTTGCTTCCATTCATCTCTCTGGAACCAAGTATGGATTATTTCTTACACCGACCGACCGTAACACAGTTTCCAGTCGTTACGGAAAACAAGCAGGGGAGAAGAAAGTTGAAATGTACTTTCACCACTTTCACTCACCGGCCAGCTACCGTCGACTATTGACGTCACAAAAATACGAATATGGCAAAATTCATTCACGAAAAGTTGGATGATGATGTAAAAAAAACTTGTTCGCCTATAAACTTGACCTTGTCCTTTTCTCATTCATGCATTTAAAATTTCCATACTGAATCCTGTTTTAGCCCCAGTTTCAGCCAGGAATAAAAAAGAAAGTTCTTTTCAGAATTTATTTTATAGTCTTCTCTTCTCCTTGTTTTCTCCTCGGTCCTTTTATCGCTTACGTAATCCTCTCTCGCTCTTTGAATTTTATTCGGGATGACAAGATTTGGACAAAAATTTTGTCCCAAACAAAACTCTTGCTCCAGGCTGGGTTACTTGTTAGTCATTCCTTATTAGATTTTCGGGATGAAACGTATCTCGAATAATTTGTGAATAGTAGATCAAACGTCGTGTCTACTTTATTCCCCTATTTTCGGCTGTAATTCAATTACAGGGCGTATTCAAAATGCCTCATTATTATAAAAGCGGTGATCTCATTCTAAGATATATTATTTATGAAAATAATATCAAAAACACTCAATAAAAAATGAAACACTATGATTTATACGTTCCCAACTTTTTTTTATAAATGACAAACAATTTTGAAATATTTCTCCATTTTTTACACATGAGCTGCTTTCCCCGAAAAAAACATTTCAGATTTCATTACTGCTCGAATGAACAACAACGAACGAACCACCGTGAGAGGGGAAAAGTCATGGTGCAATTTTTCTTGTCATGTGCACAGTATGTGGTTGGGTTAAACTTATTAAATGCAGACAGAATCTAAAAACTGTATCGCAATGAAGTATTTAGCTAGAAAGAACACAGAGTTGCACTCGCTCTCTCTCCTCACCTAGCACGCAGGGCACATGCAATAATAACAGAGAAGCGATATAAATATATGTTGCAGCCGAATTTTGTGTGTACGGATATGTGTAATCAGAAAGAAAAAGCTGATTTGGTTTTCTCTTGGTTGGGGAGAATGGGATGCGATTTTGTGAGAAGCGGATCGATGGAGAAAGTCCTTGGCAAAGTACCATTTCATTCGGTCGGGGTGGTGGTGAAAGTCCTTGGGTGGGACTTCTCTTCCTCACCATGGGTTGGCCCTTATACATGCAAGCGTATATCTCGCCGACGTCTATTACACCCTCGGCCCTGGGAAGGTTATGGTTCAGCAGTTATTACCAACATGTGAATGCCATCTCCGACTGCAATGCGATAATCTTCCCCTCCCACCTACACACAGAAAGAGAGACACATTTTCGAGTGAAATTTAAATGCAGGAATTTCACCAGAAATGTATGCATGAAGAATACGTACACAAATTCCGCAAATCCTTGAATGGAAATGAACTCGACAGTAATGAAAGATTATTGCGTTCTCAAGCTTTTGGGGAAAAATGTTGAGACTTGTTCCATCTGAGACGGAAGGATATTGCTGAATTGCTCTCTTTCTCAAATATTCCATTCAGTTGGGTGGGATCCTACACTGAATTAAATCGGGAATGAAATGAGAGGATTATTGCGTGGAATTTATTCCCGATCACTTTTTATCTACGAGGAGAGATGGGAATGGATGGTATTCAGTTAGGCATGCAGCCGTTTGTTGGGTGGCCATGAAACTTTCCTCTCGTGTAGTTTGACTTGCATGGAAATTTATTTTATAGAAATGTGCTCATCATGATAACAGTTTAGCTTTAATACTAGACGCTAGTTTTGCAGCGTGAAATTGGTAGGTGGGTAAAGTACAGGGTGTAATCATCATCTCGCTACAGAATTAATTGCCCTGAGCTCTTGTTGTTGTTTACAGGAATCATTTTACAATAACATTTCCCATCCAGATTCGAGATCTGTTTTTGAGTGCAGACAGCAATTTGTAAAACTGCATTGGTTAGCTTGCCTACTATTTTAAACTCTTCCTCCAACCACTCAAATGGGCCTTGTAACGATCCAGCAGACAGATTAAAGTGGAAGAAATAGCAGTAGTAAAATAAAATCGGGAGCTTTCCATCCAACGTCAATCATTAAAATTCTGCGGCAAGGTTAACCGTTCCGAAATCAAAATGAAACGAGAATTGGGAAACCTTGGCATTGGCTTTGTCTCCAAGTGCTTTTTATTACGGAGAAGATTCGACCCTGAATTCATTTCATGGCTGTGACGAAAACCAAGCCAATCTCGAGGAGGAGATGGTATATACGCGACGATGATAAATGTGATGACGGTGTGGGCATGAAAAACGATATAATACAAGATAACTACCGGTGGTGGTTGGTGGTGGGTGTGTGGGCATTGATTTAAAGAACGGATATACGATAAACATGTATGTATTATATTACCGGGTGCCCTACTGCTAGTTGTGATTTCGCATAACCGGAGGACAGCGGTGATGCGGGTTCCGGAAACTGGAAGCTCCATATAAGAAGGCGTATTCATATCGTCCAAAATTGTAATTCTCACCCGTACCGCTTTTTGCCCTGCCGGATTATTAGCCGACCCAATATATGTACTAACCACAGTCAATAAGCAAAAAATAATGGTCCCATCCCTCCTCACTAAAAAACGTACCATTTTTTCCATATGTATAACTAACTATACATACATATCCCGGCGCAACAGGAAATGTGATCCACCGCAATCGAACGGTCTCAAATTATGCTAAATTTATGCGTATTCAATGCATAAATATGTCAATAATTGTGTACATGTCACATCTCACAACAATTAAGAATCCTGCTACGTATGTATCGATCCATGCCTAATTTTGTCTTTTTTTTTGCTTTCTAGATTATTAACAAACGTGTTCCTGCCTAGAATACTATATCCGGTCCGGCATCAGTCTACTCCACGTGAGGGAAGGAATATCATTCCTTTCGGACAGTTGTATCCACGTGACGTCTTAATTCTTGTTTGCATCTCATCTCTTCGCTGGTCGAGGAGTGGAGGCAAGCAACCGAGTAAATTGAGCCCTTTTAAGTATCCTTGACCAGGATTACAGACGTCAAAACGACCCTCCCAAAGCTCTCCCCTCCGACCCCACCCTCCACCATTCTTTCCATAAAAAGGTATACAAATTTTACAATTCCAAAATTATTTTTGAATTATTTCAATTAAAAATTTGCTCAAAATTATGTTTGTCTCATTTTTTTCCTGAAAAGAATGCCGGAACAGAGCAACGACTACAGGGTGGTGGTCTTTGGCGCTGGGGGTGTTGGGAAGTCATCTCTCGTCCTCCGCTTCGTCAAAGGCACCTTCCGAGACGCCTACATCCCCACCATCGAGGACACTTACAGACAGGTAAGGGCACAAAGGCCACAGTTTTATAAATTTAGCCAGACGAAAATAAACAAATTCCATGTAGAGCTTCCAAGTGAGGGGAGAAAGTTAAAGTTAAAGTGAAAGTTTTGATTCTTTGCCTAAATATTTTACCATATTTGTAACAGCAGCCAGAGACAAACTAGCCAAACAAACTTTTGTTGAAGTTTCTTCGTCTGCTGTTGCTGTTCACTTAGCACGTCTAAATCTAAAACTAAATAAAACAGGGAGAAAGTTCAGAGTTGAAGTGGACGCGATTCTTCTCAAATGCGATACGAATCATTAGTTTGAGAAAGATTCGTCTCTTTTGGACCAACAACAAAAGCGTGTTTCGAGCTGGGATGCTTTTGTTGAAGCCTTTTCAGTCAGTAATGCTTTTTCGGGCAATATTTCACTTTCACGACATAATCTTCCCCTGGCAGTGGCAGAGGACAAGTCTCTAAATAAAATAGCAGTTTCGAAAACGAAAACTTGTTGTGGAGAAAACTTTATCGAAATTGAATCCCCAACATGTAATGAGATTGTCAAGAGGGGAATAAGGGGAATAATTTTGATAAGAGCTACACTCTGAGCAATTTGCGTTTTTTTGTATAAATGACAAAAATAGAATTTTATTTTTTTATTAGAAGATATCAAGTATATTCTTAGAAATGTGATCCTCGGATTTACTGATTGTTTCAGCCTTTTGTTTTTTTTCGCTCTGTTATTATCACAGGAAATTCTATTCTATCCTCGCAGAAAAAAACAGAAGTGAGATATGAAGTCTTGATCATCCATTGTCATCCTGTCATCATTATGATGAATCATACGCAGTATCCAAGATCTGAACTGTGCACGTAGGAGAAAGTTTTAGGAATATGAGATTTACGTCAATCCTTCATACTTTCACTAAGATGGTGTAGTCACTAACAAACATATGCTAGAAAAACTAATAGGCAAGAAATATAAATAACCTCCAGCAATATCTACGTCTTAAATTATGTGTAAAAGTTTACATAGAATTATTCCAAATGAACATCTCCCACCAGGCGTGGGATTCAGTTTACTTAATCATTTACAATCGTATCATGTTACTTCACAAGATTCAAAAAAGATGTACATAGATAATTATTTCCCAAAATTTTGTACCACCAAGTTTACACAATTTATATAAGATGATTTGTAAAGTTGCGTAAAGTAATTTAAATGAATTTACATATTGCGTAATAATAACATAATACACGATTAACTTTCTTTTCGCAGGTGATAAGCTGCAACAAGAACGTGTGCACACTCCAAATAACAGATACGACGGGTTCACATCAGTTCCCTGCAATGCAGAGGCTTTCCATAACTAAAGGTGGGTAAACGAAAAAAAATAACACTTTATTCACCTCAAATGCCGTTGTATAGCGACGACCCACTCGTATTTCATGCACTATTTTATGACCATATACCCGTGTGCATGCTTGAATCGTCCCTTTATAAACATAACCTTCCCCATTTTTTTATGCTAGAAGAGGCAAACTAAAAAAGTGAAGTAAAAATCCATACTGAAGATAAAGTGAGAATGCATAGTTGCTTGCACGGCGCTTATCTCGCATCTACTTTCTCCCTAGTTTTGTTACACATAGACAGATGAGGATTTAGGGTTGCTAAACCCGTGGTTTCGTATGTAACTTTGAAAACAGCTCACAATACAAATTCTCATTTTACGAGTGGAAAAAATATCACGTAAAAAATCCAAGAATTTAAGAACCCTAGGTCATAGATATGTGTATACATACGCCACTATTTTTCACATTTTGGATGAGAGTGCCAGGCCAAATTTTGGCCAAAATAATAATAATGGGAGGAGAAAGCTTTCCCTCGCATGGGGAAGATTGGCTTTGTTTGCCTCATTTTTCCCACTAATCCGTCATAAATGATTGATTACTTGTTAAAAACATAATCTGTGAGACGGGCATGTACAATAACAAGCCTGGGTATTTTTCTATGTACCTTTTCTACATATTTTATCCATACTTTCACCATCGCATCTTTGAAGTATATATTTTTCCTTCTCTCTCGCTCCATCCATCCACTTTTTTTTATTCACTTTCACTCAAGTAAAAAGATAAAGCATTGTGCTTCGGATACTTAATTTAAATTTCTGAACAGGCCATGCCTTCATCCTCGTCTACTCCGTCACATCGCGTCAGAGCCTCGAAGAGCTGAAGCCCATTTGGGAGATGATTCTGTAAGTAAATGAGTGAATAGAATGCAGATTTAATTTAAAAATCGCGACTTGAATGAATTCTTTTATTACTTGAATGGTTGAATGTGTGTGTGTGCAGGTCCATCAAGGGAGAGTTGAAGGATGTGCCCATTATTCTAGTCGGAAACAAGTGTGACGAGAACGAGAATCGAGAACTGACACAGGTTCGTACTTTAAAAGAGTCCGTTTCATTTTAAAATTGAAAGGGAATAGCAATTTGTATTCGTCATCATAAATTTCAAAGAAAATACGACGCATTTCGGTCAATATTTGGTCACTCTGTCGGATATCCAATCTTCCAGCACCTTTTTCCTCTACCCAGAACGTCTCCTTATACATAAGTCAACTAGGGGATGTTCAGCTTTGTTCATGACGAAGGCCAATGTTTTGTCAACATTCTTGACACGCAAAACATTGTGGTTTTCGTTTCATACGGTGAAATCTAGACAGAGAAAGAAGCAACAGGGTACGTAGGTAAACATTCTCGACATAAAAGATAAAAGGACGGTTGAGTCGTTCGTTATTGGTTTGCTTCTGATGTCAACCTCAATGTCGAAACCTCACTCCAAATCCAATGCATTTGTACCATTACAGAGGGTGTCCGCAGTTTATATGAACAGTATGAATTATCTTATAACTTCTGAACACGATGACTGTGAATTACTTTAGCGATCTCAATGTGTTCTCCATTCTTCCTAGCAACAAGTCTGAGTCTTGGTTTCCAACTTCCAAACACATTTTGACACGTTTCAGGGGAGAAAAGATCCCATTCTTGATTTAGAACTTTCCAAAGCCCAACCAAAGTTCATGACTTCCACTTGAAAATGCTTTGTTTCAGGCATCCAAACCCGAAAAAATCCATCTGACCCGTGTCAGATTACTGAATATGGACCTCGGAATAAGATGTCGAGGTCATTCCGGTTCTTTCTTATAAATCTTGGGCGTAATACTGAGTTAACCAAGCAGTATGTGAAGATGCCGCATCGTTATGGATGCAAACTTTATAAAGCTCCTCAAATTGCTTCGTTCGAATTTCGACCTCCAAAAACGTATGTAAAGCACTCTCCATGAAGTGCTTGGAGTTAATTTTTGCATTAGACCCAACAGGTATCAATTCTAGCACTCCATGGCCCGTCATTGCACCAACCACCAGAAATCAGTCAGACAGCTTTTCCTTCTTTTCAGACCCATAGTTTGAAACCTGCTTCTGGTCGTTTCTGAAGCGAATTATTTTTATCCTGTTATAGTTTTGAAGGTAGCAGAGTGCCCCGGTCAATGTGACGACAAATCCGGAGTTTGTACTTCCAACATGACCTTCAAGCAGCCTTCAACTGCTAGGTTTTTGTTTACAACATTGGATAATTTTAGTGTTCCGAATTTCGCCTTCCTAAGGACTCATTTTTCAAAGTTGTGATTTATAACACGATTAACGTGTTCAAGAGGCATCTGGGATTGTGTTGTGACCTTTGTTTGGTCGGAGGATTCTCATTGAGAGGGAGGCAGTCATTTTGCTTGAGGGTGAGAGAATTCGTCGTTTTGAAGGGTATGCATTTTTAAATGTACGTTGGTCGGATTTAACTAATTACCATCGTTTTCTTGCAAAATTGATGAAGGGATATATGGGGGACACGATAAGATGGGTTTCAGATTTTTGGATAATCGTTTGGGCACTTTCCGCGGCCAAATTAGCTTCGGAAACCGCTTTTACGCCTTCCCCCACTTCGGGGTCACGTTTTGGGGCCAGCTTTGCAGATAGAAATTTGAAACTTTGCACAGCTGTAGTCATGACCTTCGAGTCCGTGCTTGCCAAATTTGGCGCCAATTGGATCATCCGTTCGCAAGTTACCCGTGTAAATCTAGTGTTCATATAATCTACGGACATCCTGTATGTACATCATCGGAATCCAGCAGGCTTGTTGGAAAATAAGCAAAAGCAAATAAGCAACATGACAAGTTCAAATACCGCATCGCAACACGTAGCAAGAAAGTAGAGACGAATTGACAAGGTCGCCGAGAAGAAATTGGGAAGCAAATACAAACAAGAACAAATGGTTCGTACCATGAAAACTATCGTAGATAAACCAAATTAGCGGTAGTAGCTCGAAAAAAAAAATTGTTGCTTTTAACTGAGAGAAAGTTATGGGATGATTCTGTATCATTTTCCCCAATTTCTAAAAGACAACCTTTCTCCCAGATTTTTTGAGTGACACGGATATCACACGACCCGATACTCGATAGACAAGTAACCTCTCTCGTGGGTCTAAAAAAGTTGAAATGCGTCCCTCCAACATCACTACTTTCTCCTCTCTCAAGTAAAATTTAATCAATATAGATGACTTTGGAAAGTAAAGTTTCCTGATCCTGCGAATCAATCAATCTTGTTCTCACCATGAAGCAAAGGTCCCTGACACACTGATAAATAAATTATATGACGGAGACGGAAATCTCCCGAAGCAACCTTGGTTGTTGTGATTTGATTTAATACCAGCAATCATGGTCTTCTCTCCAGTAAAAGAAAGTAAGGCCGACCAAGCCGCATATGAGGCTAATGGGGGAGATAGATCCACTAAAATGTGATGTTTATCAACAGCAGCAGCTACTTTTTTGTGTGTAGCAAGATCGCAAAGTTCAAAGAAAGTTGGGAAGGACGACAAAGTGCTCGGGTGGCGTTTATGTGTGAGAGAGGAGAAGAGTTCGTACATATGTGCACACTCCAACTTTACGAGCAAAAACTTTCCTTCAGACTAAACTGTGAAGTTGAAATGGTCCCTTATGAATCATACATTGTTTCAAGCCAAGAGCTAAATAGCGAGCGCAACAACAAAGTCATAAAGTCAAACTTGGAGAAAGTGGTGGAGGGATTTTGGTGAAAGAGAAACCCATCCAGGTACATATTGTTTTACTTGGTTTTCGGGGAGTTTGTATCACCAAGATGGTTAAAGTTGTATGTTATCTGAGACGAAAAGTTGGTCATTAACTAAATAAATAACTGGGTATGGATGGAACTGGATAAAGTATAATAAAAATAAGAGGTATAAGGGTTTGGCTGAAGTAAAAATGGCAGGAATGTTTCCACAGCTGTGTTTGTCACGTATTTTGAGAAGCCATGCTATTTTTAACGTGTTTCCTGGAAAGTGAAAACTTTCAGATAAATCATATCACAGAAAGAAATCAAAGCATAGATTGTTATACTTCATTTAACAGATATTGGTATATATTTTCAAACTTTGCATTGTGAAACAATTTCCTTTTCCTTTATGCACATTATAACACGTATCGGTTTATTTGGGACGCACAACAATCACCAAATTGTTTTGAAAGTGTCTGGTTTCTCAAGTTTGTGGTTGTTGGTTGTAATTTCAAGTGGATTCCTTCTGCATGCATTCACTTGACTTGTTAATTCACAACTGTATGCTGCATGTATTCATGACATCAATGAAATGACTCCTCTGGTATTTCGATTACGATTTCCCATACGTACTGCTAGCTAAACTCAATCAAATAAATACATAATTCATGTCCCAGAAAACTAATTGAATTGCATTGTATCCAAAATAATGCAGAAAGCTAAATAACGTATTTGCATTATTCCTTCGTCCTTGAATTAGTCAAGCCGAATTAATAAATGGATTCCAAGATCACAATGCAATTATAATTTTAATCCAAAATCATTGAAAAGTTTCAAGATCATCCAAACCACTAAAACAAAACCAGGAAATGCACTAAAACTATCCAACCAATCGTCCCTCCGACCAAGACCGAGACCCTGAACTACATTTGTAACAAGATAATAAAATTTAGGCCACGGATCCTGTCGCTTATTCTGTCTGGTCCATCTAGATACACTTTAATAAAATACATTCCATGCATCACGGAACATATCGAGCTGTCGGGCTCTCTACTAGCAAACGCACTGCAACATAAAACAAAGATAACACACTAAACAAAACACACCAAAAGTAATGGAAGGTTGCTTTCATGGAGTGAAAGCCCACAGCAACTTAATACTTATTTACTCCTCTCTCTCTCCCAGTAATCGTTGGAGGAATGTCATGAATGAAACTGGAATGGCGACATTTTTGGCAAACGTCCAACTGCGAGGTACACATATACGTATGAAGCAGCCGAAATTTCAAGGTTGCGAAGCAAAAAATTGTTTTCTCCATTCCGGCGATGCATCATTCTCACATGGCCGGATGCCTTTCTTTTGCTGGGCAAAAAATCATGTTGCCCTTTACGATTGATTATTTGCCAAATAATCAGTCTAGCATGTCCACCTACGGAATCACCACTTATCAACTATCTACTATATAGCACAGCTATTAGTGAGTTAGTATTTCTGACTTTCTCTGATCATTGTGTAAATACATACACCCACAATTAGTTCACCATACACATTTTTCTCCCACCCAAGTCTGCAATTTTAATGGAATATTTTATTTCTCTCTCTCTCTCTCAATTGAATGCTTTTGGTTATATGAGAGCAAACACAACAGTCTTGGCGAAATCCGAGTGGGAGTGAATAAAGGGAGGACACGGCTGAATAAATAATTTATTCGAGTAGTAGCGAAAGGAAAACAGAGAAAGAGAGGCTACAATATGCAAATCAGATTGACATTCGTGACATTTTGTCAATTTGTTATTGACATTACACAACAAAAGTAAACCACTTGCATATCAGTCAAATTTGAGGCAATGTTATACTCCATCATGTTTCGCTACTTTCACTCGATTTTCGAAGTAACTAGAAATAACCAGATTTGCATTTAATACGTCGCCAAAATTTTGTTATTTTGTCACTTGTGTCAAGTAGGATCTTAAAACATTATTCTTCCCCTCTCATATTCGATTGATTTGACATTTACATTCTCAATTTAACTGCCACTCTTCATATATTTATTCATGACTAGAGAACCGCTTTGATCACAATGAACAAAGTATCTCCCCACAGTTTTCATTCCATTTCCACGTACTTCAACCCTGACCTTTTACATACTTTCTTTCTGGAAACTGTTATTTTACATAAGAACATTACACAACGACAATGAAATGCATCAATATTAACACTACACAAACTTTCTCTCGACAAATATTTGTATTTACAAACCTACTTCATCTTTCTCCGTCTCGATCCTATTTGTTTCTGCCTGATGCAATTTGTTTAGGCGAACACAGAGTTCTGCAGGCTTTATACATGGTGTCGTATCAAATCTGTGTCGAAATAAATAAATATTGGTTTGCACTTGCTTTCACCCACTTCCACCCAACAAAACCTTGGTAAAACAAGAATTAACCCACTTCTTGCATAAGACGTTGTTGTTGTGCAACAACAGCAGCGAGAAAACCACTTCAACATGATTAAATATCTTGAACCCATCCTTCATTTGCAATTTCTTATCTCCGTCTTCTTGTCCGAAATGTGAAAAGAGCAGCAAAACAGAACAACAACCAAATTAAATTCCTCTCTTATTAGTCCATAGTGGCCAAACGACGCATAAAAACTTTCACCCGACCGAATATACCAAAATGCCTAAGTATCAGCAGCAACAAAAAGCAATTAGCTGATTTTAATATTTTACATGGCCTCAATAACAAATTATTATGAGCAAGATGTTGTTGCTCAAGAAGAAAAACATTTAATCAACCTTAATCAACGTCTCTCTTTCATTGTTTGTCATTACAGCAAGACGGTGAAGCCCAGGCGCGTCGTTGGGTTTGCAACTTTATCGAAACATCCGCAAAAACCAACCACAACGTAAGCGAGCTCTTCCAAGAATTGTTAACTCTCGAGAAGAATAGGAACATGAGTTTACAACTGGATTCGAAAGGATCGTCGCGATCATCCACCAAAAAAGTCAAGGAGAAATGTGTCGTGGTGTGATTTTGTCGCCGGTTATCCAACCCCTTCATCGACACCACGACCACGGTTGCGACAAACACCACCATTTTAATATCTGTCCTAAGTACGGCTACCTAAACAAGCGGCGGCCTATCTTTTGGCACGGCGTGGCGTGGTTTGGTTGGTTAATTGGTCATTTAAAACTAGATAATAGCGGAATTAGTTAGAAACCATAAAACTTTTTTAATTACCCGGCCCCAGTGTTCTCTTGCTGTTTGTTACGTAATTCAGAATCTAATTGTGTCAACGTTTCGTAATCGCTGACAGACTTTCGTAATTTAGACTTAACCCGTAAACATTACTCCAGTATAATGTCGTCCGATATTTTACATCTTCTTAATTACACACAGATAGCCTGGAGAAAGTAGAAATATTTGCTAATTTTTGTCAACCATTATTATTAAGTCCATACATATTACTCAATTTACTAAATATATACTCTTGAAATGAAATGTTCAACCTAAACCTATTAAGCAGAAATGTTGTTAAAGTTTGCTAGAAGTAGAATGTTTATCGACATAAAAGTTATTAGAGTAGGTAGGATTGCAATTAAGTTGAAAATTATTTTTAAATTTTATACCCACGTTTTAATCTCTCTGTTGTGCAATCAAGTTTTAATTTAAGTATGTATACATAGAACTTAATGGAAAATTTGGTTGTGTACGTAATAATCAGTTGCATCAGTAATTACTAATTCTAAGTATTGCTTATTTATTTACGTATGTATTTATTTATTAGAGTCGAAGAAAGTCTAATCTAACGAACCGAACAATGAGTCGCAAATCGTGTTCGTTAAGATTTAAATGAAGAAATGAAGTCAGTGAGAAATGTTGCAACGACTTGTACAATTTAACTTAATTACGATTAATTAAGGTTAAAAATTATCGATAAAAGTTTCATGTTGATGTTATTGCGCAATTTTATCCTCGTCTTATCCTACTGCTGTGACAAACTCTACTACATACATCTTAAGAAATACCCGACATAAAAAATATATCAAAACAGTGAATCTGAATTAATGATAAGCAAATATCTCGTAAACGTGCTACCTACTTAATTAATATCAGAGACAGAAAAAAATTGAGCGTACCTTGCAGTAGGAATCTCAAGAAAAATGAAATATTAAATCATCAGCAACTTATTTCCTGAGAATACATTTCAAAGCATTTTCACTATTATTTAAACTTTTAGAAATTCAATCAAAGACATTCATCAGAGAATTTAATGAAAGAAAAAATAATAATTTTGTCAAAACCTAACAAATCAAAAATTGAAAAAGCTGTTGTAACTTTAAGAAGAAATAATTGATAAGCGTTCAAAAATCATGAACCAAAAATATATACAACGAGTTACCTGATTTACATTTCAACTAATAAGGAGCAAAAACATTCCAAGTTTTTTTCCAATTATTATTACAGCATTCTGGAATTTCGCTTCAAATTTACAATTAATTAGCAAAAGCACGCAAAACTGCACAAATTCAACCCTTAAAGTCTCCTCTGCAATGTAATTGCGAACAAATTCAACTCATTTTCTGCATGCTTCAATACTTTTGATGCCATTGAATTCTATCCCATTTGCTGCAAAATACTGATAATTATTGCGACTGCACTAATTCTACAACAAATACATAGTTAGCATGAACACATTTATTAATCTTGTCACACTTTTTCATTTAATGTAATAAAAAGTACATCAGACTAATAAGTAAACACAAAACGTGAAACGAAACGAAAAGATGAGACGCAAAACATTCTCGTATAAATATTCTTCTTAATGAAACGAGATGAAAAATGGGATAAGATAAGAAGAAAAAGAGAAAGTAAAAGTATAAGAACTTTTTGGTCAAGTATAAATTAATTGTTCCAATTAAAAATAATGTTTCATACTTTTAAGCAGTTAAAAACATCATCAATTCATCACAAAATAAATCCAATACAAAACAACCGCATACATACACTTCACATGTAACTAATTGTATTGTATTGAATGGAATCTAATATGCAATAAATTTTGTTGGCTAATAAAGCACTGAGGTGAAATTTGCAATTATTTTAATTGGCATAATTTGCTTAATTATGGGTAAATTTGGTGGAGAAGTGAGGAGAAAGGGGAGAAAGTAAGTCAGGACAGAATCTCAATTTCCCCAATGTAGGAGCAGTGTGGGAAGTGGAACAGCACGTTTTGGGTTTTAGTTTCTCCGGCTGTCTGGATTAATTTGTTTTAGTTCCCTATAGTTTTTTTAAAGATAAGTCACTTATCGTGTTCTGTGCATGGACGAGCTGACATAATGGGGGAGGTTTGTAAATGTAAGTAGAAAACATTGTGGTGTTGGATAAGTTTAATTTTACATTGCATAATTTTACTTTGATTTCGATGGTTGACATTTGATTGTTACAGGACGATTGGATAAGCCCGACCTGTAATGTGATATGTGATAAGAATTTAACCATGATTCCTATCGAAAATAAGCTGGAGGAGATGACAGAATCGGCTAGAAAGCGCAATGAAAGAAAGTTGGCGAGAAAAAGGACAAAGATTATCAGTTTGGTGCAGAAAGATGCCGGACTTAATGTGACCGAGGTTCCGGCGAGGGTATGTGATATGCTATGAAATGAATAGATGATAAGAGCTTTAGCAATTTATTTATCTAGTGGCTAATTGTTTGGGGCTTTGGTCTTGCGAATGGAACTACAAAGAAAGATATCAAAGAAATGTTCAGAAATCCTGAAGAAATTCGATACTACAAGGATAAAGCGTATTGTTTTATGAGATATGTTACCACAGATGTGGCATCGAATGTGAAAGAGCTGTATGAAGAAGAGTTTTTCAAGCTAGCTTTACGAGACAAGAATCCAGTCAAGAGATTTATTGGATTTATTAATGATGGTATTTTGATTAAAAACACTGACAGTGGATTTGACGAACTAATTAAAACTAATTATGTAACTTGCTTTGTTTAGAGCCACCCCCAGAAGATTTGCAGTTGATAGCCAGCTTTTCAAGTTCTTGCCCCTCTGGTTTACGTATTATACCCGAATTCGTTACAAAAGAAGAAGAGGAATTGATTTTATCAAGAATTGACCCAAGTCAAAACGATGGCAATCATGAAAATAAATCGGAAACGGAACCTGAAACAATAACCAAACTATTGAAACATCGATGGGTTCGCCACTTTGGATACGAGTTTAGATATGGATCTAATGATATCAATTTCGAAAATCCATTAGCTGACAAAATTCCAAGTTATTTAAATTCTGTTATTGCAAAAATGGTGCAGAACGAGTTTGTATTTAAGGAGCCTCCTCAGCAGTTAACTGTCAACCAGTATCGGAGTGGTCAAGGTATACCAACTACTTATTGTTTTGTGAATTCATACTTAGCTATTCACCTGTTAATTATTCAGGAATTCCACCTCATGTCGATACTCACAGTTGTTTCGAAGGCCCAATCGTCTCTCTCAGCCTAGGATCTGAAATTGTGATGAATTTCCGGCGTGGAGATGAACTGTACTCGACAATTGTACCTCCTCGGTCTCTCCTCGTGATGGATGGTGATGTTCGGTATGTACTTACACAATAAACAACAATTTAGTATTTCATTCCAAAACTATGGTCTTTGATCTTTAAATACAACTTTGATCTCTCCAGGCACGGATGGACTCACGGAATTGCAAATAGAACATTTGACCTTGTTCCAAGCTGTGGAATCGATGTGATGCATAGAAAAACAAGAACGTCTTTCACATTTCGAAGACTACGAAAAAATCCAATCTGTTGTTGCTTGTAAGAAATAAGTTTATTTCTTTTTATGACGAGACAATTATTTATTTCTTTTTGCTGAACTTCAATATAGTAGTTGTCGATTGCTTACAGATTTCCAGAAATGTGTGACTCCCAGCAGGGAAAAATTAGTGAGGAAAACGCATCGAACTTAGAAGACCATCTTGTTCACAAAGTGTATGAAAATATCGCTCCACATTTTCATGAAACCAGACACACACCTTGGCCAAGAGTCAGAAACTTTATCGAAAGCATTACAGAAGAAGGTGCCGCGATATTGGATGTTGGTTGTGGAAATGGGAAATACTTTCATCTCAACAGTAAAGCCATTCAGGTATTTTATTTACCAACTCCATTTCGCGTGAATTATTTTGAGCTATTTATATAGAATGGTTTTTTGTAGATTGGAACCGATATGAGCACCGGACTTTTGAAAATCTGCAGAGATAGAAATTCGCAAGTTTTAAGGGCTAATGCTTTACAACTCCCCTTTCGAGACGAATGTTTTCATGCCGTGATATGCATAGCAGTTTTGCATCATGTTTCAACCAAGGTAGTATACTATCCGCGTGCGCATCACATCATTTCTAAATAATTTTGTAAACTCTTTAACATAACTCAATAACATAACTCCATAACAGGAACGCCGGCTCATTGCACTCGCCGAAATTATGCGAATTCTAATTCCTCATGGTCAAGCTTTAATCTACGTCTGGTCCAAGGATCAGCGCCATCAAGATGAAGAATCCGTCTATGCCAAACAATCCGCATCCTCAACAAAAAGCTTGGTTGACCCCTGTGATGCTAAATCTACCGAATTTTCATTCATCCATATCCACGAACGGCAGTCAGATTTCTCCCAAAATGACGTCCTCGTTCCATGGGTAAACGTTAAAGATGACAAGAATCCCGTCCATCATCGTTATTATCACGTTTTCGACAAGGGTGAACTGGAAGATCTGGTCTCCTTATTAGACCCACCCCCACAGATACTTGACTCTTATTATGACCAGGGAAATTGGGTAGTTAAAATTATGAAAGACAAAGTAAGTTGATAAATAAATGACAATTCCACATCATTTTCAAATTAAAAATTGTATTTGTCTTTATTCAGTCGTGCGTGAATAATAATATCATTTATTAACAGCGATTGGTTTTAACGTAGTCTTAAATCAAATATATAATCATACATTAATGGTTAACATATTTTGAAATAAACAACAATCCGATTTATAAACCCTCGACCAAATCCTTCTGACAAAAGTAATCCCCAATCAGGTAAATAAATAAGTTAAGTGCGTTCAAATATTCGCTAGCTTGGGAGTCAAGTTCTCCCCAATTTTTCTCCTCAAGTGACACCTCTTTCAAATCGTCTGACAATTTGTCAATTTCATCATTGTCGCCTTCACATAACAAAATTCCTGCGTGCTTTAATTTGGCACAATACTGACTACGAAGTGAGACCAGAGTTTTACAGATATTTCTAACGTCTCCCATCGTGCTTGGGTCCACGGGTTTGTCGATGCAAGCCAGAAGGGCGTACAACCATTCACCCTGACACTTGTTAGCAAATCCGAACCGAGTTATCCAATCGGCCTGGAAGTAGATGAGGTTCTCGATCTGGGGCTGGGTCAAGACGAGCATGAGACTCATTAAAGGCTGACATCCGTCGTTGTTGACGTGTTCCTCTGAAATCGGTAGTTTTTCTGGACTGGAAGAAGACGTGACATCACTGGTCGTGATACTGCGTGGACTTAGTGGGGTCTCGTTTGTACTGGCACTTTCTGGATCAGGAGGGGATGGGAGCGTGATGATGGAACCGGGTCGGCTAGTATGTTTTTTGAAGTCGGTAAAGTAATCTTCCACAATTTTATGGACGGAGAGATTGGAGGCTCCACCCTTTCTGGACTCGACGAGTTCTTCGAATTTGATTCCAAAGCAAAATTTTAGCCAGACGACTTTGTTTCCAATTTCGGGCTGCAAAATTAGATGATTGATTATGATTAATACAGATTTGATGGTACTGAGAATATCCCGTAAATTGATATTCAATTAAGTCTGCCATATTTTATCTTACTAGTTTAATGGAATCAGCTTTCAATCGTGTCACCCTTTTTTGCAACAATTCCCTCCACCGTTCCACTTTGCATCGCAGTAACGAAAATTCTCGTACGTTGGTATCTCTCCATTCCGTTGTCGGAGAAAAACTAGACATAAATTCCTTAGCCTCCAAATTACCATCGGCACATCCCTGTACAACAAACATAATCAAAATTATTAATATATGTATATGGAAAAAGTATGTAAACACAAATTTTTATATTTTCTATATACCTCTTTAAACTTTTCTACATAATTTGCACTGAGTTTGAGCCCCTTCTTCGTTTTGTTCTTAGCGATACTGCTCACTGCGACTTTCGGCGTGTTTCCTCTCTCGTTCATGACCATCATTAAGTATTGAGAGCCATTCACGGGGGCGGAAGTTCCATCAAAATTTTCCAACTCGGTTGGATCAATTCCGATAGCACGTCTCCCTAAAAACTCTTCGTCTGAAGAATCACTCTCCTCTTCAGATGTTGATGACGAAGATATATCCAATTTCTCCGTATTGTTTTCGAAACTGCTGCCCATCTGGTGCCTAGTACTGGGTTTATCGGTGTCTTCGACCTTTACTGTACTGTCAGCAGTAGTAGTCGTGGTGGTGGTAGTGGGGACTGTGCTGATGGGTTCTTGAAGACCTTGATTCGATTCGCCTTGATTTTTCGACTTTGGTTTTGCCTTGGATTTCCCTTTCTTCTTGTTCTTGCCAAGATTAGGAGGGTGAGCAGTTTTCTTTTTTGATGTAAACTCCAACTCGGAGTCGGACGAGTTGAGTTTTAGCATTTTTAAATCACTGCTTTTTTAACTATAGTTTATTTAGTTAACGGAAAAATTAATTAGCGTTGCAACTCGCACATTGCAGTGTTTTCTTATTTGTTGTTCCTGTCAACTCACTGTCACTCACTGTCAACTCGTTAAACCGTCTCACTTTGCCCAGCTGAATTTGAATTTCGCGGCTCTCAGCCATTCTTACTGTGTGCAGAATTCAACACTTTGCCGAGCAGCGTGGTCGATTTAGATTCATCAGCACGAGAAGGTAAGAAATTTTACAAATTTTAATTAATTTAGGATAATTTTGGTAGTTAAAAAATAATGAATTTAAATATTGTAAAACGTGTGTGTGATGCGACAAGTAAAAGTTTAGCGAAGTACTTTAGCTAAATTACGAAGGAATTAAATTTGTACAAAGGTTGACGTCTCGCTTTGAATTTATCATTCTTATTTTCAAATTGCAGGAATTAAGAGTAATTCTTGTAACCATATAATAAAATGGCTCTCCGACCTGCCCTCAAACCCCGCAGGGTGAAAAAGAAGACGAACAAGTTCATTCGTCATCAAAGTGACCGATATGTTAAAGTTAAGGTAAGCAGGCTGTGAAATTACAAAATATGTTAGGTTAAAATTTTTAACTTAAAAATCTGAAATATAGAATAAGAATAAACACCCAATTAATTTATATCACAGGACAACTGGAGAAAACCCAAGGGTATTGACAACAGAGTGAGGAGGCGCTTTAAGGGACAATACCTTATGCCTAATATTGGTTACGGTACTGCTAAAACCACCCGTCACATGCTTCCCACTGGATTCCTTAAAGTTTTGGTCAACAATGTTAAGGTGCCTTTAAATAGTTTTTTTTAGGAAAGACAAAATATAATTTGTAATGCTAAATTTAACTGGGTTGTTTCGTTCTGCTGCATAGGAATTGGAAATGTTGATGATGCAGAACAGAAAGTACTGCGCTGAAATCGCCCACGGAGTCTCCTCCAAGAAAAGGAAACTAATCGTCGAGCGAGCCCAAGAACTCTCTATTCGTATCACGAATGGAAACGCCAGACTTAGGAGTGAAGATAACGAGTAGATTTTATCTCGTTGTTGTAACTTTAATACTAATTTTTTTGAAATAAAGGGACGCACTCCTTTAACGGCAAAGAGTTGTTAAAATTGAATAATACATTTGTTCCTCAATTTTGGTACAAAAATTACACAATAGAATATTAGAACAAATCTGAGGTTCTAGGTTAGTTTATGTTACTTATTAGTTGGTCAATTGGAAGAGGCTGTTATCATCTAAAATAGTAACCTTGTCCTTTGAGATGGGAATTCTGAGTGGTACGGTAGCTATGCTTTGTGGGAAGCGACGAACAGCTTTTTTTGGGTTTTTCTTACTACGTTTTACCACCTGCAATTTCTTTGGTGGTGCCACCACAATTGTAGTACGTGCAGTTGTTGAAGCATGATTAGCATTTTTTGCTTAACTTGTTAGTGGTACTTGTAATGTTGGGTTGCATTGATTTCGGCTTGTCTGATTTAACAGCACCCTGCTTTCTCCCACTTTCACCCGTTACTACATGCCCATCATCACCAGTTCCTCCCTCTGAATTCTGAACTGGTTCCATCATCATTATCGATTTCTTAACTGTGTCACATATTTCCCGATGGTGGTTAATCGAAACTGGGAATTGCTCTTTGTTTCCGGTGTTTGACAGCTGCATAGCCTGATTAATACTACTTTCATCACAGCCTTTCTTGCCTAATCGACCAGAACCGACAACATACTCGATCGGACTAAGTATTTTGTTAATGGTGATGGATGGCTTTGCAAACTGAGGTAGTGGTGCTTTCAACGATCTACGAGATGATCCTCCTCCTTGTGATTGTAAAGGTTTTGGCCTTGATTGTTTCCGAGTTTCGTCCTTTGGGCGGAAGAAGGGTGTTTTCGCCAGTAGCTCTGTTATTCGTGGGTCCGTGTCCTCGTCATAGTAGCGAAGATTATCCTTCGGCCAAGGAATATCATCCAGGACGATGACATCTTCGCCTTTCATGAATTGTTGTGGTGCGTGAGAAAATATTTCTTTGACGGGAGCATTTACATTTCTTCGATAATTTAGTCCATCCAGAGATGCAATTGCAGAAGGACCGTACGCATGATGTACTGGTGGACTTGGAGTACCTTCGAGGTCATTGAAAGGTCGGGGCCGTCGTGAAGAATCGGGATTGATACCGATAAGTCCGTTTGAAAGGGGACGTTGATTCATAATGTGATGATTTTCTTGGAACTATTTAGGAAATAATTACATCATCAACATGCAAATCTGCAAATCTGCAAATTGACATGCAAATCTTGCACTTTTCATGCAAATCCTTTTGTACATAGTGGGGTCATAAGTTCTCGTGAATGCATTTCCGGTAATAAATCCCAAAGTATTAGAGCTATCTGTTCGAAATTTTTATGGATTAACAAGGTATTAATATTGTTTAGAAATCATAACTTCTTTGTCAAGATTTCGTCCACGGGCAATTAGACAAGACATAACTCGTGACGGCCACAGGTCGATCGTGGTACGCGCCAATTTTCGTGCCAAAAGTATTTCAGACTTTTCACCGTTGGCAAAAAATTTAATAGAAAAAAAGGCCAGATATTTGTTGTACAGAAGTCTGACATCCGTTTAAGTATGCGGAAGTCAATACGAAGTCATCACCTTGGTGTGAATGGGAGCAAGTTGGCTGGAGAAATGAAATCTCTGTTTTTTACCGCAAAGGGTACAAGTTGAAGCCAAGAATTATTTTCAGAGTGTCCTAGAGACAAACGTTAATAACCTGAACCCTGGACCCTCCGAAAATCGACATTGGACCTTTCAACAAGAATCTGCTCATGCGCAAGGTGCAAAATTGTCCAAAACTGGCTTCAGACGAATTTTCATGACTTTTTTTCATCCGTAGAACGGTGCTCAGTATCTGCAGACCTTAATCCCCTAAATTATGACTGGTGGTCAAAATTATAGGTACAAGTATGCTCTAAATTTCACCCAAGTGTGGAAGGGCTGAGGTCGCACTTACTGAGGATCTGGCGCTTTTCCCAGGAAATCCGTGCGTGCCGCGATCGAGCAGTTTTCGCCACGACTTATGTCTTGTGTACAAGCCCGTGGAGGAAATTGTGAAAACGAAGTTATGATTTCTAAACAAGATTAATACCTTGTTCATCCACAAAAATTTCTATCAGATAGCTCTAATACTTTGGCCTTTATCACCGGAAATGCATTCACGGGAACTTATGGTCGGACTATGTATACGCACATATATTTACTTCCCATGGGAATTCGGTATATTTTACGTACTATAATTTTGCATGCATTTAAGTAACGCACCTTATACACGGAATTGGAGCGATTTCTCAACCACGCAAGTTTGTCCTTGTAATCGTCAGATCCAAGCCAACTTACAATTTTCTCACTCAGTTTTTTCTTTTGCCCTGTTGAAATTCTTTAATAGATGAAACATAATTAAGTATTATGATAGTTAAGTTTGGAATATTTATATACACCATAAGTCCATAACACACACACACCTTCCATATGTAATTTGATACTTGTAATCCTGATGCCAAAGATCTGGATCGGGAAGAAATATTGAAGTTTGTGGACATCCGCGACACTTTACGCGTTCTGGAGGGACGTTATTTCTTCTGTTACAAATTAATCAATTAATTATCATGCTAAAATAACATAAATCTGAACTTATTATTATAGTTCCAGTCACCTAGTGGGAGGTCGACTACTCGTTGGTCGTAGGAGGTTCATGTTAATCAAGGGATAGCCCTCCTCACCCCACTCATGCAATTCACCATTTCTCAACGAAGTGTATTCATGCAAATCTGGCATTTCTTGAAAGTCACAACTTTTACTGTGTTTGACAGGACATGATAGAAATGGTCCGATATCTGTGAATAATTCTCTCTGGTGGCATCCGGTGTCATCATCACTCATCGCGTCACGACGACGACTTTCACCAGCAAAGCAACAATCCCCATTTAAATGTCCGTATTTTGGGACACGTTGCGAAGGATCTGCCCTGCAAATTAGCCTCTGAATTGCCTCGGTTTCCTGTAATTCCATCAATTTCCGGATGGTAGCAATAATGATGGGATTCTCTCTTAAAGCAGACACGGGTCTATTTTCAGGACAACTTTCACCACCCGCATTTTCATCATCATCACCACTTTCAGTATTGACACGATTTCCGGACGAGCTGTCGTTCTTCGTGTCTTCTTTAACGCTGCAACTGCTATCTGCAAAATGGGCAGCGGAGCTTCTTAATTGGTCGCTTGCATGAGTAAATCTGGAGGAGAAAGTCGTCCGGGGAGTTGAGTGTTGTGAGGTGCGTTTAGTGGACAACTGCTTCATCAGAGACATGCTATTATTCAACTGACTAAAGTCAATGAGGAGTTCTGGTTGTGCTTGCATGTCTGTTACACTAAATATATGGTTGACAATTGGGGTCAATTAGTGGACGTATTAATTACTAACTATATGAATGGTGTAAGTGATATATGCATATCACTTCGCTTTATTATGAAAATAAGATTTAATTATTGACACTTTAATTGTTGGCTGCTAATTCTCGTTGGTATTGTAATTTGATTGTAATGTTGACCATCCATGTGGTATGTCTGCAGGGTTGTTAAAGAGACAGTAACTTGATAAGTCAAGTTACTGTCTCTTTAACAACCCTGGTATGTCTGGATTCATATTGGATTCAGACAAAATTTGTAAAATTTTTGAACCGTTAGCAACAACGACTTATAAGTTTTAAAATGCATTCAAAGTTTTCAAAATTTGCAGAAAAATACACCTTATGTATTTGGTCAAACTATAAACAAATCCGGAAAAATTATAAACAATTTTGAAACTCAATGAAAAGAGAGCTATAAAATAATTTTACAGCTAGTTAAAGGAGTTAATTTAAGTACATACATCCCACTCATTTATGCATATTTTAAATATTCATCATTGATGATGATGCTCAGATATGCAAACCCATGGGCTTAATTAATACATAATTCTGTAAATGCTAAGGAGTAGAAGGTCACTACTTGTCGGGCCCCGATTTCGATCTCCTTTGGATATGTTGTAGTACTACATGAGTGTAGAAAAAGTGAAGGAGGGTTAGACTCCATGAGCCCATTTACGCCCGCCACACCCCCTCAAAGGCGCCCAAACCCCCAGAGTTGCAGCACTAAATCCATTGCCAAAAATCGAGTTTTGGTCAGATTTTCAAAAAAATTACATTTTTGTGATCCCAGATAGTTGCTCTATCATATCCAATAGCAAACTCAACTTTCTTGAAATTTTCAATATTTTCGAAGATTTTCTGACCAAGGGTTGAAAAAATTCGAAATTTTAAAAAAGTTGAGTTTGCTATTGGATATGATAGAGCAACTATCTGGAATCACAAAAATGTAAATTTTTTGAAAATCTGACCAAAACTCGATTTTTGGCGATGGATTTAGTGCGGCAACTCTGGGGGTTTGGGCGCCTTTGAGGGGGTGTGGCGGGCGTAAATGGGCTCATGGAGTCTAACCCTCCTTCACTTTTTCTACACTCATATAGTACTACAACATATCCAAAGGAGATCGAAATCGGGGCCCGACAAGTAGTGACCTTCTACTCCTAAGTTTACATTGGAAGTTAGTTATAATATATTAGATAAAATAATGCTTTCACTTTTGTTTGATTTTATTTGAATAATTTCAAAGCCGGACGCAATATTTTTATATGATGATTAATCTACTAATGAAGAAAATTAATATTAAAATATGATTAAAATTAACAATTGAAATTTTTTTGCCCTGAAATAATAATCAGTTTTAAATCATAAAACACAAAATATGCTCAAACAAGTTCTAATATTAAATACAAATTTACATTTGAGGAATTTAATTTTTAAATCATCCTCATTTTCATTCAGTCACTGTTATCCAGCCCATGGTAAGACGTTTCAAATTTTTCATTTCACTGGTCTCCCAATCATTAAGTTATACTACTTACAATTAGTGTCTGTCAACCGAGGCATTGAGGCAAATTTTTAAAGTCCGTCGCATAAATTTATAGAAACGAAATAGATCGCATATCTGCAAAAACCTACTCATATCACGACAGCCCAGCAGTAGCAGCAGAGAAATGAAATGATGCATAAAAATCATGAATTTCTTTCACACTCTTCATCACCACCATATCGGAGCGAAACAGGCATGAATTTCACTCAGAATGAAGAAAGGAGAGACCAAACCATGCATGAGAGCAAACCCGTATTTCATCTCCTCTCAGGAATACATAGTCAAGGAATCTCTCAAGTCGAGTGCTTCTCTGCTGGCACAACAAAGAACAGGGTGAGCAGCAGTGCATGGGAGAAAGCACGACCGACCGACCGGGCAGCAGAGTAAAAGTAGGGCAGGCACGAACTCAACCTCCGATAGACTCCGTCTGCTGCCCTGCTTCTAACTTCATATATGAACAAATCGTGCCAACTCCATCCAGCAAAATCTCTCTGCTTACCCACCTTGTCTCCAAGAGAGATTCGCAAAGAATTCGCAAACTGCCTCACCCCAATGGCACGAGATGGGAGTGGAGGTTACGAATTCTGCAATATCGTACAGTCTCCACTAACCCCCGATCGTCACGTTGCTTTTGCACGTAGGTACTTACTCTTACTCTTATTTTTGGGCGACGCCAGTTTTCGCAAAGAATTTATCCTCCAGAACAAAGTAACAAAATTTGGAACAAAAAATTTACCGAATTTTCACCTTAAATTTGTATCCACCCTTTGTATCCCTCTACTTTCTCCAACTTTCACTCGCTCAAATTCCATCATATTTCATCCCTTATAGTTCCATTTTCTAACATGAAACCAAATTTCATATAAATTCATGAGCTAAATGTACCCAGTTCACCAACATACGTACTAGACATCGACCATATGATTATGTTTGGGTGCATTTTTTGCTAACGCAATCCATCCACCACCAGCACGATTCTGTACTATTATGAAATGAAAGCAAGCCTCACCATCATCATCATCACAACAATATTGCCTTAATAGTGGTTGGTTAATGTGTCTGTCTGGGTCTGTCTGCACGTTTTGTGTGAAAGGGTTGAGAAATTGTGCTATTTCTAGCTGATGAATATTTTTTGCAAGTAGTGGTAGCAAAGGCCGAATCGAATCCCCCCCGAGTCAGAAGAGTGGGTCGTCGTCGTTAGTAGATTTGTGCTGGCTAAAAAGAACCAAGTTTATATTGCCAATGCATGTAGTAATTCTAACTCCACACCTTCTGGTCTGTCTGGTCTGGTCTGTGTCTGTGTGTTACAATATTATAATAGCAGCAGCAGAGAGCAAAGTAAAGCAAAAAAGTAAAAGACTTTTATATTACATGTATAAAGAGAACCAAGAAGAATCAAACCGTATCTTGTATCTGGCCCATTGTATTCTTCTTAAAACTTAAATTCTCTGTCTGCTGTTGTTGTGTGTGTATATGCTCTCTAATAAAAACTGAGCCTCCACTAAATGTAAAGTAAAATGTGATGTGGTTAATATTACTGGCTTGTTAAGAGACACAAATTCACCAAAGTCTTGGATTCTCCTTTCTTCTACCAGCATCATCATCTGCTGTGCAGACATAATATATAAAAATAAATAAACAAATAATTCCTTGTTGTTAAACAGACTGGAGGAGGAGAAAGTTATCAAAAAGTGTGAGAGATTCTTCCCTTCTGATAAACTGTTTCAAATTATTTTGAGGGGGCTGATGCTGGACATTTTTAAAAGTTACTTTCACATACAGACTTATAATAAATAGGTGAGAGTACAAGAGCGTGACGACGAGACTAGTCCAGTGGGTGGGGTCGTCGTCGTTGTGGGGGACAGTTTTTCAAACCTGATAAGCATTGCCCACGAGGAGAAAGAGAGAGAGAGGTACGAAGAAAGAAAGTACCACCACCACCACCACACCACCAATAACGGGTGTGTGTGAATTGGGGTCTTCTTGTTGTAATAAGAGATATATTTGCGAATTTATTAGTGGAATTTCTGCTGGATTGGGGAAAAGAAATCTTATACTAGAGCTTTCTTCTTTCGCTGAACACTGCTGGATGGAGCCTTAATTAGTAGGATTCATAATAATTTTGGTCCTCTCACAAGTCACAAATTGGTTGTTCTTGTTGCGACCCTATCGTTAAAAGAAATTACTTTCCTCTATTCCATGTTGAAATATAGCGAAAACCAGGTCTTCTCTTTAACGTGATATACTAATCAAGATCAAGGAGTACTTTTGAAGAAAAAATTACGATACAGTATTATTATTCCAAGGAGAATTTCTTTTATCCTAAACATAAACCAAGTGGTGCTATATAATACCCTCCTATTCCTTCCTACCCTTTTAAATTATAGGGAAATGAATGTACATAAAAAATAGATAAATAACATAAACAATTATCCGGAATGTTTTGACTGCTGGTAGGAAATAAATGTGGAGGTGGGCTCATGTCTGATAATAAAAAGAGGGCTGTGTGAGAGAGCTGCTCTAATTCTAAATTGAGGTTGAACACAAGAAGAGAACTCCTAGATAAATTGTAAGTTGACCAAATTATGAAATTATAGGAGGCCTCTAATTTATGAAATTGGTATCTAATTTTGTATACCTAATTTTTGAAATTTACCTATTTCCAGGTAGTCACTTAACCAAGATAAAATAATACTTGACTAGAGTGGGAGTGGCGTCGGAGAATGCATCTTCGAAACTCAAGAACTTGTCCCAGTTGTTCTCGGAGACAGTTGGAAGTACCAGGAGCAGGGAGCAGCAACATCACCGTTGGCGTTAGCATTTTTGTCACTGTCATCACCACCGTCTGACCTCTTTTTAAGAGTTAATTAATTAAGGAAAAATTATTGTAATTAATACTTAAGTCAAACCTATCCGAGTGCTACATATTGCTGCCAACGACCAACGACAAGATTTCTTCAAGTATAAAATAAAATTCTCATCGGGTCAGTCAGACAGTTTTCATCGTCTGGAAAAAGTCAATCCCGACAAAACTAACCTCTTCGCACTTTTTGCTACCCAAACTGCCAACTAGTAGCCAAGCCACAAAATACGCAACTGCCACCAATAAAATTTTGACTTCAACTACTACTTCTACCTCAAAGCAAATTCAAGTCTCGTCTGCTGACCTGCTGTCGGTTGGGACTTCATTTTTTGGACTTTCTCTTCTTGGCCACATTTTCCAGAAATTTCATATTTCGTCATCCCTTTGTCTTCTCTTGAAAAAGAAAATCGACGTCTCTTCATCTGCTGTGTACCTGCACCTTCTGACTTTCAATAATTAATTACTTAATTGTTCATTAGTTAATTTACAACAAGTGTTTCTCATTGCTCATCATCCATCATCATCACCATCGTCAAGGGTCAAGTACAGAAAGAAACCGAGAAAAAACTTGCCTTGTTGTCTTGTGTATGCGAATTTATTTGCAATTTATTATAACTTTGAGTTGGAGTGTTCGATCGTTTCAGTCAGCTTTAATTGGAGAGAAGAAGAAAAAACTATATATTTATTTAAATCAAGTGATTTATATCATGTCGGACGTTGAGAGTGGAGATGAACGGCCTACGAGTCGAAGGACGGCAGGAGGTAAGAGATTTGTTGTTTGTTTATACTGCTATTTGTTTTGGGATAGATTAAGAATTTTCTCGGAACTGGATTATCCGTTTGTTTATTGATTGTTGACTGATGATAAGTATTGATAAATTAACAACAGCGTGAGAACTACCGAGGTCGTGAAACATGAAAGTAGGGCATATCCATTGTTTTCTCCAGGCATACAAAATTGCCAGACATACATATTGTCAATTGTTACAACATTTTTTTTGCAAAATTAAATATGAAACATCTGATCGCCTTTGTCTCCCCGAATGAGACGAGATCATATTATTGCATAGCATTTTCTTTATTTAGACACGTTTCATGTTTGTCTGGAATTTCGAAATCTCGGGGACATCTGCTCTGCTGTCTCATCCAAATCATGCACGAGCTCTGTTTATACATATCTAAACAAAGATCGTCTCCTCATACATGCGTTTTGTCCTTGCTCCTTTGACACGAGCGACCTTTTCTGGTTTTGTCATATGCTATATTTCATTCATATGTATTTATTTGCATCCATTCAGCCCATAATATTTCGCAATTTAGCTAATCCTGAGGGTTTGAAAATACTTATTTAGGGTGTGTAGGAAGAAACTGATCTTCCTCCAAACAAACAGTGTTGCGTTGTTGTCTCATTCTCATTGTCAACTTTCTACGAAATGAGGATGATCTCGTTTTATTCATTCTATTGGTCCAGAAATGAGGATGACCCATTCACACCATAAACACACACAAGGATATGAGATTGAGATAAACATTTCGTAAAATTATTATTATCGTGACCCACATTGCTCAAGTTAAAAGTGATATCACCACCAGTCACTCGTGAATGATTTTTGTTACTTGTCCATATTTTTTTTGATAGTATTGAATTAGATTTATTAAACTCAAACGCATTGATAAAGTATAAAATCCACTATGTGCATACTTATATGTCCATAATTTGTTATATTCTGACAAGTTTGTATACTACAATCAATTGCAAATGACTAAAAATGAAGCCAATTTGTATCTTATTCAGATTGCCAATTTGCACATTTCCTTGTTCAGATTTCTTCCAGTCTGGCTGGCATACATAATTGTATTAAGGGTTACGACGAGAACTTGTCATTCCAATTTCCATTAGCAATCATTCTCCTCTAATAAGAGGAGAGAAATAGACATTAGTTTGGTTTTGGTATGTGGTATGTAGTATATTATAGTATACGTATAGGTCGGCGGTTTGTGCTCTCTTTGGAGTTTTGGACCGATGTGAAGTTGAAGTGGGTGCTTGCTTTGCTTGCTTTCTCCAACTTTCTCCACCACCACAAACCATGACCGCACAAAGTTGTGTCGAGCCGGTTGAGTAGTCGTGTATGTTCCTCGGTTCCGAGCAGTTAGTATATATCCTGAATTTCGAGATGAACGATACACATATTCTGATATTCTGCAGAATAGAGTTCCGTTTGCAAATCCTTCATCATCATCTTTCTTTTTTACTGAGTAGACGTCGGACGGGGAACGGATGTCAAAGTACAATAACGCTATTCATGAACGTACTCCTCCGGTGTGTCGTGTAGGAAGCGGAAAATGAATTCTACATACATGTTCCTGTTCTGTCTAGGCTCAGTTTCCTTACAAAGTTTCGCATGTGGGTGGAAATGCATGTGTACATGTGTATGATATGAGTGACGGTTTGGTTTAACTTGGCGACCCGACTAGTGGGTGGTAATGGGAATAATGTCATAATTCTGGACATAGCAGAGGCTATTTACGTATGATTTGTCTGGGAATGTGTGTAGAGAACTTTCCCTCGAGTGAATGGCTCATTTTTGTTCGATTTTTAAGAAGGAAATCCCACGTATTTGTTGGGAGCGACGAAATGGAATGGACGTATTTCCAATGCTTGTCGAGCTGCTAACTATGCCGTACTTAATTTGAAGTAGGCAGGTAGGAGAAAGTTGGTTATATTGACTAATATATTATTGAATTGCGAGGGAATGTGGCTTGGGTGGCATGGCGTTGACCCTGTCCAGTCGTCTAACTAATGTAAGATTTCTCGTGCAATCTAGATAGGGACGAACGGATATGAAAGTATGGTTTCAATCGTTTCACCAGGGACATTGGTTGTTTGCTTGACATGTCCTCTTTATTCATAATTAAAACGAGATTGCTGTCCAGCCAGGGCGAGACCACCAAGGAATAAGAGGGGAATGAACTCTGAAGTTCAGAGTCTGAACCAAAAAATAATGATATCCAATTTTTCAGAGCTGATATTTATACTGTACTTTTTATTGGAACGTGCGCAAAAATGATACATAATATAATTATCATGTGACATCCGCGATCGGAGATTGTAAACCCTGGAAGGAATTTATGGTGGTGGTATCATATGTGTGGAGTGATGATAAGTAGCAATAATAATGTAGTGTCCTTATCTCTGGGTAAAAACAAGCTTCCGTGCAGTTTTTTCAATGAATTCATGTGTGTCCACCATCCACGTCCACTTCAGTATCCAGTTAAGTATTTATTGGCTAGACGATGCGCAATTTTGTCGATTATTTCCCTTAACGGAAAAAGAATTAGTTATCCTATCATAACCAAATTCTATTTATGGCCAACATTTATTTATTTTTATATCATGTCGCATCGACCCTTTCTGTCTTTTATGGTGCCAGACTCGACAACCCCAACAATAGAATATAAAGAATATCTGGATGATGAAGAGAATAACCCGTCTGGCCGTGCAATTTTAAAAATATCCTCTCCTATACACGCGAGATGAGGATCCTTATGATGATGATGATGATGACAGTTGTACATTTTTTAGCATTTTATTATAAGGTCTCTTTTCCCTTCCTTTTCAACTTGCCTTAAAGCTGCTGCTGGGAACGAATTAATTTTTATTGCTTTAGGCAAAAGTAGCAAAAAGTCGTCTGGAGTTTTGGTGCTGAGCATTCATCCATCCTCTCCGTGGTTCAATTCACTCTGCCTGCAATTTGCAATTGCACCTTATTTTACCAATCTACCTGTACTCTGTAGTTACGTACATATTTAGTTTTGTGTTACATAACACTGTATCGTTCGTGTTATTATAAATTCAGAATACGCAGCACAGCACATGTTCATAATACTGAGACGAAGTTTTTGGTATATATGCATACGTATATACTGTCTGGATTTTTGTAGTTGTGTGGCATGGGAATAAGTACCAAAAAAACTATTGTGGGCACAATAAGTGGGAACTGCTACTTATATTGCATCTCTAAATGGAGAGGGAGGATGGAGACCCACAACGGCCACAAACACCGCGTCGTCGTCGTCGTTTTAATACATTTTTCGACTAGTGCAGATTAATGCATTCTAATGCAACATGAGGTAGATGCCCTGGAGAAATGGGGAACAACGAACGACGCGCTTTTCTGTTTTAGGAACAACAGAAGAGTTTTACTTAATACTTTGCCACAAGTTTGAGAGAGCAATGTCATGCATGCAGTATTTATTTGTGGCGTTGTGTGGTACACAGATGATGACGCTAATTAGTATAAACCTCCCATCATGTTGCAGAGTAAGTACGTTATGTTTATGCAATATTTAGTTTGTTGATAATTGTCGCATAGCGGAGCAGTGTGAAAAATTATGATGGAGGAGAGAGAAGGGAGCTGCGTAACAAAAAAACTGTAAAGTTAAAGTTTGACTTGTGTGGGCTCTTTTAGGCCAGCAAGTATTTATGTAAGGTTGAAATTAAATTAAGATCATGTTACTAAAAACGTCATGGACGAGTTGTGCATTTGTTGAGAGTGATTTAAAACTTGTTGATAAACACGTATGGAAAAGATTAGCGGAATGGGCTGCTCATTTAGAGATGAAATATGAATTTGTATGTTTCTCAATCTTGACGATAGTTTATCTCTGTTTAAACCCTTTGCGAGGTTTTGGTAAAACAATGAAAACTATTTTATTGGATTTATTTACACAAGGAGGAGAAGAGAACATAAATTATGGCAAAAGGAGAATTGACTAACAAACCTATGTAAAGACTAGAGCTGATGTATTGTAGCAACGATTCCAGCTTTTCCTTTGTCTACTGAATATAATTATTTGCTTGCAATCTGCCGTGCAATTTGTGTTACAGAGTGCAACCAAAAGCCGGCAGCAGGTGTTGTAAAGAAAATTTCAACCCTTTTCCGTTCTCATTAGATACCAGCAGCACAATAATGTAATTAGACATTGAGACTGGCACGTTTTGCTAATTAATTTTCATGAACAATTAATACATTAACTCGTCTGAAAATTTTAAGGTTTGCAATACTATGTTTATTTCTGGTCGCAAGATATAACTATTTATTGTATGAATTATGTACTTATCTATTTACTAGTCATGCAATATACATTGGGCATTAATTATTACATGCATAATTACATAATTTTGTTCTATTAGTAAAGAGGAGGCACAAATTAGTGAGAATCTGTCGAGTCGCCGGTTTAAAAACTGCAGTTACAAGGCAATCACGAAGTGAATCGTTTACAAACTTTAAGATGGCATGGCAAAACCTATCATGCTTTCACTATTACTTGGGCATTACTTTTTTTCTTACATTTACTTTGTACTTACCACAACATCTTGTTATGCAAGAACTCAACAATCTTTCGCATGTTCTACTAGATATGACACCTTCTCAGATTCCAAACTCTTATAAAAATCAGCACATATTTAACTTGTCGACTGACGCCAGACTTCCATTTATCTGCCAATTACAAGAATACTTAAAGGTGAAGTTTGCAGAAGGGCTCGTTTTGCTCTGAATGAAATTCGAACCTTATTACTGCAAATAATGAAGAAAGAATGAAACCCCTTCTTTCAAATTGACTTGAGCAAGCACATTCCTCAACTTGTTTGAACTTGGCCGATTCCTAATAATGATTTCGATTTCAATGAAAAGCGTTTAAATAATTGACCCGGGTCTGGACGTGACTCCAGTGATGGCGACGACGAGAAATTCAACCTG